AAATTGTAATGCCAGAGACTACAACCACTTGATTAAGTGAAATGTCATTAATGCTTCGAAGCTTCATTTGTTCTGACTTAAAATTAAATTATTTGAATAAATCTTTATTTTCCCTTTATTTTGAATAAAACCTACATTTAAAGGTTCATCCATTTAAAAAAATTTGTAATTTTAAAATTAACTACTATTTAAAAATTAAAAAAGTGAACAACAAAAATTATTTTTCTTTTTATAAAATGGGACCACCCAAAGATAAAAATAAAAAGAAAATAAAAATTTACTCAAATTGTTTAAAAATTAAATTTAAAAAATATATTTAATTTTAAATTTTTATAATTTTCAAAACATAAAAAAATTAATTTTAAATAAAACGCTTTATTCAATAAACCAATTAATTAACAAACAACAATACAGAAGCGCGTAACTTTTTTGATTTGTCTTTTTTATGATGATGATAGTGGCAAATTTGTTGAGAAAAAAAAGTAAAGAATATTTAAATTAGGGAAAAAGAATCCAAATTTATGTAGATAAATACTTAAATTGTGGTTTTCCCTTTAATCTTCCCCATATGCCTTCAATCTTAACTTTAAAACAACAAACAATCAATCAATAAAAGATTAAATTACATTTTAACAGGCATAAGGAAAATTGTTTAAAAAGGGGAAACAATCTCTTGTATATTATCTAAAAAGTGTAGGGATTTGGCCAAATAAAATTTACTTTGTTGGTTTAAATTTTTATAGAGAGAAAATTAGTTGTTTAAATGTCAAAAACAGAATAAAAAATATTCTTTAAAATTATTTCCTCATTTTTTTGAATAAAATCATTTATTTTTGACATTTAAAAATAATTTTCAAAAATTAAAAACCAACAAATTAATGCACCAAAAAAACAAAACAATTTCTATATCCTACAATAATTATTCATTTTAACGAATAACAAATCAGAAAAGGCGGAAGATTTAAATATTTAATTAAATTTTGTGGAATTACTGAGCGCCAAATGTCAATAACCACAAAATTATTTTCTTTTTTTTAATTGATCTTCATCAGGAATTTAAAAAAATTGGTACTTTATGGATATGTCACCCCCCCTCCTATTTTGAGTCTCAGAGTTTTCCTTAAACGTAGAAAATGGTCAGAGATTATTTTCTTCTCCATGTCAATCATTTTTCTTTCTTCAAGCAAAATAAGTGAAATGTGGTAAATGCAGCAACAAAATGAGTGAAATTTAAGTACAAAATATGTGAAAAAGCAAAATAAACAAGCGAAATACTTGAAGAAAGAAAAATGATTGACATGGTGAAGAAAATAATCTCTGACCATTTTCTACGTTTAAGGAAAACTCTGAGACTCAAAATAGGAGGGGGGGGGGGTGACATATCCATAAAGTACCAAAAAATTTAATATTCGTTCAGGTCTATGCCATCAATTCCTTTCTCTATATCTTCCATTTGCGGAATTTCAACTTGATATCGCAATATACCTTTAAATATAAAAATCATTTCTCACATCTTTAAAAAACTAAATAACCTCCTAAACCACCAAAACCGCGTACAAATTGAGCACCTTCTTGTGATTTATCGCTAACAATCTCTAGAGTAGCGCCAAATTTTTTATAATTGTCTGCCAACCATTCAAGAAGAGAAACATTTGTATCAGTTTCATATGTGTTATTTTGTGTGTTCTAAAAAACAAAAAAATAAAGAAATCTCTTAACTGAAATAACCTCAGAATCTGCTGAATCAGCAGGAGTGTCAGAAGTTTTTTCTGCTGACGGCCTGTAATAAATTATTTTTGTATAATTTATTAAGGAATAACCTATACCTATTAATAGCTAAATTCTCCCAACAAATAAGTGTTTCAACTGCTCCCATTTCCAAAGCAGTAAGTGTCTCCTGAACACCATAGATTGCTTTGTTTGTGTCACGAGAAATTTCATCAAAGAAAGAACCAATTAATTTCTTTTCTTTGATAAATTTAACATCAGTTAGAGTATCTGCTGCCAGTTCAATTGCCTCATTAAATCCGCTCTCTCCGCCGTAGGAAATATCGACAGTTTTAATTATTTTTGCCTAAAAATTATATTAAAAAATCATTTCACGAAAAAAACAAACTTGAAGCCTTTGATCAAACATATCAGATTGTCCCAATTCTGTCTTAAATTGTGCACTTCCAGCAAGAACCAGACCAGAAACAATAACTTTGTCATTCTTTATATACATTTCAACAGCTGCTTCAGCTACTTTTCTGAGATAATTGTGTCGCTTTTCCATTCTTAATCGCGCAAATCTCAAAGCTGATTGTCCACCTCGACCGTGCTTTTTTGGCAATTCAACAGAGAATTTGTGTAAAATTTCTTTTGCGTTGCCTTGAAGTGTTCCGAAAAGACACCCACTTCCATCCATAATGATAAATCCAAATTTGTTGTCATCGATCAAAAGGTCTAAAATTTTTTTAACGTTTAAAAGCTTATTTGTTAACCGTTAAGCGGCTCTGTATGAAATTTGTTGTCACACAAGTAAAGTGAAGTATTGACAGGTTTGAAAGGCTCAAAATCGATGTTAACCTTCCTTTCTTTTCCATCTTCAGTAAGAATTGTGCCACAATAGACTACCAGACCATTCTCAGGCACTTAAAATTGATTATAAAAAATAAGTCATCTCAATATCAAATAAAATTAGAACTTGTAATGAGTTTTGTGTTGTAAAAAATTTTATTGCAAATAAGGATGCTTTATTTAGATATATTATCAAATACTAACCTCTATTATATAATTTTAGTCGAGCCTGTACCGAAGTGATTGCAGCCAAAACAGATTGTCTGTTTACACGAGACTTAATGTTTGATGCTGTCCCAAATTCATCAGCAAGCATTTTCTGCACTCGTGGAATTTGGTCCTTTGGTGGAATGATCAATGAAATCATTGATGTTCCATTACTTTAAAAAAATAAATATAAATTTTACAGAAATGTTGTTTACCCTCTAGCTGCTTCCAAGGACTTGATTAGCCTCTTAATCTTCCACATTTCGACATCAGATTCCGCCATCTCTGCTAATATATGAAAATCGGTAGGTTAAATTTTAATAACAGAGAACCTCAGTCACCTTGACTAATAAAAATAAAAAATTATTTTTTTGCCCTAGGAATTAAAGCGGTAAAGGTCGATTCAGAGTAACCGATTCAGTGGCCGGTTAAAAGTAGTAGCCTTCCTGATTTTTGACCGATTCAAATAATTCTCATATTATTCGAAGACTAAACATTAAGAATCTTTTTCATGATTGGACTAATCTAATTTGATAAAAAGTTACAACCGGAAAATAATTTCGGGAAAATGTGGGAAAATAGCCTACGCGTTACTAGCATGTAAATGAGGGGGTAACAACACTAATCCAGAGCTTTTTGATTAATATAAGTTTTGGGCATATCCCTCGTTTTGGGCGTGTCCCTCCAATTCCGGAATCCCCTCTGATTCTGAAGGCGTAGTGACAGAAGACCCACAGACAGAAGACCCAAGGACAGAAGAACCACAGACAAAAGACCCACAGACAGAAGACCCACAAGGACAGAATACCCACAGACAAAAGACCCACAAGAAAAAATTTTTAACCAAAACTTAAGAAGAAATTTTCTGAAATTTTTGAAAAAGACTTTTCTATTTTTCTAGGCACTAGATTTCAAAAATTTATTCCAAAGTTAATCAATAATGTTTGATTAATGAAAAAGTAGATTGAAGAATCGTGTGATTAAATGGGATATTTAGGATTGGGATACTCCGATATCTCTCTTTAACAGAAAATCGGATATGTCAGGGATCTAAAGTGATGTAAACGGATTTAAAACTTTTAAGCTTTTTTAATTCTACTAATCCGCTTTTATCAAGCGATATCCCTCCATCTTACTCAGAAATAATTATTTAATCTCAGCTAATACCAATGACCCACGACATCCTTGCAGATTTCCGATATCCTTGACGACTTCTAATCCTTCTATATCCCTCCATGTGGAGGGATATAGAAGGATAAAAGGTGTATTAGTTAATCTTTTATCAATGGGTATTAATCTTAAATCAAGGAGTATTAAGTTTATCTTGAATACCCCTTGATACTAAATGTCCCTTTGATCTACTTTTTCTTTTCTTCGTCGCAGACAAAAATTTTGGGAATTTTGAAAGGGCAAGAAGCAACGTTTCTACATTTTTAACAACCTAGGTGAAAATTCTTTGAATTTTGGAAGGCCAATTAGCTATTTTTATATCATTTATTATATCTGAACCTGATCAGATTATGTTTTTTGACATGACTTGGACCTGATTAAAAATCCCGAAAATCCGGGGAATCAAGATCCACTTTCGTTAAACAAGCTCCCCTGTCATTGGGACAAGATTCCCATCGTTGGAACAACTTGACCCGTTTTTGCAACAACATCCCTCATTATTAAAATAACATCCCCGATGTTGGAACAACTTCCCCGTTATTGGAACAACATCCTACAATGTTGGAACAACCTTCCCGATTATTGGAACGACCTTCGCTAATATCGAAACAACTTTTCCCGTTGTTGGATCACCCTTTTATTATGGAAAACTAATAAAATTAACAACATCCCTTGTGCCAAATTTTATGCACAATAAAACTGAAAAATATTTGTGGGTCTTTTGTCTGTGGGTATTCTGTCCTTGTGGGTCTTCTGTCTGTGGGTCTTTTGTCTGTGGGTCTTCTGTCCTTGGGTCTTCTGTCTGTGGGTCTTCTGCGTCGACACGGATTCTGAATTTATTTGTGAAATATTAACATAATGACAATCCAGCGAAAATTCAAATAATTACTGTTTATGCTGGTCAATTTGTCGCCAGATTTTTCAGAGTTTTCCCCTACTTACTTTTGAAATTCGCCAATTAACGATGGCCACGGTTTACTTGCGATTAAGTTTAAGTAGCCGATATTTTTTTAGCAAAAATTAATCATTTTTAACTTCTACTTTTTCTTTTTTTTCAGATAAATATGAAAATATATTTTTATTTATTTTTATTCTCCATCATATTTATTCTTATTAGGAGCGATGAACCAACTATAGAAAATGGAATTTATGTTCTTACTGATAATAATTTTGACTCTTTTCTAGAAGAACATCCAACAGTTTTGGTTGAATTTTATGCCCCTTGGTGTGGCCATTGCAAAGTATTTTAATTTCATTTATTATTAAATATAAATTTTTGAAGCAACTCGCACCGGAGTATGAAAAAGCAGCCGAAGAACTTGGTGATAGTGTTCCCTTGGCTAAAGTTGATGCTACCGTTGATAAAATTTTGGCCGAACGCTTTGAGATAAATGGATATCCTACTCTTAAATTTTGGCAAAAAGATCACGAACCGATTGATTATGATGGCGATCGCGATGCACAGGGTATGTAAATTATTTCTAAAAATAATTGTTATAATTTTAGGGATTGTAAAATGGCTAAAAGAAAAGACTGATCCAGATTACAAACCTCCTCCGGAAGAAGTTATTGCATTATCCGAACAAACGTTTGACGATTTTTTGGGTTCAAATGCTCTTACCCTGGTCGAATTCTATGCACCTTGGTGTGGACATTGCAAAGTATTTCTTGAAATATTGATAACGATTTTTAATATTTTACTAGAAACTTGCTCCTGAATATGAAAAAGCAGCGATACGGCTTAAGGTATTTTTCTTTTATATATCTGTTTATTAAATAAATAGGCGCATGGCATTCCTCTGGCGAAAGTTGATGCAACTATTGAGAAGAAATTAGCCGAGCTATACGATGTTAAGGGATTTCCAACGCTTAAGATATTTCGAAATGCTCGTCGCTTTGATTATGATGGTCCAAGAGAGGCAGATGGTTTGTTTTTTATTATTTTTATTAAAAACGTTAATATCTAGGAATTGTCAATTATATGATTGAACAATCAAAACCAGCTGTGAAATTTTTGAATCATTCCTCTATAGACAAATTTATTTCTAATAATGACGTGACTATTGTTGGATTTTTCGATTCAGAAAGTGGTTCTCTTTATGACGCTTTTGTGGATGCAGCAGAGAGAACCCGTGCCGATTTTTCTTGTTATTATGTAACTGATCCTTCTGTGATTAAAGAATTTAAAGTAAAGGCGGGAACAATTACAATTTTCTATCCAAAGGTTCTTAAATCTTATTTTTTAATTTTTTATAAATTTAGTTATTTGTCTCAAAATATGAAAAAATCACAAAAGATTTTCCAAAGGTTTTTATTTGTAATTTAATTTTCTAATTAATTTTTAGTCAACAGCTACTACAGAAGAATTGCTGACTTTTTACCGTGAAAACGCTACACCCCTTGTTGGGCATATGACAAGAGTAAATTCAGCTACTCGTTATTCTCGCCGTCCTTTGGTTTAAATTTTTCTATTTAAATTTTTAAAATTATTCTAAGGTTGCTGTTTACTACAACGTTGACTTTTCGCTTGCTTATAGAGATGGGACTCAATATTGGCGTAATAAAGTTGTAGATATTGCTCATAAAGTATTATTATAGTTTTACTAAATATTTTACATTTTTAGTACAAGGGAAAATTTTATTTTGCTGTTGCAGATGAAGAAGAATTTGCAAAAGAATTGGAAGCTGTTGGACTTGGTTTGTTAATTTTGAGTATTTAAATTTTAATTTTTTTAATTCTAGGAACAAGTGGATTAGAACAAAATGTTATTATTTTTGGGATTGATGGTAAAAAATACCCAATGGATCCTGATAAATATGATGAAGATTTGGAAGAAAATTTAATTGCATTTTTGAAAGACTTTGGAAAAGGTTTGATTTTAGATTTATTTTTAAATAAAATTACTTTTTAAGGGAAAGTAAAGGCACATTTAAAGAGTCAACCAATCCCCAAAGCCGATAAAGGACCCGTTTTTACTTTAGTTGGTAATAATTTTGAAGCAATTGTTAATGATGAAAGCAAGGATGTTCTCATTGAGGCTTATGCTCCTTGGTTAGATTTATTTGAGAAAAAGCTTTATAATTTTTTCCTTTTAAAAGGTGTGGCCATTGCAAAGCATTTGAACAGCCTTATAAACAATTCGCCACTAAATTGACTAAACAAGAGCCAAATTTAATTTTTACGAAAATTGATGCTACAGAAAATGATTTACCTGAAAAATACAAAGTTGAAGGATTTCCAACTATTTTCTTTGCTCCAGCAGGCAAAAAAGATGATCCAATTAAATATACTGGAAATAGGGATTCTAATGATTTGTTGAAATTTCTTAAAGAGAATGCTGTTAAAAGTTTCCAGTCAGAGAGGGAAAAGGAAAAAGAGGAGCTTTAAAAAAAGGGAAAATTATTTTTATTTGAATATTAATTTATATTTTTTTATTTTTTTGAGGAAGAGTTTTACATTTGATGTGAGCAATATTAAATTGTTAATTTACTAAAGTTTTTTTTTTAATTTATTTAAATCTTATGAAACTTTCCCATGCCATCTCGTGCATTATTATACTTCAAGTGACTATCAGAGATTTCATTCTCTTACTAATTTTTTTAGAAATATAAATTCGTTTTCTATACATATATTGGCTATGAGAAAGTCTCCAATAATATAAATTTTTAATCTCATTTTCCTGTCAAATTTTTAACTATTGGGGTTTTCTTCTATAATTTTTGTTTTCTTTCAGTTTTATTTAAATATAATTTATTTTTTATCAAGCTGTTATACACTGCGGTGCATATGTTTATGCACACTAGTTTTTTGTTCATAAGTTTCTGCACACTTATTCAAAAAATAAGTTCTATATAGCAATCGGAAGCTCTATTTGTATCTCAGTTGACATGTTTTTGCATTTTTCGAAATTCTGATATTTTCGAAAAATTTTCGACCGGTCTAACAGGTACTACATTTTCAACTTTTCGGAAAAATTTTTTTGAAGTCTGTAAAAAATATATGTGATTCTCCTTTAAATTCTACATACAATACAAAAAAATCATCCAAATCGGTTGAGATTCGACCGAGTTATGAATTTTTGAAAATCGAAAAAGCGCGATTTTTTGACGAAAAATGGCAAAAATATGGTGTTTTTTCGATCTTCAAAAATTCATAACTCGGTCGAATCTCGACCGATTTGGATGATTTTTTTGTATTGTATGTAGAATTTAAAGGAGAATCACATATATTTTTTACAGACTTCAAAAAAATTTTTCCGAAAAGTTGAAAATGTAGTACCTGTTAGACCGGTCGAAAATTTTTCGAAAATATCAGAATTTCGAAAAATGCAGAAACATGTCAACTGAGATACAAATAGAACTTTCGATTGCTATATAGAACTTATTTTTTAAATAAGTGTGCATAAACTTATGAACAAAAAACAAGTGTGCATAAACATATGCACCGCAGTGTATAAAATAAGAATAATATAATTTTTTATTTCTATAGAGTTTGATTAATTATAATTTAAATATATCTTTAATAATTATTTCTTTTAATCTTTATTTTTAAAAATTAAAGTTTTTAAAAATGTCTGACAATGAAATAAATTCAGATGAAAATTTAATGTCAATGGATTCGAGTGAAGAAGATAGTAATGATAGCGAAGATGAAGAATCTTCTATGAAAGGTCAAAATAATGAAGTTGGAAATTTAAAAATCACTAAAAAGTGGACAGATCGTGAACGTGTACTTTTGCTTTGTTCGCGAGGTTCTGTAGCTCGAACAAGACATTTGATTAATGATTTAAAAAGGTTTGCGAAATTATTTGCATGTGTAGATTAGCTGGGATTACATATTTTTCATATCTGTTTTTTTCTGAATTTCCTCTCCCATTTTCCTATAATGAAAGGTAAATGTATTTCAATATGTAATTTTTGAATACATATTTTGTTGGTTTATTTGATTGTGGTTTCAGCGAAGGGTTTTATTTTGTAATAATTAAGTCAATATTTTTTTAAAAATTTAAAGATTAATGCCACATATTCGTTCCGAAGCCAAATATGGGAAAAGCAAATCAATGGCTGATGATTTAAATGAAATGAGTGAATTAGCTAATTGTACTAAATGTCTTTATTTTGAAAGTCGAAAGGGAAGAGATGTTTATTTGGTAAAATTTTTATTTTTAAATATTGTTTTTATAAATTTTTTAGTGGATGTCTCACATAGATGGGGGACCTTCAGCCAAATTTTTGGTTCGAAATTTGCACTCAATGAATGAATTAAATATGATTGGAAATTGTCTTAAAGGTTCTCGTCCAATTCTTTCATTTGATCCAAAATTTGATGAAAAACCTCATTTAAATATTATTAAGAATTTGTTATTTAATGTAAGGATTTTTAATTTTTTTAATTAAAAAAATAATTTCTTTAGATTTTTAAAACTCCAAATCACCATCCAAAAAGTCAACCATTTATTGATCACGTTTTTAATTTTGCTTTATCAGTTGATGAAAATATTTGGTTTTAATTGATTATTATATCTTTAAAAAATAATTATTTTTAAGGTTTCGTAATTATCAAATAATTAATGAAAAGGAGAATGAACTTCAAGAAATTGGTAATTTTTAAATAAATATTTAATTGAATTTTAACTATAAATTGGAAGAAATTTGGAATTTAATCCGCCAAAAACTTTTTTTCTAATTTAAAAGGTCCTCGATTTGTTCTTCAATTAATTCGTATTTTTGATGGGTCTTTTTGTGGAGCAGTACTTTATGACAATCCAGAATATTTAAGTCCAAATCATTTTAGACGTCAATTAAAATTACAAAAAGCTGCTGAATTTAATTTAAAAAATCAACAAAAAGAGGAACAAAAAATTAAAGAAAAAATAATTAGAGAAGTTAAATTAGACGATCCAATTGGGGAAGTTTTTAATACAAAAGGAGAAGAAGATGATGATGAAAATATGGAAGAAGAGGATGAAGTTGAAAAAGAGAAGAAAAAGAAGAAGGCAATTAATATTAAAAATAATCAAGAATCAAATGCTGCAAAAACTTTGAGACGAAAAATTTTGAAAGGACGAATTAAAAAGAAAAAGGCTAATAAGAAGACAATTAAGAAATGAAATATTTGTTGAATTTTTATTTTGTTTTTTTTTGTTATTAAAAAAATAAATAAAATTTTATTTTGTTGATTATTTTTATGAAACAATTTTTTTATTAATTTTTTTATAATTATTAAAAATATCATACTATTTCTACTTATTTAAAAGCAATTTTCTTTTATAATTTTAATTATAAGTTAATTCTAAAATGTTATCTGAACGTGCTATAAAAGGCTTAAATATTCCTTCACAAAGTTTTTATTTAAATAAACTTTATAATGAGGATCCTTATAATGAAAAAACAAATGAAATGGTTGGAAATAAATTTAAAAAAAATTATTTTAAAATTATTTTTGAAGGGATATATTCGACTTTCTTGTGCAGATAATTCTTTAAGTTCTGATTTAATATTTGAAAAGTTTCGTTCAATAAATTGGCAAAAATTTGAAGAAAATAAACTTTTGCATTATCCAAGGGAAGGGGGAGAATTGAGGTGATAAAATTAAAAAAATAAAAGAAATTATTTTTAAAAATATCAATTCCCCTCCTTAAAAACTTAAAATTTTCTTAAAAATTTATTTTATTAATTTTTTAAGCACTTTAACTTCTGCAGCAAATTTTATAAACAAATTTTGTCTAAAAGAACTTTCTCCTCTTTCACCAGAAGAAGTTAATTTAAATTAATTTAAATTAAATTCTGATTTTTTTAGTTAATAATTATTTCTGGTGTTACAATGGCTTCTGATATTCTTAGTCAAATTTTATTTAATTCTGGTGATTCTGTTTTAACTCCAGCACCTTTTTATTATCGTTTTGTTAATGATTTTGGGGAAAGAGGGCTTGTTAATGTGTAGGAAATAAAATAAATATTTTTAAATTTATTAAAAAAATTAGAGAAATTGTTCAAACTTTAACTGAAAATGGAGTATTAGATCTTTCTGTTGAACGATTTGAGGAAGCTTTTTTGAAGGCAAAAGTAAATTAAATTAATTTTTTATAATTCTTATATATAAAAAATTAATAAGGAGGAATTGAGTGATTTTAGATTAAATTTAGAAAGAAGATCTCTCTTTAGAAAGAGAGAAGTTAAATTAAAATTCCCCTTTATTCAACTCTTATTTTTAGGGAAAAGTCAGCGCTATTTTAATTGTAAACCCTCAAAATCCAGATGGCTGTTATTTTACTTTAAATCAGCTTAAACCAATAATTGATTGGGCATTAAAGTAATCCCCTTTAAAGAATTTTGTTTTCAAAAAAATTTTTCTTTTAAAGTAAAAATCTTTTTATTATTTTGGATGAAGTTTATAATTTGTGTATTTATGAGGAAGGACAAATTAATAATTGTTGTTTTGAAAGTGCTGTTAAATTATTTAAAACTCCCGAAGAATTAAATAAAATGATTTGGGTTTGGAGTATGAGCAAAGTTTTTTTTAATTATTTGATTTTTAAAAATTATTTTTAAAAAAGGTTTTTTCAATTCCTGGACTTAGAGCAGGTGTATTTTACACAAAAAATAAAAAAATAAAAGAAGCTGCTACTAAATTTGTGGTGAATTTTTGTGTTTTTTATAACGAAAAGAACTTTTAATTAATCTTTTTCTTACTTTCATTTTAATAGTTTGTTCTGTTGGGGAAAACTTTCAGCTAAACTTTATTAGTAACTTGTCGCGAAAGGCGACAATTAGAATTTAATTTTTAAAGTTTATTTTTTTCTAAAATTAATTTTTCTTTAAAATTCCAATCTTTACTTTTTTAACCGCATCTGCTGTCTATTAATTCTTTTATGTTTAAGAAATTTTTTCTATTTCTAACTTTTTTAAATTAGCTTTCTTTTGTATTTCTTTAAGCGCATCTATCTTCATTTTTTTATGTACCAGCCGCTATTCACTAATTTCTATCTTTTGTCTACTTTTGGAATGTTGTTTATCTTAACTTTGTCTACCCGCCTATTTTTATGGCCTATATAATCTCCCCTCCAAAACCCACAATAGCTTGCTTTTGTCTGTCTCATAAGCTCTGCTCTGTTCTGTTCCAGTTCTTGGTTCTTTGGTTGGCTCTTACTTATTGCCTTTGATAATTGTTGGCTCGCTTTATTTTATTGGATTTACTTTAATTTGGAAAATAAATATTATTTAATTTGTTTGGAAGTGTTTTGTTTGAATTAGGCTCTTAGGCAAAACCTTGGAAACTTGGTCCCTAGGCTTTGCTATATATTTTTTGGTGCAACGGCCGGGAAACCATCCTGGTCACCGTGTGGAATCAATCTATTGCCTCTATTTGGAATTTATTGCTTTGGAATTAATCAAATTGGATTGCTATAAATAATGGCTGCCTGTATTCGACGCAACATTACTGCTGTTCTGAAGGGCATACAAACCTACACTAGAGAAGCAACGCAATTAATGGGCAAAGATGTGGACGAGGGTATTTGTGAGAGATTAAGGTCAAAGAAGCTGGACTTGGAATCCGCCATAGCACGAATTGTTGAATTGGACACGCAGTGGACTGATATTATAAATAGTCTTGATCCAACACAAAGAATGGCTGAAGAATCTATTTACATGAATTTCCCGCATGGAGAAACTGGTGGTTTAGAAGATGGAGATGAGGTTCCTCTTTCCAAAAGGCATTTTTTGGACCAGAATGAATTTGCTCGTGAAGTTCTAAACATGGTTTCGGAAATGCTTAACACACTGGAACGCTCCCGAACTAACTCTCGTCAGTCGGCGCTGAGTGAGAGCAAGCATAGCGTGGATTTGAATGAGGAGACTAATAATGCTAGAACAACTCATTTGGATGCTAGGAGGAATAATACTGGAACAAATAACTTGGATGCTAGAATGAATAATGCTCGAACAGACAATTTAGATGCTGTAACTAATAGTGCTGGGATAAATAATGCAGGGATGCCCGTTTACTACGCACTGCAACCGCCTTTTGCGCGACCACGGGTGAATCTCCCGCCACTTCACTTGCCGCATTTCTCTGGTGATTCAAAAGACTGGCCAACCTTCTGGCAAATGTTTTCGTCTACGATCGATAATGAACCAAGCTATAATAATGTGGTGAAAATGAACTACCTGCTATCTCTCTTGGACGGACCAGTTCTAAACGTGATAGCCGGTTACCTTCCAACAAATGAGAATTACCCGCGTGTGGTGGAACTATTAAAAACTCGATATGGGGACTCAAAAGTATTGAAGGAAGCGTTGCAATCTGAACTGTACCATCTTGCGCCAGCCCATGACTCAGTGATTGGACTTAGGAAATTTCTGGACGTAGTTGAGCGTGTCTGTCGGCAACTCAGTGATTATGGGATCCATGACGATTCGTGGATTATATTTGCTCTGAAGGAAAAGCTGCCCCGTGGAATATTAGCCAGATTGATTGAAAAAGAAAGAATGGCCGGAAAAACTTGGAAGATTGAAAATTGGAGATCAGAACTCAACCTGCTCATATCAGTAGAAGAGGAAGTGCAAAGATGTACCGTTAATAAGGAGCCAGAAAGACCGCCGCGAAGAGATGGACGACCATTTTATCAGCCAGAGCCTACTCGTTCATTTCCAGTTGCTAGCCAATATAAAACGCTCTTTTGTTCTTTGTGCCGAGAAGGAGGCCATTACCCAAGCGAATGTGCTAAGTATGGAAATCCGCAAGCAAGAAAGGACCGATTATTGGAACAGAACCGTTGCTTAGTCTGTCTGAGAGATGATCACCGAGCTATTGACTGCCCGAACCACCGTCGCTGTAGTAAATGCCAGGGACGTCACCACTTTTTAGTATGCTTTTCACGAGATGGCAGGAATCAAACTCAACCCAAATTTGCTGGCTTGGCTCAGAGAACGTTCTTGCAGCCTAATCATTCTGAACCAGATGCTAAACAAAGACAATTTACTCAGTCAATATGGGAAAGAAGGGATGAACCGCACGTTATGGATCATGGGACAAACTGCGACGCCAAGTTGCCATTGCCTAAAGAAAATTCTGTGGTTGCTACTGTTATGGATGCTAGGAATAAACCCACTGCCTACCTGATGACAAAAAGGTTAATGGTCACTGCTAGAGGCCGTAAAGAACGAATCCCTGTTTATGTGTTCTTCGATACTGGAAGTCAGACTAGCTTTGTATCTCGCCGATTAGTGGAAAAACTCAACCCGCCTAGAGGCCGCGAAATTGACCAATTGGAAATTCATGGATTTGGAGGAGCTTCGTCTAACCCGCTGAAAATCCGATCACCCACGTATATGCTTAAAATACAAAGAACCGATGGAAACTGGGAAGAAATTGCCTTAAATTGTACTGAAGAAATTGCTACTCCATTTGATATGATAAATTTTGATGAATTCTTCTATAATCGCACTGGAGTCGATAGCTTGGAAATTGTGAGAGAGAAACCAGATATCATGATTGGAATCAAACAATTTTGGAAATTCTTCATATCGAAGGAGAAGGAAATCTTACCAGGCCTGCACTCTATTCAAACCGTTTTTGGAACAATGACAGCTGGGGAAAGCGATTTTGGACACAATTCGAAAAAGAAATCCATGTCTCTGGTAGCTATACATGCGGGTAACAATGTACCTCTTCCAACGCCTGGCGCTGTTGAGGATTTCCGGAGTATGGAGTCTCCCGTGCAAAACCATGCTGAGGTAGAAGCTAACCTAAATCAACGTCCAATCTCAACAGTCTCTGAGGGAGCTGTCGCGCCGCTGCCTTTAAGGCCTAATGATGTTGTGGTACCACATGGAACAATTCCTTTGAAGATTGACTCATCCGATCAAAACCAGATAGTAAAACATACGATGTTTGCAAGGGCAAAGGTTAAACCAGCAGCAAGTACATTGGTGGCGCTCTGTCTTGTTTGTCTGTTGAATATCACAATGGCAATTAAATCGCGCTCTATTTGCTTAATTCATTGTACACTGGTGGGAATAATGGTCCTTGCTCTAATTGGAAACCAAAAAATGCAAATATGTTGTGATGAATCACCCACTGAGATGCTTTGGACTGATCATTCGGTGTCCAAACTTTGGAAAAGCTCGCGAGAAATGTTTCAGACAGAGATGACGTATCCGGCCGTAAATGAATGCTTATTACTGGATCCCATATTTGGCATCGACCTGCTAGTGAACCTCTCCTGCAATCCTAGCCTCGCTGTTCTTTGGGCACTTGTTACTCTGACTGCGTTTTTTGGACTCTGTTTTGTGCTTACTCTTTGTCGATCTTGCTATCTAAACTTTCGAATGATTATGGCTATTGGAGGGATTGGACACCAATGCTGGAGACGGACGAAAAGGAAAACTGCTTATACGAGGGCGCGCACCAGAGAAACAATCCTAAGTAAAAAGAAAAAACCGCGAGCTAGAGCTCTTTATGTGACCGCTTCCCAAACTGATGCAATAGAGGACAGACCAGAATTCACTGCGTCTTCAATCAAGTTGCTACACTCACTTCATGATGGCCCGCCTGATGCACTGGTGGTCCAAGATGACAGAAAGAAACAGAAGAAAGAAAACAATTGGGGGCCCGGGAATGTCGCGAAAGGCGACAATTAGAATTTAATTTTTAAAGTTTATTTTTTTCTAAAATTAATTTTTCTTTAAAATTCCAATCTTTACTTTTTTAACCGCATCTGCTGTCTATTAATTCTTTTATGTTTAAGAAATTTTTTCTATTTCTAACTTTTTTAAATTAGCTTTCTTTTGTATTTCTTTAAGCGCATCTATCTTCATTTTTTTATGTACCAGCCGCTATTCACTAATTTCTATCTTTTGTCTACTTTTGGAATGTTGTTTATCTTAACTTTGTCTACCCGCCTATTTTTATGGCCTATATAATCTCCCCTCCAAAACCCACAATAGCTTGCTTTTGTCTGTCTCATAAGCTCTGCTCTGTTCTGTTCCAGTTCTTGGTTCTTTGGTTGGCTCTTACTTATTGCCTTTGATAATTGTTGGCTCGCTTTATTTTATTGGATTTACTTTAATTTGGAAAATAAATATTATTTAATTTGTTTGGAAGTGTTTTGTTTGAATTAGGCTCTTAGGCAAAACCTTGGAAACTTGGTCCCTAGGCTTTGCTATATAACTAAACAAAAACAAAATTTTTCTCCAAAAACCCCCTCCCTTAAAATAATATTTAAAATTAAATAATTAATTAGACGTTTAATCAACCAAATTGTGTAACACAATTTATTATGAGACACTTTCTTGATGATCAAGGTGTTTAAAAACTTTAAATTATTTTAAATAAATTTTTAATTTAAAAAAGATTGGTTCGAAAAAGTTTATTTATTTGAAAATTTACGTCGTCTCAAAAATACACGGAATAAATTGATTTTATTTTTGGAAAATCAAAAAATTCCTTTTATTAAACCAAAATCTGGATTTTTTGTTTTGACTGATTTTTCTAAAGTTTTTTTAAATAAAAATCTTTTAAAATTAAAAAAAAGAATATTTTTAGTTTATGGATGAACAAACAATTGAAGGGGAAAGAAGGCTTGTTGAACGTTTTATTAGAAAAAAAGTTTTAATTAATTCTGGGGAAGAATTAAAGTTTTTAAAAATTGAAAAATTAGAAAGTTTTTTTTTAATTTTTAGAGCGCCTAAACCAGGATGGTTTCGAATTGTTTTTTCGTCAGTTAATTCTTCAACATTAGAAAAAGGTTAAAAAGGAAGTTAAAATAGTAATTTAACTTCAAATTATCTCCAAACATTTTCTCCTTTTTCCTTTTTATCTCCTTCCTAGAAAAACAAATTAAATATTTGAAAAATACATAATTGTCAAACAAAAATTATTAAAAGTAAAAAAACATTTCTGTGGCCAGACACCACAAATTTTGCTAATTTAAAAAAATATGCCTCGTTGTTCCTCAAAAAAGTTGTAGGGGAAATAAAGGAAAAAAATCTTATAAATGGGTTTTTAAGAAAAACTTGGCTTAAGTCGACCACAGAAATTTTTTTAAACTTGTTAATTTCACCCTAATTTTTGTCTAACCATCACTACTATTCCTAAAAGGAGAAGAAAGGTGAAGGAAAAATGAGAAAATCTAGGGAGATAATCGGGCTCTATATGAAATGAAGTCCCAAATCAAATTTTATCCATCTTCCTTAAAATGAGTAATTTTCTTTACATTTCTCTCTATTTTTGATTTATGCCGTAAGTCTATGAATGCAAAAGGATTAACTGAACGTGTGTCCGTGTTTTCACTGTCTATGTCCGTCCGAGTCCGTCCGTGTTTTGTTTGTCCGAGTTCGTGTTTTGACTGTCCGAGTCCGTCCGTGTTTGTCTGTCCGAGTTGTCCGAACCGGTTCTAAACCGGTTCGGACCTTTGCCGGTTCCACGGACGAACTCGGACAGTCACAACACGGACGGACACAGACAGGGAAGCGGACACACACAGTCATAAACACACACGTTCAGTTAGTCCTTTTACATTCAGAGCCAAACGGCACAAAACAAAAAAAGAGAGAAATGTAAAGAAAATTACTCATTTAAAGGAAGATGGAAAAAATTTGATTTGGGACTTCATTTCATATAGGGTCGATAATCGGATATCTAAATCCTTTTCTTAGGATTTCAACGAATAACTGAAGCAATTTCAGAAACAAATTGAAAATAAAGAAAAAAACATAATTTAAATATTCGGCATTGTATTTATTTTCTAACATTAAATATTAAATTTCAAACAAAAAAATAATAAATTCATAAAATAATAAATTCAAAAAATAATTAATCAGAATCTTCACTTGAAAATGCTTTTAAGAATTTTTTAGTTCCTCGGCCTCTCGAACGAATTTTAATTCCATCAAGTTCCAAATTTTCTGGTGGCTTCTCATCAGATATCGTGGGAGGATGCGGAGATTTTTCTTCTTCAAAAAATCGTGTATCCTTAAAAATATTTGTAATAAAATAATTTTATTTGTTTTTCTATACATGTTCATAATCCCAATCCAATTCCTTCCCTTTTTCATCGAATACATCCAATCCTGGACGTATTTTTGTGTTTTTGTAGTTATATTCACCTTTAGTTAAAGAAATAATTTTCTCTTAAAGGAAAGATAATACCGTCATTTTCCCAATTTTTAGCCGTATATATAGCATGTCTAAGCTCAACTCCATTTGCTAAGCGCACATAAATAAGCTTGTCAGCAGGCACATGTTGAACAACAACCCTCCATTTACCTTTAATTTAAACTTATTCAAGATATTATTTATCGACAAAATCCACCTTGAGGAACTTTTACAGTATCCACATTAACCTCTACTGCTTCTGAATTTATTTGACGCAAACGAGCCGTACAATTATTTGGAGCATTGCCTTCTAAATAAATATTTTTAAGAGGGGGAGGATACTTTTAACATACCTTTAACAATAGCAACATCATCTCCACCCTCTTCCTTTACTTGTCCTTCTTCCTCTTCTTCATCAGAACTATCAACTAATTCACCTTCTTCTGGCTTTTTAAGTGCACGTACACGTCTCAAAGGTTTTGTCATATCAAGCAATAACTTTAAACAAAAAAATTTGTTTAATTAAAACATTTAAATACTTGAGCTGCTTCAATAGCATTTGCAAAAGTTACTATAAATGCAGTCAATGGTTTTGTTTGAAATGGTCGAACAGTTTCTGGATTGAATGAAGCAAAAATTCTGAAAAAAGTAATAGAAAATTCTCATTGCCCTCCATTAAAATTGAAAAAAAATTAATTTTTAATTTTACTAAAAATTTTCTTTTCATTTTTATTTTTCTTTTTGTGTACTTTTCAATTCACAATATTTTTTCCCCTTTTTTCTTCAAAAATTTGTCAGTCTAAAATATTAGCCCAATACTGCCATAAAAATATTCATTGTATTTTTTCACTCATTTCATTCATTCATGCATATATACATATTTTGAGTTTTACCTCCCCTCGTGCTCCCGGGCCATTTGCCTTATATAAATTTCAAAGGCTTTTCGAGATGGGGTGCTTTCCCTCCTTTTTGCTTTTTGGCTCTATCATGGGCGTGCATGCTGTGTTGGTCCCAAAAAGTGGTTGGCGCTTTTACTCGGGACTTGAAATCAATATTACTTTATAGTGCAATATTAGAATAAAATTCTGGAAATATTTGGAGAAAGTTAAATTAATAATTTATGGTATTTTAAAACGAAAAAGTATAAAGTCATTGAAATCCAACTATACTGTAATTAAATATTAAGAGATTGGAAAAGTTGAATCATAGCACCGAAGCTATCGAAATAATTAAAAATTGCTTTTCGAAAAGGAAAACCTCGAATTTTTGACAAATTTCTAATAAATTTTTCTTGCAGTTCCAAGTTTTTGTGTTAATTTCACGAAAAATTACCTCGAAATATCAAATGTAGTCATTTGCTCAACTGTACCAGTGACGTATAATGCATTAAATCGAATAGAAGGATCTTCTGTATCAACATCCAAAGAAGCATAAAGAGCCTCAAGTTCACTATCTTTTAACTAAAATTAAATATATTTTTCTCTTTTTTTATAAACTTTCATTTCATTATTCCTCTCTTTTCTTTTTTAAAGAATTTTAAATTATTTACAAAGATTTCATTGTTTTAATTCCTTCTACATATGGTAATAAATTAAAATATAATTACTCTAATCCTACTATGTATATCATCACAAAATAAACATTCATTTTCATTTCCTTCAAGGAAAACTTTTTTTCTTTTTCACATTTTGAATTACCAAAAATAAACATTAAATAGTACAAACCCCCCCCCCCTCATATACACTATTTATTTCCAACTTTTCATTGTTCTCATCCATATAAACAAAAAAGGACCAAAATAATCACATTTTTCTTCAGAAAAAGTGACGGTGTGACAAAGAAAGTATAGAAAAAAATAAATATGTATATTTTAAAATTGCCAGTTTGGTAATTCCAAGGCTGGTCCCCCCCTTTTTTTCTGTTCGCCTGACCATTTTGAGCTTTTTTGCTTGACATATAATTTACAATATATCATTCGAAAGAGTTGTTCGAGCTGAGTAGAATGATACTATGATCGGTTCGATTTGGAGATTCTGAGCAGAATTATGAAGCTAAATCATCGATGGACATGCTTTTTGTGATGTTGAAAGGGATTAAAACAAATGGTCATAACTATGTTTATTTAAGTCGGATTTCGATGAATTTAGTACCGTTCTACTCAGCTTGAAGAGCTCTTTCGAACGATATATAATTTGCCATAAAAAGTTTAAAAAATCGAAAAAAATAGAAAGGAAAAAAAGGGGGGGGGGACCAGCCTTGGAATTACCGCCAGTTTTCACAAAATTTTATTTATTTTAAATAAGCATAATAATGAAGACCAAACTCCCCAAGGTCACTCAACTCTACCACTGACGCATAAAAATCATAAACAAATTTATAAATCATCGGTTAATTAAAATTCTGGCCTCTAATATTTTTAATTTTTAAGTAAAAAAATATTATCTCCCTTTTTTTCTCTGATTATATTTTGAATATAATACACTATTATATTACTTCAATAAAAATACGAAAATACTTAGGCAATTGCCCATTTTTCTTCCGCCACAATGGCCACCACCATTGCGCCTTTCATCCAATCCACAACCTTTTCTTCCTCAATTTTTCTAACTAAAATAATGCATTGAGAGTGCTGGTTGGTGCAATGAGTGAATGAGGTACTGACAATGAGTGGTAAAAATGCTGGATTGAAAATATATTCTCGCGCCAATTTTTTCCACTCCTCCAGGGAAAGACGACCGTCTCCTATTACCAGACTCTCTTACCCATCACAACTGCGCACGTACATACATAGCATTAACACTCCTAAAAACTATATAGCGCTGAAGGGCCTCGACAGTTGATTTGAGCGCCTTTGTTTGTTTAATTCTGGACTCTCAATGTCAGCAAAATAATTAAAACAACCATCTAACTATTTTTAATTTGTTTTTATGTATATAAAAAAAAGATAAAATTTGATAAAAATATTAAAACATTTTTACGGATTAACCAGTCTTTGAGAATAAAGAGGAAGAAAATGAAAAAAAAGATTGAGGGAGAAGATAAAAACAATAAATGAAAAGACCATCCTCAACTAATTTATTTTATGATTAAAAATATTTATTAATTCTTTCATAGATGTACTCTTAAAAATCCTTTAATTCCTTATAATTTAAAATAAGAAAATATGTAGCTCAAAAATAGTAATATCATTATTGATTCTTAATTCTTAATAATGCGCAATTGTTTTGATTAGTTATCGAGAGCATCAAATTCTCAAACATCCCCCCCCCCTAATTCTTTTCTAAAACAAAACATCAAAAGTCGCCAACCATTTGAGGAAAATAGGATCAAAGCGGAGGTCGCAAATAACGATAGTAATATATCTCTCAAAATTAAATCCATCTGGCAAACAAAAACAACCACTATAACCAATAATCCCCTTACATACAATAAATCACAAAAGAGAAATGTTGAAATAAAAATTAACAAAACAAAAATCAGAAATGAAAAGAATATGTATTTCAAGTTGTTACTTAAATGTTTCTAAATGTTAAGTTTGGCTAAAAACTTTAAAGGTTATGTTCTAATGCAATCAATGGTAGAGAAATGACCTTCATAAAATTAGATTCCCCGTTTAATTAACTTTGGTAGAAATTAATAAAGAAAAATATTAAAGAAACATTAATTTAGTTAATTAAAGAAGTCGGAAAATATTAAAAACAACTTTCCCAAAATCTAACTCATCTAACAACCCTTAAATCCAAACCATTTCAAAACACATTACTATTCTTAAAAAACAAAAAAACTCACATTTCGACGATGTTCATCCTTCTTTCCATCAAGAATTTGTTCGAATCCCCCCAAAAATTGTTCGCGAATTTCTTCATCTTGAACCTCCTCTTCATCTTCCAATGTTGGAGACACTAACCGCTGCCTTTTATCGCCTAACCGTTTCACTCTACCAGCCAAACGTCCACAAAATTTATCGGCGCCAGATTCACCTAAAGATTGTTAAAAAGCATATAATTCAAGAATTATAAAAAAAGTACCGTTATCATCTTCACATCCTTCATTATCCTCCTCACCAACGTTACATGCCATTTCCCCATCAGAGGCATCTGAATCGAAAGTTTCGTTTGTCCTACGTTTACGAGCAGGTTGGTGAATAGATGCTTCTGTAGGTGTTTCTGTGGCTTCATCAACTTTTCTTGCATCAGCATTCACTGAACTAACACTTGTCTGTTAAAATTTTTAATAATTATGTAATTGTTTAAAATTAAAGAATTTCCAATTTTTCATACAAAATTTTTGCATAATTTTTATAAATTTAAGTATAGAATGAATATGCTCGCACACCTGAAACTTTGCTCACCTAGACCTATATTAAACAAAGGTTGAGACGAAGTCCCAGGCGGCGAGCATTTCGTTTAATAAAATTGTTGAGTTCGTGAAATAAAAAATTATTAATATATATGTATTTTTTGTATTTTGAACAATAATGTTCACACTTTCAAGTAAAAAAAAAGAAAAAATTGTTGCATATAGTGACCAAATGATGGGACATCATACAAAACCAAATTGGCTTTGTATGCACGTATACTGAAAAAAGGATGTGGGGTGAGGAGGGGAAATGGTTGCGCAGTTTGTTGGTGCTTGTAAAGACAGGAGAAGGGTAAGGTGAAATAATGGAAAAGAAAAAATGAGAATTGTGTAGAAAAATGAATGCCATTGCCTTAGTTGGGTACCATTAGTGCTATTGCCACTATAACCTAAGGCGCATTTGTCAATGCTTCTAGTTGCCATTGGTTTGCTTGCCTTAAAAATTAAATTAAACCCTTTTCTTGCAGCCTTCATTTATGCATGTAATGACGGGAGAGTATTAGTATAAGAGAAAAATATGTAGAACAATAATGAGAACAAATGATAGTCCCAAAGCTAATAAAATTGAAATAGTTAAAGACAAAAGAGGAGTTATGGACAAGCCTGAACCTTCGGTAGAGTAGATAAAGTATTAATATAAAAATAATAAAAACTAAATTCTAATTAAGAACTTTCCTCGAATAATCGGAAATTGGTTTCAGCTCAAAAGATAGCTGCTCTATTAGAAAAATACGTTAGGTTTGAGGTGGTTAGGGTTAATAACTACAAATAAAATTATGTTAATTTTTGCCATTCTATATGTATGAAAAGTAAAAAGAATGTAACTGTTAAAGTTTTAGGCTTGAAGGAATGGATGCTGAAAATTGGTGAGGCAAATACGACATAAAAAAGCACACCATAAAAGGAAATGGCGGAAGAATGGACGGCGGACAAGCGCAACGACTCTCAACTATAGCGGGAAATAGGCGGCAAAAGGGGTGGGTGTCCGATGGGCGAGGTATTAAGGTTCAAAATAGATGAGGGACGAGGAAGAAAACGTAGGAAGGGGAAGAATGGGCCTGAGTCGTCCACGCTATCGTTACAGCCCACAACTCATCCAAGCGAGTGCGCCTGCTGCATAAATGGAAATGTTGGTGGGCGCCACCGTCCTAGACGAAATTGATGGGAAAAAGTTGAAGCAGTTTTAGAGAGAAAAAACGAAATGGATGATAGAAAATGAAGAGAAACGAATATAAAAATCCTAACCTATTTCTTTGCGCTAGCTTTCTAAAAAGGCCATCCAAGTCTCTCAAATACTCTATAGCGGGGCTATTTGAGCAATAACTATCGCCATTAACAGTGAGGAAAATTGAAAATAAAAATGAGAGAATGGTTGTTTGAAAGTAGAATTTTTGAGAAAAAGAATTATTGAAGAATGGGCGGCAGTAGTGCGACTCACTACTGCATGTGGCAGTTAGCGGAAGGCGGAGAAAGAAAAAAGTGAGGCTATCGTGGTAGGATATATGCTGGACGAAATCATGATTTGGAGAAAATATTAAGCGAGGTTTGGCACAATAACAATGAAGAACCTGAAAAGCAGTTACGCGAAAAAATTTCATAAAAATGATAGGAATTGAGAATTGAAAAGTAATGGGGAAAAGAAAAAAATTTGTGGAGAGGGAAAGAAAAAAATTTTGGGAAGGGGAAAAGAGTTTTTTTGGCCTAAGGCCATCAAAAATTCTTAAAATTTTCGCCTACTGCTAAAAAACTCCAAAAATCGCAACACTGCATCTTCGGCCATGCCGCCATCTTCGAGGTAGGGAATTCAATGTAAATGATAGCTTATTTGAACGGGCTTTTCGAGTTTGATCGAATGATACCAAGTGGTCAAAACCAAAAAACGGCAATCCCGGAGAATAGGGGTTTCTTCGAAAAAAAATCTTAAAAATAAGAAAAAGGATTTTTCTAGGGTAAAAAAATATGCTGATTACGAATCCGAGCTCGGATTTTGAAAAAGTCGTACCCGGACCCGAATATAGGTCCTACAAAATCGAAAAACCATAGGGGGGACCAAGCTGATTTTGGGTTGAAAAATTCGAATATGCAAATAATAGCTCATTCGAAAGAGCTCCTCGAGCTGAGTCGAATGACACCAAAATCACCGTGATTGATAAGATCTGGCGAAGTTATGACACAAAAAACAAACAACGTAAACCTATGTTTTTTGTGTTGTAACTTTGTCTGTTCTTGTTTATTCACGGTGATTTTGGTGTCATTCGACTCAGCTCGAGGAGCTCTTTCGAATGAGCTATTATTTGACCAATTTGCGTTCTGCGAAATTTTTCCCAAAATGTCGAATGTCCGAATTCGGGTTCGGGATTCGACTTTTTCAAAATCCGAGCTCATATTCGTAATCTGCATATTTTTTTACCCTAGAAAAATCCTTTTTCTTATTTTTAAACTTTTTTTTCGAAGAAACCCCTATTCTCCGGGATTGCCCAAAAAACCTTTAAAATCAAAGCCCTATAACGAACCAACGTGAAAAAGCCATTATATTACACAAAAACAGTTTCTCATTTTCACAAATCTACTTTAATTTCTATTCATGGGAATCCTATAAATTACAAAAAGAACTTACCGCTGCTTGTACTTTAAATCCAGATGGAATGTCAGGAGCATCAAGCAAATCGTAGTCCAATTCTAAATATGTATAAAATTTTAAATTAAACTAAAAAAGCCTAATTTTATACCTTCATCATCAGAAATTAAAGGAAGATCAATACCTTCCATAGTATTTACTCGATAATTCAAAGATTTCCTAAAATATAAAAGTTTTTTTTATTGCAGGTAGTTAAAGAGATGTAGACAAAATGGTACTCGGCAAAATGGTTTATGTATTTTATGACATTTGTGTAGTACTCTGCAAAAATTGTCATTTTGTTATGTACCATTTTGTCTTTGTTATAGACGTGCTGAAATTAGTATAGACAAGAACGCGAGAGATGCTAAACACATTATCCTTTTCTGGAAAAAATAATTTTGTTTTATAAAATTTTCAATTTATTTTTAAGCTCATTTAAAACAATCTACGGAGAATTAAATATGCAGATTTTTGTAAAGACTCTCACCGGAAAAACTATTACTCTTGAGGTTGAGGCTTCTGATACTATTGAGAATGTTAAGGCCAAAATTCAAGATAAAGAGGGTATCCCGCCTGATCAACAGCGTTTGGTTTGTATATTTCCCAATTTTCTCTCAAAAAATCAGTCTTCTTAAGATTTTTGCCGGTAAGCAACTTGAGGATGGACGAACCTTAGCTGATTACAACATCCAAAAGGAATCTACACTTCACTTAGTTTTACGTCTTCGTGGTGGAAAGGTTGACATACCTATTTTTTGAATTTTTTTATAATAAAATTCTTTTAAGGTTCACGGTTCATTGGCTCGTGCTGGAAAGGTTCGTGCTCAAACTCCAAAGGTCGAAAAGCAGGAACATAAGAAAAAGAAGCGTGGCCGTGCTTTCCGTCGTATTCAATATAACCGTAATTATGTTTAAATTATTTTAGTTTAGAAAATATTCAGGTCGCTTCACCAATGTTGCTACTTCCGGGGCAGGACGCCGTCGTGGCCCTAACTCCAACGCTGCCTAAGATAATGGTCGTATGTTGATGAATGTATGGTGATATAATGAATCTAAGACATTCGACTTTATAAAGTTTTCTGTTGTTCAAGATAAATCTTTCTGTTGATATATTTGTTTTTTTGTTCTTGATTATTTTTCATAACATACCTACGTTTAATTATTTCACATTTATTCGTTTTATTTCCAGAAATGGACCTCGTTTATCACGAAAGGGTTTGTTAAAGGGTTATTTTCATTTCTCATCTTATTTTTAGCAAGTCGGTCGTATGTGCGCACAGCATGCACTGAACATGTTATTACAAGGGAACTACTTTACTGCGGATAATTTGGTGGCTATAGCTCATGAACTTGATGCTCGTGAACGAGCTGTGCTTGGTGATGAATCTCATTTTCAAAGTCAAAATTATGATGAGGTATGTGACCTTTTATTGAAGCAAAATAATGTTCCAAAATTTAGGGTGGCTCTGGCTATTTCTCAATTCAGGCTAGGCTTTTCATTGTGCGGTCATCTCTTTAATTTAAGGTTATTACTGAAGCTCTGAGACGGCAAGCAAATCTTCATTTAGAAGCGCTGGATAGCCCTGCTGCTTTTAAAATTCGTCAAAACCCTAGGTTTAAGGACGTTAATTATTTGAGAAATTTACTATTTGTTTAGCATGGGCCAAGCATATATTTGTCATTATGAAGATCATTGGTTTGCTCTTCGAAAAATAGGTACAACATGGTTCGTTCTGAATTCTTTGTTCAAAACACCTCGAATAGTTTCGGAAACTTTTATGGAACTTTACATTACACAGCTTTATACAGAAGGTTTTTAATGTTTCAATTGTTATTTACAACTTTTATAATTTAGGTTGGTCAATTTATCTGGTTGAGGGACAACTTCCTTCTTGTGCTGCCGATAATGTGCCTCGAGAATTTTGGAATGAAGCTAGAAGATCTCGCAAATTTGAAAATGATTTGGAAAAGGCACTTGCTTTAAGTTTGAATGAGTCAGCACAACCTTGGATTGCCTCTAATGTATTTTATAATTTATGATTCCTAATCCTTTTCTTAAGTCTCCTGATGACGAGTTGACTGCTACCTCAGCTTCGCTCTCTAAACAAACTGAGGAATTGGAACTTCAGGTTTTTAGTTTTTTTTTTCACGAAAAATTAAAAAAAACTTTAAGCGGGCCCTTGAGGAAAGCTTGCGTGAGGCAAACAGATTAAAATCTTTAAAAACTGCTGAATCCTCGATGGTGCATGAAGCGATGAAACAAAGCTTACAGAAACCAGAAGAATCGGCAGCAAGTACTTCAATGTCTGGAAAATGTCAATCAAAGGATGATCAGAATTCCCAATCAAGTTCTAGCAGTTTGAGAAAATAATCTTTATAAAGCATTGCGTTCGTCATTGACTTGCAAAAATTTTTTTACAGTTTTATGCTAGGAAATAAAGTTTCGTTTTGCTGTCAGATAAATTCCGTGATTCATACACCAATACATATAGCCAGAAGGAATAATTTTATTCTCATAAATCCATATTAAATTTATAAATATTATTTTGGAGACTAAAAATTTTTTTACTTTGAGATTAATATTTCAACAGATCTTATTGTTTCTGGCATTATTTTTGTGTTGTATGCTTTATATAAAAGTTTCCGCTGCATAAAGATCATTTTCATTAATCTTTCTTGGTTAGATTGTTATATTTTCTTTTCTATTTAACAAATAAATTTTATTTAATCAAGGTTTATTTTTGATGAATGATATCATTTCATCACAAAAACAGGAGCAGTTAGGTGCGTTAGAAGGGTGAATTTGTTTTGTGGTTTAATTATATATTCTTTAAAATTTAATTTTAAATTACATTAGGATCTGATCAGTTTGCTGAGAAGAGCAGAGAAATTAATTCTTTAATTTCTTCATTCCCGGATGGAATTGTGCCAGAGTCATTACTCGGGGATGCTTTAAATAAAATGTTCGATAAATGGAATTGCCTGCTTTCGCAAGTTGTTACAGAAGTGGATCAAACTCAGCCAATCCCTGAGCATATTAAGGAAACAGCAGAATTTGCCGTTAAAGGGGTTGTTATATTTATTTTTTATCTTATTTTTAAATTACTTTTAGTTTCGAGATGCATGTCTTGGAATGAGCAGTGAACTCACACATATATTTATGAATTGGCAGCTTAAAAATCCTGATGAACTAACTAAACAGGTTTATTTGAAATTAAATACATTTCAACATTTTATTTTAGGAGGTTGCTGATTATAAAAAATCTGTTCAACGACAGGAAAATTTGCTTGAAAAAATTAAGTACAGAATTGACGAAGAAATTGATTTTTCGCTTCACGATACATTTGAATAAGTTTGAAATAGTATACATGCATGTATTTTTAATCAATAAATTATTAATTATGAAATACATTTTGTTAATTGTTAAACGTTTCCTGTAACTATTTTTTAAATGCTATCATTTTTTAATTTCTGCTGTTATAAATTAACAGAACGACAGATGTGGCACGAAGCAAGAAGGCAGGAAAGGGCTGTTCGCCACAAATTGGTTGACGGTGCAAAACGACATGAGCGCAGAAGGCAATTCTACGAGAGTGTGGTGAGTTGTTTTTTGTTTAAAATGATTTTATCTCCTTGCGAAATTTAGAGACGTGACCCTAATGAGTTCATGCAAGTTCATGGCCAGCATATGCCTATTCACGTCGATCCCGTAATTGCCGAGGCTGCTGAATCTCCCAATATTTTGTACTTTACTTTTATTATCTTGGCTAGAGTATCGCTTATGAACACATTGAAAATTTATTTTTCTTTTGTAATATAATTCGAAATGATCGAAAAGCACCATAAAAGTCGGATGAGTACATTTTTCATACGAAAAATGTACTTTTCAATGTGTACATAAGCGAACCCTTACTATTATTTTTTATATCTTACATATTTTAGGAGGAAATGGCAAGGAGACGACAATATATTAATTGACCGTTTTGATGTACGTGTTCATTTGGAGCAGATACAGGATCCGCCTTCTAAACAGGCAAAAAGGAATTTGTATGGTTAAAGTTTATCTTGTCCATATTTTTAATTTAGACTGAAAGATGATGTAATGGAACTGCAATGTGATTATGAACGGTACAGGATACTTGTATTTAATGATTTTAAAAAAGGTTGCTTTTGAAACTAATTTCGTTAACTAGCAACGTTTCACTTCGAAAACGATCACGAAAGTAGCTCTGCTTTTATTTTTATGTGATTCTTGAACTAATATTTTTGTTAGAATGATATTTCATTATATCACTAAATTATTTTGAATCCTTTAGAAATTAAATTTGGATGCGATTTTGATATTCTTTCACATAATTTTTTTTATTTTTCAGTTAGTGAGAGCAATTTTCTGGCTCAAATTGCAGCAAAAGAATTTTGGCCATCCAAGGGTTCTTCACCTTCTTCAACATATAAAAAAGAGCGAGAAAAGAAAAAGTATTTTTGGAAATATTTTTGAAATTTTTTATAATCAAAGGAATTCTGATAAACGTGCTGCTATTGCTTTCTCCTATGGAAATTCCGAGGTTGTCAGGAATTCGAATACCAGTAAAGATTGGAAGGAGAGACGAATAAATGATGCAACCATGAGCAGCTCTGATGATGATGAACCTGAAGAAATGGGTATTTTTAAATATTTACTTCACAGAAAAATCTGATATTTGAGGATGAAAATCGAATTTTATTAGAATAAGGCAATATTGGGATCTCTCACAGGGAAACATCGGATATTTTGTACACAAATTTGGTAATTCTTTTGTGCAATTTATAGAGGACCATCGACTTTCTATTGAGAAGTTATGCGGGGTTTTTTTTTTAGCAAAATGACTTTGGGCCGAGTTATGGCCAGTCAAAGTCGCTCATTTTCTCTCTTTTCCTTAAGCTCAATCACTCCTAAATACTCAAATTTTGAATGGCCATAACTCGGTCCAAAGTCATAGAAAGTCGATGGTCCTCTTTCGATTCGTACCAAAAAAAATTCGCAATTTTTTGTACACAGTATCCAATGTTTCCTTGTCAGAGATAAAAATCTTTAAATGAAAGCTTTAGCAAATTATTTCGGCTCTTGTCCAGTTTATGCGTTAGCAAAAAGTTTATGCGTTTAGTCAATGCCGATAATTACCCGGTTCTTCATTTTAGTACCATAGAATCTATGAGCATAGAAAGCTACTCATCAGAGCTACTCATATACTGTATAGTCCTTTAACGATTGTTAACGGACTATACATTATAATACATAGAGACTGGACAAAAGCTATAGTTTCTTCTAAATTTAGATCCCGTCGTTGATACTTCTATACTAAATGCAGAGTCTTTAGCCTTTTTGAATAAAATTGGTACTAAATATAATATTACATCTGGAGCTTTTCTACAGCTTTTGGTTTTTCTATTCAAAATTATTTAAAAATTTTTAACTTATTTTTTCAAAGAGTTTGGATCAAAAAGAGCAAACGTCAACCGCTGAAATTAAAGAAATTGATAAGGCTAAATCGGCGTTATCAGTAAGTTTATATAAATTAATGTATCTTGAATTATGTTTAAAAAAAGTTTTATTTTAATTTTTTTCTACAATTAAAAGGGTCGTCATGCAAAAGCTGACAGAGCTGTTCTTAAAAGGTTTTTAGTTTTAATTATTTTTATAAGATTTAAAAAATCTTACTTTCACAGACGACGGGCAATGATCATCGGAAATTTGGGATCTACATTGGTATCCAATGAAGAAGCAACAACCACACTTTTGAGTTTTCTTTCATCTGCTAATAAAAATTCATTAAAAGAGGAGTGGGTTAATTTATGTTTAAGTAATAATTTTTAATTTTTAGAACGTCTTCAAGTGATTCTGGAGAGGATTTTGAAAGAACAGAGTTTATTACTTGTTTTGGTGAAGACGATGAGAAAAATGTTGGTAAAAGGAATATGATGTGCGGTCCTGATGAGAATGATGGTGAAAAAGGTGTTGTGCATGGTCCTGTTTTGCCAACAAAGGAATACAGGCGACTTTTGTAAGTTATAGAAAATAATATAAATTTTATATTTAATTTTACTTAGGGAACTATCAAGACGAAAATCTATCAGCCCCGACTCTCAATGGAATCGTCATCAAAGTGATTCTAAATGCGGGAGAAGATATTCACGATCTTCTAGTCCACATTCCCCGCGTAAGAAGCGAAGATCTCATTCTCGCTCTTCATCTACTTCCTCTCGATATCTAAGGAGATCAAATTCTGGAAGATATGCCTCTTCATCTCATAGAGAACACCGTGATTCAAACCGAACGAGAACAAGTTACCGGAAGAGGCGTTCATCATCTCGCCGACGCAAGAGTTGTTCATCTTCCAGTTCGCCTTCTTCTAGAAGAACTAATTCAAATAAGAATTCTTCGGGTCATAAACGCATTAACGGTGAGGAAATGTTAATTTTTAGTAGAGATCAAACTGGAAGTGTAGTACTAGAGATATGAGATTTGAATTTCGATTCCCAATGACCGTGAGTTTCGTTCGAGAGTCCGTAGTTGCTGTTTAGACGTACCAACTGGGATTTAAGATGAGAAGCCATCCACTGACCAAAATAAGTGAAAGTTTAATTAATGAGGGCTGATTTTATTTTTATTGGAAAGTTTATTTTTAATCTTTTAATTTTTATATGAAACAGGAAATGAGTCAAGTAATACTTCTTTTAAACAATCTTCACATTTGGCTAATTCAAATGATAGTTCTTCATCGTTCAGTACCTCTGATAACGATTCTCCTTTAAGAATTCGTTCATCAATGAGTGAATCAGAAAAAGAGAAAATTGAACGTGAAAACCGTAAGAGACGAATTAGGCGAACAAAGCGTATTGTGAAGTGGGTTTTAAATTGGTATTTTTCTGTTTCAATGATTTGAATGTTACTTCAGAGAACAACAAGCAACGCGAGAATTAAACAATCGTCAAGATGATGTCGAAACGGTGTTTTTTTCTTCTTATAATTTTTAATCATTTTCTTTAAGAGAGCAGAAAAAGCAGCCAAAAAATTGCGAATTCAAATGCGGAATGCTTTAACTAAAACTGCCGCACAATTGAAAGAAGAGGGAGAGCAACGGCAAAGGGAAATATTGCGAGAAAAGAGAGTAATGAATTTTTTAACTGAATTTAATATCTTAACTTTTCTAATTTTAAGCAACGCGATGATCAATTACTTGAAGAATCTCGTTTACTTCGACAGAGGGAACGTGAAAAACGACGTGCATTGGATGAAGAACGTGATCGTCAGAGGAGCAAGGAGCAGAGTAGTCGTCAATCGAGTAGCACAACTAGCAACAGCAGAAGGCGTCGACGTTCATCTTCGAGTTCTGGAAAATGAGGAAAATTTCAAGAAAAATAATAATTGCTATTCACTGAATTTATATTTTAAGAAATATTTTTCATGTCAAATAATTGATTTGCCTGATTAAATTGTTGATTATATGTAAAATAGTTTAGAATATTTTTTTAATTTTTATTTAGTAAAGTTATCAAGTTTTTTTAAATAAATTATTTTCGGCAGTTGTTTTTTCAGTTTACTTTTTACAAATATTACTAATTTAGATTTAATCTTTTAGTTTACTATGATTTCGAATTTTGGACAAAAGATTTCATCTTTATTATTTTCTGAAGGTTCTAAACGCTTTTTGTATTTTACCAGGTTATTCTTTTAATAATAAAAAGATCAAAAAAATTTAAGGCCAATTCATGCAACGTCAATTAATTATCAAAATGTTAAAGAAGGTGGGGGAAATAAATTTGAAGAAGGCAAAAATAAGTCAACTGAAAAAGGTATAAGTGATATATTGTCGAGTGGTGAAGGTTTTGCTATGCCTTTCAAAACTGAAGTAACGCCCGAGTTAGTTCCGCATCATCATTATAAGGTTATATTTTTAAATTAAAAATATCCTTGAAAATTTTAACACTTTTTCATAGAGGGGAATAGATTTTATATTAAAATATTCATTAGTCCAAAAATAAGTCAAATTTTATATAGAATTTATAAATTTTATATAATTATATAGAATAGTTTCCACAAACACTATTAATATTAATTCCCAAAAACATTTCTTTAAGGGTTCACACGTGTAAATTATGAATATATTTTTAATAGAAACAAAACATTTATTTTTAAAGGATTGGAATAAAAGCAAACGTACAGTTTCTAGAAACATGCCTACACTAAATCTTCTTGAAAAAGAAGAAATTGAAGGAACAACTGGAAGTTCAACGTTTCTTCCCTTAATTTTTTTTAAAATTTATTTTTAATTTTTAAAGTCTTCTTTCAATTGCAACATCTCGAGTAGATGAACAAATGCCATCTTTAGCAACATTGAAACAACTTTTTGGAGGGGTTCCATATGAAAGGTTACCAATTGTAATTATTAATGCTAAATATACAAATACAAAAATATGTGTTACTGATCATCAGGTTATTTTTTAAAATTAAAAATAAATATTTGAATTAACAAAAGATTTTTAAAAAATAATTTGGACTAAAAAATTTATCAAAAAAACAAAAATTGTCCAATATCCTTTCCATAGGGTGTTATTATCTGTCAAACTACAGCAGGAATAGAAGGTTTTAAAAATTCAAAGAAGAAAACTACTCTAGCTGGACAAGCAACTGGAGCTGCTGCAGCTGCAAGAATGATTCGAAGAGGAATAAGAATAGCTAGAATAGTTGTTAAAGGTATTGGACCTGGAAGAATGACAGCTGTTAAAGGACTAGCTACAGGAGGAATTGAAGTAGTTTCGGTAAGAGAGAGAGGGAATTTTATTTTTTATATTAGGGCTGGAAAACATTTACAAAAGAAAGGGAATATTTAAAATATTTTTATAATTAATAAACATTGTTTTTATAGATAACTGATAGAACTGCACTTCCAGAATTGGGTCCTAGACCAAGAAAGATAAGAAGGGTTTAAAGAAAATACTTTTTTGTTTGTCAAAAATATAATTGTTTTTTGTTTTATTTTTTGTCATTAATATATAGTAAATAATAATTAAAATTATTATTTTAATTTTTAAAAATTTTAAATTAAACTAATAGTAAAAATAAGATTTTCGATAAGTGCTAACTGGACTAAGTCTTTTCCTTTATTGAAACAAAGGAATATTGAAGAGCGGAAGAAAATAAAGGTTGTTAAAGTAAATGAGACGGTTTTTGTATAATGAAAAAAATCTGAATTTTTACCAAAACAAAATTTTGAAGGTTACAAATAAATTTGTCTCGAAATTTTGTTTAAAAAATTTTATTTCAATTTTTAAATCCACCATTATAATTTTCTTTTTATTTTTAAACTAAAGTCGAATTATAGTCCCATAATGCATTTGTTCAATTTGAGGTCTTCTAGCAGTACTTTGTCTTCTTTGTCCATCCATGTCTGTTTCGTATTCCTCAACTTCTTCAATAGGTAATTGTTGGGAGAAAAGTTTAGAAAATGTTGCTGATTTTGAGAGGGAGGAAGGGGTTAAACGTCCCTCTAATGAATAGGAATCAGAATTAGAATGTAAATTATTAAAATTATTTGTATCATCTAATTGTTGTTGTTCTGTAGAGAGAGAACAATCAAATGATTGGCATTTAATTGGTGAACCTTTAAAGAAATAAATAACTACATTAAATAAAAAAATCTTTTTTTACGTCTTTTCCTTTCATTTCCAAAATTATTTCCAAAATTATTTGGTACAAAAATAAAAGGTTCGGATACTCTTCTTTGTTGTTTTTGTCTTCTTTCTTCAAAATTATTTGAATTTGTTTTCATTAAAGCTTCTGATCGTTGGCGCCGATGATTATTTGTTTGGTTATTTAATTGGGCAGAGAATGTTCGTTGATGGATTGGGGGCTTTTCTTCTTGCTTTTAAAAAGGCTCTTTTTTAACAAAAGAAATATTTCTTTCTTACAGTTCCACAAGTAATCTGGACTGAATGACGTCGATTGACAGGATTAAATTGAAATTCATTTTGTAAATCTTGTTTACTCCGAAATTCAGGATTTCTTTGTAGGTGTACAAAATCTCCCATTAATGACACCTTTTTTTGTTAAATTAAGTAATTATTATTTATCTTTTAATACAAGCACAATGTTTACAATTTTAAATTGATAAATGTTGGGGTTAGAAATTATAACAAGGCATTTTTTGCTGTATTCTATTCTACTTTTTTTGCCTTTTTTCTCTTTGTTTCCCTCAAATATTTCAAACTATTTTTTGTTCAGAAAAAAAGGAATTTAAGAATTAATTAAAAGAATAACTAACAGAAATTAAGTTATTATTTGAGGGAATTTAAAGAATAAAATGTAGCAACAAATAACTTTTGAGGGAATTTACCTTTATTTAAGCTATTTGGGGTATTTTAATAGATTTTGAACTATTTTTAAAACGAAAGTGGATATATAAAATTTAATATAGGATTATAACCTTAATTTGGATTTAATTATTTAAAACAAAATTATTCTAAATTTTGCTTACCAAAGAATCTTTTACTCCCATATTTATTTAATTCTTTTTAATTAATAAAAAATTAATTTTAAATAATTTAATATATATAATTTGTTCTTTATTTTTAATTAAAAATTTAATAAAAAAATATTAATTTTCTTTTAAATAAAAAATACTAGTTTTTTAAATAATTAAAAAGAAAGAGAAAATAAATTGGATAAATAAAAATAAACTGGTTTTAAAAGGAAGGAGGGGGAGGGGTAAATATTTAATGTAATATAGTAGATGTAATTATTAATTAAATAATTAATTAGGTATTAATGTCAGGTGAAATTAAAAGATGAAATTTTTTGTCATCATTTTTTGGGTGCATTTACACTTAAAAAATAAGAGGAATTTATTAATAAAGAATAATTTTTAAATAAAAAAAGTTGGAAGTTAAAAATAAATTCAAAAATCATTTTATTTATTGTTTTCTCTCAAAATTATATACCTAGTTCTTATTTTTAGTTTTAATAATTTCGTGAAACGTCGAAAAATGAACTCTAATATAGGTGAAATGTGGGGTTTGATTTTTAAAGGAATATTAACTCTAAGGCTAGCGGATATTCGGGGATTTACCAGAAACCGCCAACCTTAAGTCTCTAAACAAATTATTAAGCTTTTTCAATTAATTTCAGATATAAGAAAATGGGCAAAATTACAAACCTGCAAACCCGCAATTTCGACCCGTGACATCCCTGGCTCATACTTAATAAAAATTTTATTAACTAGGTTGGCCAAGCAGAGTTGAAAGGTATAAAAATTATTAGCTAGTTCAACATTTGTAGGTATTTATCAAATTAAGGGTTTTAATTATTTTAGACAATTTAACCAAATCATTAATATATCATATCTTTATCAATTTATTTCATCAAAATCAACTGATCATTTAGTTCAAAAAACTTTAGCCGATAATAACTTAATCCATCCCCGGCCACGTCTAACAAGTTATAAATTGTGTACATCCTTTGATTGTTTTAAATTTAATTGTTGGGTTAACTATTATATTTTTTTTATAAATTAATGGCTTCAAAAGTTAAGTAAAATCCAAATAAAAAATTTTAGTTAAAAAATTTAAACATTTTTTTTTATTTTTAATTTAATACATCCAATTTCTTTTTTTAATTTAAATATTTAATTTGTTTCTTTAATAAAAATAATTAATTAAAATGGAAAAAATTAAAGTTTTTTAATTAATATTTATTTAATAATATTTAATTTTTTAAAGTTAATTATTTATTTTTTCTTTCTTTCAAAAAGACTCAAAATGTTCACTTTCTCGAGAAACATTTGCTTAAATGAAACAAAAAATGAGTAAAAAGGAAAAAGAAAATAAAAGTGCCAAATAATGTCGGAAATGCTCCAATTTTGAGAGAGAAAAAGAGAGGAAACAAAAAATGGATGTTAAAGTCCCTTCTTGAGTGGTAAAAAAAGAAGGAGAGGAAAAAGAAGGATTGAATTAGTAGTTTAAAAAAAGAACTTCTTTTCTCTTTTTTCTACCAGCCATTTCTAGTATATATCCAACCAACCAGCCAACAAACTCTCCCTCTCTTTCATGTGCCCCCCCCCCCAAACATTTCCTCTTTTTTTTCATTTTGTGTGAGTGCCATTGGCCAATCGATTTTAAAGGGAAAAGGGCGCAGACAGTGACAGCTAGTTTAGTTAAACATGCCATCCATTGCTTTAACTAAAAAAAGAGAGTCATTTTGATGCCAGTTAAAAAATACTTTAAACAATTTGTGGGTTTTTTGTTGAATGAATGAATGGATGGATTGGATGTGGATGGATATTTATTTATTATTTTTTTTTCAAGCCAGTCAAGTGCTTCCCCCCTTCCCCCTTCCCTTCCCCCCTCCCTTCCCTCTTTCTTCCTTTTTTTTGATTCATTTAGTCTAATAGCTAATTGTTTTTGCTTTCGTTAACTGAGCGGGAATGCTTTTTTACATAACCAAACAAGGATTGAGGAGAGAATTCTTTGTTTAAATAACTCTTCTCTTTTATTTTATAAAATTTTTAACTAAAATTATTAAATAATTTTTTAAATAAATTATTTTTATTTAAAAATTAAAATAAAAATTATTTAATAATTAATTAACAAAATTTATTCTTCCCCCCCCCTCCCTTTCATTTTTTATTGTTTCGAATTCCAAAATTAATCTTCTCTTATCTTTTTTTAAATAAAATTAAAGATCTTTTTTAATAAACGTAAAACAAATCAAATACAAATAATTTTTTTAACAAAAAATTTTTTATTAGTTATTGCAATAAAGAAGGCTTCTATGTATTATTTACATTATTTACGTCAAATAAAATTTTAAAAAAGTAAATAAATTTTTTGGTTAATTCTCTTGTATTTTTAAATTTTTGTTTATAAAATATTTTAAAATTAACCGTTTTTGTAAAATTTTAGAAACTAAAGATTTTTGGAAAAGGCTGACTTGTTTTTAAAAATTTCCCCAAAATCGTTTATTCAATTTAAACTCAACACCAAAAAATCAAGGGGGGGGGGGATATTTGTTAATAACAAATTGTTTGTTTGCATAAACCTTTCTTTTTAGACATAATTAGGTATTTTAATTTTCAATTATATAAGTTTTACTTTTGATCAAATTTTAATTAATTTATTTTTAATTTAATTAAAAACCTTATTCTTTTCTTTATTTATTCAGTAATTGTTAAACTTTTTAATTAAGAAATTTAGACAAATAAATTATTATTTTCTTTTGTTGTGTTTAAAATAAATTTAAATTTGATTTTTTAATCAAAAAATATTTTTCTTTTCATTTATTTAAAAATTCATATGAATTCCAATTTTTAATCAAACGGCGTTTTTTGTTTAAATTTTCTTTTAATTTATTCGAAAAATAAAATAATTATTTTATATATTTTTTGCAAAATTAAAAAATTTTTTTGAAAAGTTTTTGTTTGTTTGTTTTTAATTAATTGTTCTAATTTTCCTTTAAAATTCTGGGTCCTTCAAATTCCCCTTAATTTCGATTTCAATTAAACTTAACTTTAAAAAGCTCTAATATTTAATATATTTAAAGATTTAGTAGAATATACGGATAGATAGGTTACCACAATTTTTATTCTAATATAACTACCTCCGGTTCTACATATTTTTCAATCCCTCCATTTGGATTAGAGACTGTGGTTCTGTTAGAATAAATACATTTATAGTCAAAAATCTTTTAGTTGCAGGTCTATTCCTCTTTTTGTTTTGGCTAAACTTTTACTCTTAACTCTTCTTCTAAACAACCAAATTATTTTTAAATAATTATTCTCTAAAAATAAATAAATATTTAATTTAATATTAAAAAGCTGTCCCTCTCCCCCTCTTTTCTCCTCCTTTTTTCTCACGACTTCCCTTTTAATTTTTTTTCTTTTTAATTTTTTGAAAAATTGTTTGTGTTCATTTAAAAAAAAGAGAAAACGTGTAAAAATAATAAATAAAAAGCTTTTTTACTTTTTAAAAGAATTGATTTTTTCTCGAATATTTATTTATTAATTTCTTGTCTTTTTCATTGTTTTATTTTTTTAAATAAACATAAATTTATCTTGGCTGTAAAAATATTTAAAATAAAAATAATTAAATATGTTTTTTTTAATTTAATCTTGAACATATTAGAGCTTCGCCGGAAGTTCCGAGATTTTTTGGTTCCGGTTTGGTTGTAAAGTTCCGGTTTCGGTCCTTCAGTTCCGGTTAAACCAGAACTTTTTAACACCCCTAAGGATTTGATTTCGTTGAAATTAAATGGTGAAATTAGCTTCTCAAAGTACCTACATAATTTCAATATTATTTTTAAACAAAAATTGTTTCTAAAATGTTTTTTTAAAAAAATTCTGAATCTCTTTTCTGTTTATTTTAACGGCAACATTATACCTAAACAAACCTAGATAATATTTTTATTTAATTAATTTTAAAACTTTTTAAAAATAAAATATTTAAATTTATTTAGCAAAAAAATAATATATAAAATTTTTTTGTCTTTTTCTAAATGCATTTTGTTATTTTTAACTGCCATTTATTAATTAAAAACAACAACAACAATAATAATAATAACAATATATTTTTTTAATTAAAAAATTATTTCTTTTTTTTATTTAAAAATTAATTCGTCGGTGCATGTTTTTATTAAAAAATATTTTTATTTATTTTTATTAAAGTCGTTTTTGAAATAAATAAATGGTTATATTTAATGGAACAGCAAAAATTCGAGTTGTTGAGGCTCGGGAATTAAGGCCTACAGAATGGTCTAAAAGGTTTCTCTCTCTTCCAAATATTTCTAATTTTTCTCAAAAAAGATTTACTCAATCTGATGACCCAGACAGTCAATTACTCGATGCTTATGTAAATGTTGATTGTGATGAATACCATATAGGGCAAACAGTTACTAGACCAAAAACAAAAAGTCCAATTTGGAATGAAGATTATCAAGTATTTATTAAATATCCCCAAAAAGAGTTTTTCTCTCAAAAATATTTTTTAGACAGAAGTAAGGAGTGGAAAGGAGTTGGGATTTACAGTATTTCATGATTGTGCTTTACCTCCCGACGATTTTGTTTCTAATTGTAGAATTACTTTCGATCATTTAACTTTGAGTGGAATTAATGATATTTGGGCAGATTTAGAACCACATGGACAATTACATTTACAAATTGAATTACAGGGAAAAGTTACTGAAGAAGGTGAGGGGAGGAACTAAATAGAAAATTGGGGAAGAAAGAAGAAAAATTTTAATAGAAATATTTAATTTAAGATAAAGAACCCCGTGTTTTCCAAGAACGTTCTGGAGCATTCAATGACCGCCAAAGGCGTGGAGCAATGCGTAGAAAAATCCACGAAGTTACTGGGTGTGTTTGTGTGTTAATTTTGATTTAAAAAGGATATTTTTAGACACAAATTTATGGCTTTATTTCTTCGACAGCCAACATTCTGTGCACATTGTAAAGAATTTATTTGGGGGTTAGTATGGAAACAAGGGTATCAATGTCAAATATGTACTGTTGTTGTCCACAAACGTTGCCATTCTGAGGTAGATTATTTCACCTCTATTAACATATTCAAGAAAGAGTTTAGCAAAAGTTTAGCCACCGGGCAGGATTCGAACCTGTGACCTCCTCGTAGATATTGCTAGGCGCTTTCCCTTACCACATACAGGCTTTACATCCTTACATAATTAGTTAAATGCAAACAACCCCCTATAAAAAATTAAATATTTTAGGGGAATTACTTGTCTGTCTACAATAAAACATTTAAAATTTGAATTAATTTAAATAAATATTTTTAGGTTGTATGGAAATGCCCAGGAAGTAAAACAGAAACTTTTTATGAAATACCTCCAGATGCTGTTGATGTAAATGAATATAAAATTTAAAAAAATTTAAATTTTTATAGCAAGGTCTTGGCCGTTTCAATATAAATATGCCCCATCGTTTCCAAATTCATTCTTATAAAAGGCCAACATTTTGTGACCATTGTGGTTCTATGCTTTACGGGGTTATTAAACAGGGATTACAATGTTCTGTTTGTAAATTAAATGTACACAAAAGGTGTCAAAGAAACGTAGCTAATAATTGTGGAATTAATGCTAAACAAGTAAAAAATAAAAATTATTAATTTAAATTTTTTACATTCCCATCATAAATTCATAAAAATTTTAAAAATATATTTAGTTGACAAATTATATTTAGAAAATAATAATTGATAGTAAATAAGGGTGTGATAGTTGGAAATTTTCGGATATCCGGATCCGAGGGTACACCCCGTTATACCGAGAGCCCAGTATACGCCAAGCTATAACTTCGTTCAAAATTGTCGAATCCGGGAGATCCTGGTATGGTTCGATTCAGCTCATTGAGGCGCATCGAACCATACCAGGGACTCCCGGATTCGACAATTTTGAACGAAGTTATAGCTCGGCAGTATACTGGGCTCGCGGTATACTGGCCTGCTCCCCGGATCCGATATCCAACCCGAAAATTTCCGGATATCCGGCCTTTTTCGGATCCGGATCAGACAACCTTAATAATAAATAATATGTTAATTTTACGCAGATTTAAAAATCTTTAAAATAAATTTTAAAGATGGCAATGGAATTAGCACAACTTGGTTTAACTGGTGATAAAATGTCTGTCAGAATGAGAAAACCATTAAGTATATCAACATCAGAAAGTAGTGCCTCAAGTAGTTGCACACAAGAAACATCAATAACAACAATAAAAAACGATATAATTTCCTCTTCAAATATAAATTCTTCTTCTTCAACATCTTCTTCTCCAATATCTTCAAATTTGCCTTTAACAAATATTTCTTCTACACAAATTATTTCACAACAAACAACAGTCATTTCTCCCCAAGATAAATTAAATATTAAATCTTCTACTGCTTCTATTAACGATTTTACTTTTATTAAAGTTCTTGGAAAAGGATCTTTTGGAAAGGCAAATTATTTTTTTAATAAATTTTTGTAAACCTCTTTAAATTAATCGAGTCCTTCTTGATTACTAAAACAAAGTATTAGCTTAGATAAGCTTGTTAAGTTTAATATGCTAGCCAAACTTATATAGAGGCAAATATTTAGAGGGTTATTTCCTCTGTATTTTTATAATATAATGGTTGTTATCGTTATTAATATTCTATAATAAGCACCGCGAGTGCTAGATTAGAGACAAACTCTCGAATCTACCGATATCCATCTTAATCCCTATTATTGTCCCAGATATATCCAAATTGAACCTTATCCGCCAAATCCACCTATATTTGAAGGCTAGGAGGGATATAGAAAGATATTTTTTGATTAAAAGTTTGGGATTTTGGGAGATATCAGAGCATTTGATCCTCCGTTATCTCTGATATCAGTTCAAATCTCCTATTAATCCTTGGTCTCCAACTCTATTACTATTTTTGAAATAATTTAGGTAATGCTGGCAGAAAGAAAAGGTACAGAAGATGTATTTGCCGTGAAGGTGCTCAAAAAAGTGAGTTTACACATCTTTTATAAGATTTGTTTGAATTCCTCAGGATATAATTCTTCAAGATGATGATGTTGAATGTACATTATGTGAAAAAAGAATTCTTGCCCTAGCTGCCAAACATCCCTTTTTAACTGCTTTATTTTGTTCTTTCCAAACACATGACAGATTATTTTTTGTTATGGAATATGTTAATGGAGGTGATTTAATGTTTCAAATTCAAAGAGCAAGAAAGTTTGAAGAACCTAGAGCTAGATTTTATTCTGCTGAAGTTACTTGTGCATTACAATTTTTACATAGACATAATGTTATTTATAGAGATTTAAAATTGGTGAGAGAAATGAAGGAAAATATTCCTTAAAATTTTCTTTTAAATAGGATAATATTTTACTCGATTCTGATGGTCATTGCAGATTAGCTGATTTTGGAATGTGTAAGGAAGGAATTACTCGAGATAACTTAACATCTACTTTTTGTGGTACACCTGATTATATTGCCCCAGAGGTGTTTGCAAAAAAATTTTCTTTAAAAAAAATAAAATATACTGTACAGATTTTACAAGAAATGGAATACGGATTTTCTGTTGATTGGTGGGCATTGGGCGTTTTAATGTATGAAATGATGGCTGGACAGCCCCCTTTTGAGGCAGATAATGAGGATGATTTATTCGAAGCTATACTGCATGATGATGTTTTATATCCTGTTTGGTTAAGTCGAGAAGCTGTTTCAATTCTTAAAGGGGTTTGTAATTATAGACAAACTTCTTTAATTATTTTTAAAGTTTATGACAAAGAAACCACAACGCCGTTTAGGATGTATGGAATCACAAGGAAGGTAAAAAACTGCTATTTTAATTAGTTTGTCAGACGTACACTTAAAATTAAGGGAAAATGTTTAGGTTAAACGGGAAAATTAAGTAAACATTTGGTCATAAACTTGAATTTAAAGACTCCATACATATCTCTCCCCACATAGATGAGAAACCCCTTATAAATGATGTTAAAATTATATATTCCAGCGAGGATGCAATCCGTGCACATTCATTCTTTCGAGAAATCGACTGGGATGCATTAGAGGCACGGAAAGTAAAACCACCATTTAGGCCAAGAATTGTAAGTCCTTTTCTCAAACTTATTAATCAAAAAAATTATTTTTTAGAAAGGCAAAAGGGATGTAAATAATTTTGATGCAGATTTCACTAAAGAAGAGCCAACACTAACCCCAACAGATCCAACAGTTATGAAATCAATTGCACAGGATGAATTCCGCGGATTTTCATTTATTAATTCAGAATTCAACAGAGAATAATTTGCCTACTCTTTTTTAAATTTTTTGACCAAATATTTTTTTTTCTTTTTGCCCATATTTTTGACTTTTCCTTTAATATTTTAGGCCCAATTTTATCTTTTAAAAATAACAAAGTTCTCGCCAAAATTTCTTTTTTTTTGTGTACAAATGGTAAAAAATGTACATTTCATTTAAATTAAAAAAGTTTTATGTAGATAATAAAATGTAAAAATTAATATAAAAAAAACTAGTGACCGGTAAAATCAATTTTTCCGGAACCGGATCCGGATTCCGGATTTGCAACTTGAGCCGGACCGGATCCGGCCGGATTTTTCCGGATAAATCCGGTCCGGTTTTAATCCGGTAAAAATAATTTCCGGAGTCCGGCAGAAATTATCCGGATTCCGGACCGGACTCTGGTTTTTTCCGGATTTTTCAAAAAAAACTTTTCAGTAATTTTTGTGTTAAAATGTTGTAATATGTGTGTCGATTATGTCTTAAAATGTTGTTAGAGGGATATCTAAGGATTTTGGAGGCTATGAAGTATATTTTGTAGATTTTTCGAGGTTAAAAGTTTGGAAAATAAAGTAATGAGTGTTTGGAATTTTTAAATTTGCTCCTACTTTCGTATAGGCCTTTCTTTACGTCGTACTCGTACCTGGAGTCCAAGGAGCAATATTTCCTCCAAGGATCCTCTTAATCTCAGATCCCTTCCATGCGCCGCAGGTGAAAATTTTGAAAATTTTTGAAGGCCATGAAGCAAGATTTCTTACATTTTTCACCGCCGGAGGCGAAAATTTCGAGAATTTTGGAAGGCCTCAGGAGAAAAAATTCTATTGTTAGAGCCGCAGGCAAAAATTTTTTTGAAGTTTAGATGGTAATGAAGCTTAAACTCTCCATACCCACCCTAATTTCGGCCTAGTACTGAAACTGAGTTGAGGTATATACAAGGGGGACTCAGTCGTGCCTTCCGGGTGCGATTTTTGGAAGGCCAATAAGAAGACTGCATCCCTTTTCAGCGCCGCAGGCGAAAATTTTTTGAATTTCAGTAAAGTTAGGGGTCAAAAATCCACCCTTTTTATAAAAATACAAGAAAAAATGGAAAAATTCCAGAACCGTATAAAATCCCAAATCCGGTGCTCAAAATTTGCCGGACCCGGATCCGGATTTTCAACTAGAGCCGGACCGGATCCGGCCGGATTTCTCCGGATTAATCCGGTCCGGTTTTAATCCGGAAATTTCAAAAAAATCCGGATTTGGGACCCGGACTCCGGAAAAATCCGGCCGGATCCGGTCCGGCCCCGGTCACTAAAAAAAAACTGTCAGGGATACACGTTATAAAAGAGTCTCGTCTTTAAATTTTTAAAATTGCAGAACCATTTAAATAGGAGGTTAAAATTTTTAAATAATTGGTCAACTTTTAAATAGGTATATTTTTGTGATTAATTTCTTTTTAAGTTTTCCTTTTTAAAAAAGGATGAGAATCACAATTGTTTGTTGCGTGAAAGTAGTCAAAACGATAATTATATAGTCATTCTAAAAATCGGGCAAGCACAGTCTTATGTTGTTACAATTTAAGAAGAAGAGAACCAACTCATTGGTCTTTTTTCACGTTTCTTTGATCCAACTTTATAAAATTTTTTTTAAATATTTACCCTTAAATAATCCATTTTAATTACCTCCATTTCTAGTTACTGCTTGATAAAGATGTTGATCATCTTGTGTAGATGAATTCATTTTATCGTCCTGTTCAGCCATATATTCATGGAGTTGTTTCATTTGCTCACCATAGTTTTGTTGCGTTGTCTCAAGTGTTTCCTTTAAAAATCTTAGATTTACTAAATATTATTTTTAGAATAATTTAAAGGAAAATTATATTTTAATTTAAAATCAAAAAATGTTTTTCGAACAATATTTTTAATAAAAAAAAATAATTATAAAACAAACATGCAGCAATGTGCATTTGTCCTCAAGATCACGAACTTTGTTTTGCAGGTCTTCAATTTGTCCAGCATCAGAAAGATCTTTTCTAACAAGCTCCTCACACTTAAAAATTATTGAATTAAAAAAAAAATTACAAAAGAAATATTTTTTGTTGCACACCTAATGGAGGACTATTCTCTTTGAATAGAGAAAAACCCAACGAGAATGTGCTGTTTACTTTATGAAGAATGTAACACTGAAAAAACCTTTAAAAGAGGTTAACAGTTGACTATTCTTCAAGAAAATAACCTCAACCAAAATATAATGTAAAAGACACTGTTCTCAAAATTATCCGACTAAACCACAGAAGTACCACAACAAACAACTGAAAATTATTTACCTCTTGTTTGTAATATGTCGCTCGTCCAGTGGCATGTTGCAAAGATTTTGTTAAAGTAGAGATTCGTTCAGTATAATATTCTTCCAACAATCGTCTCTTTGCCACAATTTCTTCATTTTCTACGTCAGTTTGATCTGTTGAGTCAACCGAAACAGCAGAATCAGATGGCTTTCCATCACTTTATAGAAATATTAAAGAAAACTATTTTCAAAAAAAACCTTGAACGAGAACGGGAATGAATGTCCATTTCTGAATTGGAAAGTTGCTCTCCAAGATTTGAACATCCTCCACAATCGGGTGAAGTAATAGTGGCATTGCCCTTTATATTTGAAAGTGAATTTGTTGGCTAAAAATATATTTATAAGGTTAAAAACAAAAAAATATTTTAATTCACCAAGTCTGTGTTGGCAGTCTTTACAAAATTGGTAGAGCCATTTAACGATGAAATATTTCTGAGTGATGAATTTTCTTTCTGTAATGACTCGATTCGTTGAAGTAACTCATTAGTAGTCTCTGTAGAGCGCCTTTCAACGTCAAAAAGCTAAAAAGAAAATATTAAATGATGCCGAGAAGCATTTTCTCGTTAAGAATTTTATCTTAAAAATTTATTGTTAAAAATACTTTGGAGTGAAGAACACTATTTTCTAGTATTTTACGCTCCAGTTCCTCCTCCATAATAATATTTGGATCAGAAGTAGAAGTGCCGCCAAAAGTTTGATGTTGATGCATTCGAGTATTCTCAGCTACTAAACGCAAATTTGCCTCTTTATGTTTCTAAAAATTAAAAAATATAAAAGAATTAAGTAAATAAAAACCTTTTTCCCTTTGGTCGGTTCAAAAATTGAAAGTTGAGCTTCCAAACTTTCTTGTAAACTCTCAACTCGTTTTACAAGTTGATCATTTCGGAATGCAAGAGAGTCACGTTCGCTTTCTGTTTTTCTCAATTTAGTATCCCCAGCAGTGATTTGACGTTGTAATTCAGTCGTTTTGGCTTGTTCTTCGAGAAGTGCCGACTTCAAAACAGAAACCTGATTCCTAACCTAAAAAACAAATAACCATTCAAAAACAAATTCACTCATCAAAAAATAAAATTCCAAACTATATTTACTTTAAAAATTACCTTAACATATTCAACACTAAGCCGTTGATATTTTGCAGCAGGATCAATCCCAGTTGAAATGCTAGACATTTAAAAAAATAGAACAATCTAAAATAAGACAATCTAAAAGTTAATTTTAAAAATTATTTTTCAGTAAATGTGAGTAATTGCATTTTTTGAGTTTCATTCGGCTTTAACGTTTTGTGGGATAAGCTGATCAGCTCAACTCTGTTACAGAGATTACAATTGATATATTTAATTACTTAAATCCGTTAATATAAAAGAATAAAAAAGTTATGACTCAAAATACGGCCTCGCGACCGAAACAAGCGACTCTGAAACGGCCTTTACTGTTAAAAATTCACTTAGAGTCCTAAAAATAGAAAATTTTTCAAATATTCCTTAAATAAAAAACCAGGGACACGCCCAAAACCGTGTCCGGAAAATGCGTCAGAGGAAAATGCGTCAGTGGAAAATGAGTCAGTGGAAAATGCGTCAGTGCCCGGAAAATGCGTCAGTATAGCACTATTTAATAAAACCTAAGTACTGCTAAAGTTAAATAATTGTAATTATTGACCGGCAAAATCATTTTTCCGGGTCCGGAAACCGGAGTTTGGATTTCACACTCATGCCAGATTCACTCATGCCGGATTAACCCAGTCCGGTTTTAATCCGGTAAAAATGATTTCCGAAGTCCGGCAGAATTTACCCGGATTTTTGACCGGATGATTCCGTGGGATTTTTCCGGATTTTTCAAAAAAATTTTAATCTTTAATGTTAAAATGTTGTTAGAAGTATTGGATTAGAAGTGATTAAGTGGGATAATGGGAATAAAGTTATTAAATGGGATAACGGTGATACCCGCAGATTTGGGCGGATATCGGGGATTTTGCAGGATATCGTGGGATATTTGAGGATTTGGAGGGATTTAGCTGTGGACTAATTTAGTCGATACCCTCAACCGGCAAATTAAGTGAGTACAGATACAGGCCACACTTAATTTACCCCTACTGCCTTGACACGTAATAAAAAAAAGTGGTAGGTAGGGTAGCGGAAACTACCTGATAGATATAGATATCTATCAGACTAAATGATAGACTACCTACTCTAACCAGAGTAGCGAAAGCGTGATTTGACCCTAATCATCAGGTTTTCAGCAAAAATTTTTGAAATTTAGAATGCCGAGGTTTAAAAATCCTCTTTTTTTATAACAAATATAAGAAAAATAGGAAATTACAAGAACCAGATCAAATCCCAAATCCGGTACAAAAAATTTGCCAGATTCGAATTTCTGATTTGCAATACATAGAGCCGTCTCCTTCATTAGCGATTGTTAAAAATGTAGTACATATAATTTTTTTCATGTAAAATCATCCAAGGATTTTATAATCAAAAGGATTTTATAAATTTTAGATATATTATTTAACTTTAGCAGTACTTAGGTTTTATTAAATAGTGCTATACTGACGCATTTTCTACTGGCTCATTTTCCACTGACGCATTTTCCGGGCATTGACGCATTTTCCACTGACTCATTTTCCACTGACGCATTTTCCTCTGACGCATTTTCCGGGAGCCCCCAAAACTGCGCGGGCCAAAACTGCGCGCCCGAAACTACGCGACCGAAACTGCGCAGGCCAAAACTGCGCAAGCCCAAAACTACGCAGGCCAAAACTGCGCAAACTAACTAGCATGGATAGGATCTCTCCCATCGATTTCCGTCTTTTTTGCCGATTTTTAAAAGTCGGTGTTCCTCAAAATTTATTAAATGTAAAACATTCTAACAAAAAATTCAATAACCAGGATAATAAACCAGGAAAATAACATAGTTTTACAACAAAAATTTTGATTTAACTAGTTAGTCCTCAATAAGATGTGACCAAGCTTAATAAAGAGACTAGTTAGTTTCCTTTAACTAGTTAGTAAAAACCTTCAGAAAAACCTTCAGAACTTTCTCGACCAAAAACAAGTATTCTCTGCTCACCTCCTTTCCAGGTTCATATTCATAACGTTGGTAGTTCAGAGGAATTACCAAAATCGCGCGACTTTCAGGATTTTGTGGTGCATCTTGTGCCTGAGTCGAATCCGTTTAACTATTTTGCGTATAGCTGACTTGTCCGTTATGAGAATGTTTTTCTTTATTTTTTTCTCTATTTATTTTTACTAAATAGTTTTGCGCAGTTTTGGCCTGCGTAGTTTTGGGCTTGCGCAGTTTTGGCCTGCGCAGTTTCGGTCGCGCAGTTTCGGTCGCGCAGTTTCGGTCGCGCAGTTTCGGTCGCGCAGTTTTGGCTCGCGCAGTTTTGGGCTGTACCCAAAAAACCAAATTGTAAAGCATCAGTAACAAATATTTAATTTTATTCAAGAAATGGAAGGAACAAAGCTAAAGTGCCCGCATTGTCCTGCCAAAGTAGATTCTCGACGGGTAATATTAAAATATATTATTTTTTTTATTAATCTTTATTTTTAGTTTACATATCATCTCGAATGCTGTGTAGCATCAAAAAAATTTCCTTGTGATATTTGTGGTCGACGATTTGCAACTCAGAAGGGTGTCTCAGGACATTTAAGCAGATTTCATACTGCGGATGAGCGTGGAACAGAATTTAAGTGCAAGTTTGTTAATTTTCTTGTAAGTTTCTTTACTATGATTTAGGTATTGTGAGCAAGGGTCAAACAGCCGAAAGGACATGGACAAGCATGAAATGATGCATGAAGAAGCCGGAGGTCCTGGGTTTCGCTCGCGTTCTCGCTCACGTTCTCGTGGACCAGTGGAGAATCGTTCAGAAACAAGTGTTCAGAGTCCAGCAACTCCGGTCTATAGGGCTGCGAATAATAATTGTAGGTTTTCTTTGTGATTTTTTGGATTAAAAATTGAGGACTGAATTTGTTATTTTTTACGTTTTTTCTTGCCCTTGTATTTCTTTTATGGGGAATACAGGGGACAATAAATCGCAGACATTAAATTAAAAAAATGTCATTTCAGCTGCAACCAACTATTCGTTATCAAATGATCTTTTTACAACTCAAAGTGATGAGATGATGCCTCGTTATCCTACTTCTCGATCACGGAGCTTGAATGTTGATAGGTCTCGAAGTAAGGCAGCTGTTGTTGCGCAAGTATCTTCTCATGTTCGAGACTCTCAAGGTTTAAATGCCTCTTAAACTTATCGTAAAATTTTATCTTTTTTTAGTTTATAAACGCCCTACCAATATCACGTGGGCGTCTATACATCCCACTCCGAACAATATTGCCAATATTGCACATGCGAGCATAAATTCTATTCATAATCAACGAGAGGATTTGGTTATTTTTTCTTAATATCTTTATAAGTTTCCATCTTTAAGAATGTTTCTAGTACAACTGCTGATGTGAATCTTGAGCATGAATCTCACATTAACAACACAAATATTTTTGATGGAGATGCTATTCGTAAACGAATTGCCGAAGAAAATAAAGGATTCGCTAATGCTGTTAAGGTTATAATTATTTAAAGTTTAATTCTCAGTCTTCCTTAAAAGGAAATGGTATTCCTCTTTTTTACTTTCCTTTGGTTGAAAGGCTTCCCTGATAATTTTTTATTTTAAAAATATACAAATTAAGTTGCTTCGCAAGGAAAATAAATCACTGCGTACTTTTTGTTTGACAAACGACTTTCAACTGAGTGATAATGATCCTATTGAACAGATAATTCGAGGTGAGAAATTCAATATCTTATATATATTTTATTTTTTTGAGAATATGAGAAGCGTTTTGGGTACCTTTCAGAAAGTGATGAGGATATGTAATTCGATGGTGGATTAAAATTAACGAAATATTATGTATTTATGATATTTAAAAGCATTATTTTATTTTTATTTAAATGTATTTCTCAAATCCTAATCTTTTTTGCAGCTTTATCTCTATTATATTATATCCAGTATTTTAAACTAACATTTATTAAATTTATTTAAATAAAATTATTTTAAACAATTTTTAATTACAAATGTTTTTTATTAAATAATTACATAGTATCTTGAAAATTTAATTTATTTAAATTATATTTTTTAGAAATTAAAATTTTTTGTATAGATTTTAAGCTCAATGTTTGGAAATTATAAATCATTTAGAAATCCTTCAATTTCTTTCATTGGTAGAGTTGGACAAATAAACACTAAACAGGAATGTTCGCCCTCAAGTATGTTTTAATACCCTAAGAATAAAACTTAACGTATTTGAACCCTTACCATCAAACATTTATTCACGTTTTACTATTATATTTTAAGCATCGAATTATTTATGTTCTACACCGAATACAATGCTTTATACTCGTGGTGGACACATTCCTCATTTAACCTGGGATCTTTTTGATAGCCACATTGCAGCTTATGTTGAACATTCGAGATTGTTAATTCAAATTTCTCTACAAAATATGTAGGTTCTAAATTGTTGAAACAATTAAAAGTTTTTATTTTAGATTTGACTTTCTTGAAGTTATTAAATTATCGGGAGGAATAAAAAACTTTTATAGATTTGAGGTTTAAAATTTAATGAGAAAAAAACTTTAAGATTTTTTTTAGCCTGACCATTTTCTCCACCTTTCATTGTTAGACCCACTTTGTGCTAGAGATGTTGTGTCGAATCGTTTTATTCATTTTTGGAGTAGAGGCGGTAGAAAAAAGGTATTTTTATATTTTTTGAGAAATTCTTAGGATTTAAGAATTTTTTGGCTTTTGAAGATACTAAATTTTTTTCAACTCATTTTTTAATTTAGATGGATATGGAACAATTCAAAAACGCAATCGAAACAATTATTCCTGATAGTTTTCAAGCGCCCTTTGATTTTGATACACCAATTGATTGCTGCAACAAAAAATTACAAAAATGTTTAAAAAGGAGTAGAAGTTTTTTTGAAACATTAAAAACGAATTCTGAGGATAATAATTGTTTTGATAAAAGAACAGTATTTTCAATTGGCGGTGGACCTTCAATTTTTCATAGAAAAATGTTTGTAAAAGAATTATTGTTACAACTTTGTCCTGACAATATTGAAGTTATCAATTTAGATTTATTTTTATGGAGTAAAATTGGGAACAAAAAAGAAGAAAATTTCGATAAAGAATTTTTGAGACAACTTATTGCTGAGACATTGGTAAGATTTTTTTATTTTTAATTCACTGCAGTATGGGAGTCGCTAAAACTTTTCCTGTCAATAGTATCAGGCTATTTTATTTTAAATAATTTTTAAATTTTTGATAGTTATCTCTTTCCAGCAAATTAAATTTCATTATTCTAGAGTTATCTTCCTCAAAATAATCTTCGAATTGTTGAAGGCCCATTTGATCCGTCACAAGTACTTTTCCTTTTTAAGCAAGGTGTTGACTTATTTGACTCATCTTATCCAACTTTTCTTGCTGAAAAAGGTTTTGCTTTTCAACTTTTAGAAGGATTTCCGTTGGATGATAATAATGAACAATTCTCTTTAATTGACTTGAATGAAAAAAAGTATTTTCAAATTATGAGAAAAAATTTAAGAAATTAAATTTTAGGTATTTGAATGAACATAAAACACTTTTTCCAAATTGTGAATGTTACACATGTAAATTAGGAAATGGATATACACGTGCTTATATTGGACATTTATTGTTGTGTAAAGAAATGTTTGGATATACTTTGTTGATGTTACATAATATATATGAATGGTTAAGGATGTTTTCTTTGTTAAAAATGTCAATTGTTAAAAATTTAGAAAATAAATAAAATGGATAAATATTAAAAAATCTCTTTTTATTAATGTTAATCAAGCTCTCAAAATATCTTTTATCCAATACTTTTTTAGTTTTGAAGTGATTATAGGATGGAAGCTTTGCTTTTTTCTAATTTAACTTATAGATGGATGACACTAGTTTTTCACCTACAAAATTATTGGATGATTCTTCATTTGTCGGACCTTCTTCAACTTCTATTGGTAAACAAATAACATTTCAGGAGAAAAAACACAGAATTCTCTACGGAGTCTCGCGGGATGATTATCTAACTGCTTTTGCTGCGGATAAGAAAAGATTAAAACTTGAGAAAAGTAGCAAAGATGGTAAAAGAAAAGAAACGAATGCACCTTCTCTTGATCGAATTCCAATGCCAAATTTACCAGAAAATGTGAAAGTAGAATATCGAGCTTCGATGAAAGATGCACAGCAAAGAAAGGTTTTTTAATCAATTTTTATTTTCTTTAAATATTTTAGTACCGAATTTCACAAGAAAATCCTCCTTCGGTTTGCCTTTACACGTTGCTTAATTCACAAGGAGATGGAGGGCTTTGTTCTGCTACTATTTCAGATAATGCTTCGCTTTTAGCACTTGGTTATGGAAGTTCTAATATTCAAGTTGAAGAATTTTTTAAATTAAATTTTATTTTTAAATAAAGGTAAACGCTTTGGCTACAGAGAATCTTAGAATGTTAAAAGAAGCAAAGGAATTAGAAGACCTCGATAATGAAATGGAGGAATTTAGCGAAGAAATGTTTGATGAAAAAAACAAACAAAAATCGTTTACACTTTTGGTAAATTTATTTTCAATTTTGAAATTTTAAAGAAATTTTAATAGGGACATTCAGGTCCAGTACACTCTCTATCTTTCTCTTGTGAGAAAAGATTGCTACTTTCTGCTTCTCGCGATGCAACAATTCGATTATGGGGATTGGAAATGCAAAGAAATTTAGTTATTTACAGACCGATGGCTCCTGTTTGGAAAGGTAAATCTTAATAAAGTATATAAAAATTAAACTTTTAGCTATTTTCTGTAACCGTGGTTATTATTTTGCTGCATCTACCGCTGATCAATGTGTTTCACTTTGGGCTACTGATAGAGTAAAGCCTCTTAGAATATTTGCAGATGCTAAAGACGATGTAACAGAGTTGGAATTTCATCCAAACTGCAATGTAAATTTGCTTAAGTTTTTTATAAAATAAATATTTAAAGTATATTATTGGTGGAGGAGATAACGCTCTCGTTCATATTTGGGATGTGCTTACTGGTACTTGTGTTCGAACACTTTCTGATCAAATTGTTGCCGATAGAGGAACAATTCGAGGGCTTAAAGTTTACATTTCTTAAAAATTCAAGACATTCGTTAAAAATAGAGTTCTCCTTGTGGCCGTTATTTAGTAGCAGCATACGAAGCAGGCACAATTGGAGTTTGGGATTTAGCACAACAACGTCTTTTGCTTACTTACGAGTGTGAAGATACTTTTGACTTTAATACGCCTATTCAATTTTCTCGTGATGCATCAATTGTCGCGATTGGAACACCACAGCATGGATTGAGCTTCTTATCTATGGAAGTTGCTTCATCAGCAGCACATTCTTCTAGTCAACAGCAAATGCCGCATCCAATGTATATAAATTTTTAAAAACTGCATGAAAATTATAAAATAAAATTTCAGTGTCAACCCAAGCGGATATGGTCAATTTGTTTATCCAACTAAAAGAACAAATATTGTTGATGTACACTTCACGAGAAAAAATATTGTAATTGCTCTTGGTGTTTTTGAGCAATGAAAACCATGTGTTTTATTAAAAAGATTTTTATTTAGCTTCTAGGACTAGAAAGAGAAGGTGAAGAAGGTAGTGATGTTCGAGACTCTCGGTCTCGACTCTCGAGTCGAGAAATTTCTCGGGTTTTTTGAGCTCTCGGTCTCGGTGTTTTGGTCTCGGAAAACGAGACTAAATTTACACCCCTAATGACGGAAATTTTTTGAACTTTACTCGGACCTTGCGTACTTTGATATTAAAATTTTTAAGGAAAAGTCTCCAAAATTCCCAAAATTTTGCCTGCGGCGCTGAAAAATGGAAGAAATCTGGCTTCTTGAGCTCCAAAATTCTCAAAATTTTCGCCTGCGGCGCTGAAAATGGAGGAAATTTGGCTTCTTGAGCTCCAAAATTCAAAAAATTTTCGCCTGCGGCGCCAAAAATGCAGCAAAAATTTGAATTTAATAAGATTAAAGGATTAGATTTTGTGGTTTGTGGTATATTAGATACTGTGGATTCTGAAGGATAAAATTTAATATCAAGGGATGGGTGCATCGATGGATCAAAAAGATATTGTTGGATTTGTAGGGATATGGAAGGATATGAGGGGATTTTAAGAGATTAATGTGAATATCATTGAATATATATTGTGGACAAGTGGATTCAAGCGAGTATGGGGATTTTGAGGTATATCAAGGGATTTTTGGGGATTAGGAGGGACATCAAGTGATATCCCTCTTAATCTCTCGGTCTCGACTCTCGGTCTCGACTCTCGTTTTGGTCTCGGTCTCGGGGTTGATTCTCGGTCTCGGTCTCGACTCTCGACTCTCGGGATTTTTTGACTCTCGAACATCACTAGAAGAAGGTACTATTGCATTTGAAACTTAAACGTTAAAATCTGAAAAGTTTTAAAAACGAGGATAAAAGTAACTCTTTTGACCAATTTACAGCTCTTAAAAGGAAACTAAATGAAAGAAAAAAATGGAGTGAGATAATGCAATAGTACCGAAAAGAATTTAATGCTTTGAGGGGTTATAAACTATTTACATAATTTGAGCGATAGACTCTTAGTCAGAGGAATATTAGGAATCTCCGACTAGAAAAAAATATACCAATGAGTTATTCTGTTTGTGATTCAGAATTAGTTCCTCTGACTACGAGCCTTATGACCGTTCGGGTAGACTATCAGCAAAAAAGAAAACTCTTTAGAAAAACATAGAAAGTGTCTCCTCTAGAATTAATTTTGAAAAATTGATATTGGAGTATCTAAAAAACATCTTTATGTCAAATCATGGCTTCACAACCATCTTCTCATGAACATCCAGGTTACCAACGACCTAAACTCAATGAAAATAAATTACCAATCTAAGAAATTTAAACGAGTCAAGTATTAAAAAAGTTAGAGTACCCTAATACGGAAAAATCAAGTTTCAAACTCTAGAGTAGTTAAATAATCTGATTTTTGTTCGCTAGCCTATTGCATTTCTTCAATGGATTCCCCTAAACCATATATTTACCATATAAGCCATTTAAGGTTAACCACCGCATTTTAAAAACTGATGTTAATTTATACATTTTATTTAAAAAGCATTTTTATGGTTAGCACGAAAAAATGAGGTTAATTGTAAGTTTCGTAAAAAAAGAGGCCAGTCATAAAATAAAAGAATTGTATGTAATAAAAATTCTCCCCAAATTAAAATTATATCCATAAAGTATTCCCTTATCTAAATAATCAAATATACTGTTTAGGGAGGGGACAGACGAACACATCACAATTTTAGAAAATTAAAAACTGGGAAATAAGAAGAATTAAAAAAGGGAAAGAACATTGAAATATGAAAAAATACATTTTTCTTGTTTTAATTTATTCATTCAATCAAATATTCTCTAATACCATCTTTTTGTGAACCTCAGTCCCCTCCACCACCTGTAAATGGAAAGATGGAAGAAGGTGCAAATTTAAAAAGAAAATTTTGAACATTAACTGTTCAAAAGTGCATAATTTACGAGAGAGATTTTGTGGAAATAAAGAAATCTTTAATTTCGGAGTGATCCCGCCCACTAAAAATAGTCACAGCACCCATTTGTCATATCTAACAATAAGTCCGATTGTTAAAGATAAAACAAAAAATTGTTTAATAAAATTAAATAAAACTTACATCGCAAAATTCATCAAAAGAAATTTTTCCATCTCCATCTTTATCATGAAAAAGAATTGTTTTATCTACAATTTGTTGAAGTTGAGTATCCTTCAAATTATTGCCAACCATCATTTTTAAAACCTTAAGAATAGAATTAAAATATAAATTAAATAAAAAAAACCTGGAAAAGTTCTCCATTTGAAATATAACCATCACGGTCCATATCGTATATTCGGAATGCAACTGAAATACGAATTTGTGAATCTAAACTAACTTTAAATATTTCATTGTGAATAAGCCTTCTAAAGTTAAAAGTTTCTCCAAGTTAAAAGGCTTTTAAGTTAAAGACCCCTCGTGTTGAGGGTGCCTAAGACCAAGGAGGGAATCAGTGGCGTCGAGAATTCTTAGTAACCCATATTCTGAACAAATAATAACAAATAATAAACTAACATCTTAATTTCACATTCTTGTCGCCCTTAACGCTGAACTGCGAGATTCCTTGAATAAATTCTGAAAAATAATTGGCAAATCAGACTTAGAATTTCTTATATAACCTTTAAAATCAACTTCTCCGTTTCCATCTGAGTCAAAAATATCAATAACACGTTGAACGAGTGGATTTTGTTGTAATTCAGGCAGGCTCATAAACTCGTCAACACTCAAACTTCCAGAACCGTCTAAGTCCAACTTTTTAAAACGTCTTGCTAAACGTCTAAGCTCATAAGCATCAAAATTGCTACACATCTCCATTGGAAGCGAATTCTCATTGCCCTAAAAGAAAAAATTACCCATTTTAATTTTTAATTATTCTACCATTTGTGATTAACGTCGATGGGCTAAAGTTGAGAAGATTTAGTTTCAAAAATTAAAGTCTATTGGATAGTCTTGAAAAAAGATAATATAATTAGGCAAATTATAGAAAAATAAACGAACTATCAAAGCAACAAAAAAACTATCAAAGTCTAAAAATGAGGGTAGGTTTTCCGTAAAAATGACGAGATTAAACATTTAAATCATAACACCAAACTGAAATTTTAACGCCAAATAATGAAAAAAGTTAAAAAAATATGACAACTGTATATTGAGACAATTCCACATTGGACAATTGCACTGTGAAGTGTTGGTTGATGTATATTTGTTATAGGTGTATGAAGTCGGAATATTTAGTATGTACTATGTATCCCAGCAAGCTATGACTAAACATCGTTATATAAAAGTAAAAATAACCGTTAATCTCAAAATAACACCAATTATTACTTTCTAGTCACCTGTTTGTTATCGGGCATTCATCTATTTATGATGTCACCTCCAAGGCGTCCGGCGCAAGCGATGAGTGACGAGTTCTGGCGAGAGATTGGGACTCCACTTGAGAGTATCTATGCTCTTCGCGAGACAGCTTCAAATCTGATCACGACTAGTTTTTACAACAAGCTAAGAATGTAAGAAACATTCTATTTCTAATGATTATTCATTGTTTTAACTTTTTCAGGAGTGCTTACAGCTTTTGCCGTACTTCTCCTCCATACAGTGCTACTACCACAAGACCTATTAGCACTTCTTTATTTGGACATGGCAGGAACAGCGACCACCCAGTTCCGGATCTCTACTTGAATTTGGACAATTTTCTGACCAACTTCACGAGGCACATTTTTGAGGTACAGCTCTTATTCTACGTACAACCATTTTTAATTTGGTGTTTTTCCGTTATGGAGCCGCACTTTAAAAATGTTTAAAAATGTCATGAATATGACAAAATATACGTCATTCGAAAGAATACGTCAAGCTGAGTTCAACGTCACGAAAATCGACGCGACCCAACTAGCCTGGGCAAAGTTACGATACAAAATAAATTATTTTTAGCATCGTTATTTCGGCTCAAAATTGAGACCGTGAGCTTATTTTTGTGTCATTCGACTCATTGTCAGCTCGACGAGCTCTTTTGAATGACATTGTCCATATTCATAACATTTTAAAACATTTTTTATGTGCGGCGCCATAACGGAGAAATACCCCTAATTTGAAATATAATTAAAAATTTTACAGGATCTGTCGTACCGTTGGGGTGAGAATTTGTTGCGTGAGTATTCGAAAGGCTGGACGGCATACAAGAAAAGTTCAGAAGACGTTGCAAAGATTTTCGACGATCTTAGCACCAGTTTGTCTTCTTCTTTCTTTATGGGATACTATAAAGTGAGACTTGATTTTTATATTCTATAGTATGTTTCAATTTTTAGATGGCTCTCCAAGTTTGGGAGAGAGAGATTATACGAAAGACCTTCCGAAAAATTACTACGGCTGCACTTTGTTACGTCGATCGTGCACGTGACGGACTTGAACTCCAGAGGAATTTGGTCAATGATTTTGTTGTCTCGTTAGGTAAAAATCATTAATTTAAATTTGTACATTGTCTTTTAGTTGCGGTCGGTACTCACGAAACCGGAGACTATGACATCGAGTTTGAAACGTACAATGGTGTTGTCGAGGTCTTCAAAACACTTTCTACCGTCTGTCGTTATCCACTTTACCGGGAATTGTTTCTAAAACCGCTACTCCATCAAACTTACCGGTACTACGTTGATTGGTCATCTAACTTCTTGAAAGACGGCGAGTTCTCGGATTACTTGGAACAGGTACCAGAAAATGGAAATTTTTAGAAACGTTTTTAATATTTAAAATAAAGGTGAAACTTCATTTTCTTGAGGAGGAGAGTTTCTGCGGCGAGAAAGATCCTTGTTTTGATCTCTGCACCCTGGTACCGCTTTGTATGGTCTGCGCTGATGCTCTTGTCATGAGACATATTGATCGGTAATCATTCAATCACATCTTTAAATAACTCAAAAAATTTGACAGATTCTATTCCGAGTTTGTGACACTCCTCAATGATCTGCAAATAGAGAAATTGCTGATTATTTATGACTTATGCAATCGTATTCCATCAACCGTTGATAAGTTGAAAGAACTGCTAGGAAAGTACTTTGGACGTGTTGGACTTAAAACTATCAATCAAATTGCTGATAAGGCCGAAAAAGTAAGAAAGGATATTCAATTAATGAAATTTGTATTTTTTCAGAGTCCTAAGCTATTTGTTGGTACAATAGTCCAGCTTCACGATAACTTTAGCAAATTAGTAAAGGACTCCTTTCGGACAAATAACGAATTTATGACAACAATGGAGGTATCATTCACTGAATTTGTTGCCGAGAATAACATAACAAATGGAGGAAAAACGGAGGCAAAATCCTCTCGTTTGATTGCCAGCTACTATGATCAACTATTAAGGAAAGGTATTGCAGCAGAGGAAAGGTTGTCTGGACTGGAAAAAGCTGTTAGTTTTTAAATAATAAAATTAAAAGTTTTTTTTAATTTATAGATGATTGCCTTTAAATATATCCGAGACAAGGACACGTTCAATGACCATTATCAAAAACTTCTCTGCAAACGTCTAATATACCATCTAAGCGTTGGCATCGAAACAGAAAAGGAAATAGTGTCTAAATTACGGGAGAAATTCCAATGTCCAAGAGTCTTTGAATCAATGCTCAACGAAACACTCAAGAGCGAGATCGAGATGAAAGACTTCAGAGTAGGCTGAGATATCTTTAAAAAAGTAAAATATACTTCTTAATTTTTAGAAAGAGGACAACAACTCTCTTCCAGTTCTAGACTTCTCTATTATCTTGCTTACCGAAAAAGTTTGGCCTTTTCCCAGCACTTCTAATTTTTCCTTGCCTACTCAACTTAACGATTATGTCAATGGTAAATTAAAATGATAGGAAATTTTAATTTATAAGATTTTTAGCCTTCAGTGTCTTCTACAAAAAGAAATATAAAGATAAGCGCAAACTCAGTTGGATTTACCAAGTCTCGCGTGGAGAATTATCTTCGTTAGATGGAACATTCGACAAGAAATATGTTTTTTTGGTATTCGATTCTTCCTACAAAATTTTTTCCTTCATTTTATATTTCAGTGTACAACACAGCAAATTGCCATTCTGATGCTTTATAACAAATACGACTCTTGTAAACTTGACAAAATTGCCGCTGAAATTAAACTACCAAATAACCAAATAATGTCACTGCTGCAAGTCTTATGCAAAACTAATTTGTTGATCGAAAAGGATTCGGGCAAATTTTGCCTTGATAATGAGTTTAAAAGGTGAATATGAATTTAGTTGATAAGTTTTAGTAAACAAAATTTTATTTAAGTGAAAATACAATAATAGACTTGATTCGTGCAGTGGCTACTACTAACACAGGAACTCAAAGAAAGGGAGGAGAAGTGCAAAAACTCAAAAGGGACGTATTTCGGGAGTCTGTCCTCGAAACGGTTATTGTTCGGATAATGAAGGCCCGTAAGAAACTCAAACACGGCGATTTAGTTTCTGAAGTTACGAGCCAGTTAAATAGTCGATTTGCTGTGAAAGTAAGTTTATAATAAATTTTTGGATAGAAAAGTTAATATGTTTCTCTTATTTTTAGGCTCGGATGATCAAGAGTTCAATTGAACAACTTATCAAGGAGGATTATTTGAAGCGTAGCGACAATGATAATAACCTCTATGAGGTAGGATAAAAATAATTTAAATTTTGAAAATAAAATTTTATTTCTTTTAAAGTATGTCGAAGCAGTACCGGAAGACGAAGAATAAACGGTGTTTTTGCTGGAAAGATTGTGATATATGTATATATAGTAGCATTTATTGTATATCTGTTTGTTCTGTTTTTATCGGTAAAATATGTGTAATTATAACGATCGAATGATTTTATTAATGTTGAAAAGTTGAAGAAAATTAAGAGAAGATAAACAAATTAGTTGAATGTTATTTAAATTAAAAACAAATTGAGGTCAATCTAGCAGTACATAGATTAGTAATTAAAATTACCAGTTCTTTGGCAGAATAAGAATTTATTGGAATAACTATATTTATAGTATATTTAAATTTAACCTATATTTCATTTGTTTATAAATTAATATTTTAAAAATAAAAATTTATTTTTGAGTTACTGGACTAAAATAAATAGTATAAATTTTAAATTTCAAAAGTGAAGATGGTAAAATTTATATCGGGGCTCGAAGGACACGGTCATGGACCTGATTAAGTTTAAATCTGAAAGTAGAATGTAGTCAGATAAGGCGATAGCCCAATAATTAAATTGATAATAGTGCACAAAATAATTAATCGACCAACCTCCTTTACTCATTTTTAACATTTTTTTAAATTTTTTATTCAATAAGATAAAATTTATGTTTAGAAGAATTTTAAAGGATTAGTTTAATAGAAAATATTAAATATTTTTTTATTAACTTTCGATTATAATTAATACTAAATATATTTAATAAAAATGTTGATTTCACCAAATTTGTCCCATTTTTAACTGTTTACAAAAAAACTAAAGCCATTCACAGCAGTCCACTTCCTCTTCCTCTCCTCACTAACAGCAGTCTTCATTCCCCCCTTTTATAAACATTCTTTTCCACTACTTGACTATTTTTCCATTTACAAAAATTTTACTTAAATCGATCGAGATGTGGACACAAAAAATAAAAAATTGAGAAAAAAGGGAAATCCTGACTGGATATTAAAATAAATATTATTTTTTAAAATTCATCATTTGTCCATTTAACCCTCACCTCTTTTTATTTTTTTTCTATCCATTTTTTATTGAAAATAATATGTACGTAAGTTTTACATTTTTTACACTTTTTTTCTTTTAAAATTTTTTTTAGTTAAGGAAGTAATTTTTTAAATTTTCAAATCACATTTTTTTAAATTATTTTTTTTTATCTTTTATTAAAAATAATTTGTTAACTTTTTTCTTCCTACAACTATTCTTTTCCTTATCTTTTCAATAACTCTTTTGATTGGAGAATTTAATTTTATTTTGAAAAAATTAAAGAAAAAAATTTCCTTAGAAGCCAAAAAAATCAAAACAAAACAAATCCAATTTAAATATTTTTCTCTCTCTTTTCTCAAAATTTTAACTTTAAAATGACAGTTTTTACTCTCCTCTTACATACATATTTCAATTCTTTCCCATCAATCTCTACTTGTATACCCTTCCCCAAAAGCGCTGGCGCGAGCGATTTGAATACGGAGATAAGGGAACACTAAAGGGGAAAAGCACAAAAATTGCGCGCTTCAAATAAAAATAAAAGAAGAAAATGTGTTCTTCCTTTCCTTCAAAACATTGGAAGAAGAGACGGCCTTGACCCTTTCTATAAAAATAAATAAAGTAAAATTCTTCCTTTCAAACACCTCTTTTTATTTTATCCAAAATATAAATCTAAATTCCAAAAGATGTAATAATTATTTGTCAAAAAAATTATTTTTTTTTGAATTAATTAAATTAAAATATGTATTTTTTGAAATAAAATTTTAATTTAATATTTATGAGAATTTTATTTTTATTAATTTTAATACCTCGAACCCCTATATAATGCTACTCCTCGGGCCGAATTTTTCTGACATTATAAGGGGGGGGATAACGTTATGAAGAGCTTTCCTGTATTTAAATTTACTTTTATTTTATCATTGGTTTATCTACATATATGTACATAAATATTATTCATTCATCATTTCCTCTCTGGATATTTTGCCAGACAGACTAAAAATATATTTAAAAACATTTTGGTCACATCTGGTTATTTTATTTTTAAAAACAAAAAAATCTGTGTTGGATTTACAAAGGAGATATAAAAAATTAAAGAGATTTCTTTGAATAATAAATAAATTTATTTTTAATTAATTTTAAATTAATTAATTATTACCCAGAAATTCCAAAAATTGTTTAAAATATTAAATGTCTAAAAAGATATTTTACATAATTAAAAAAATATTTTTTCTTTTTAATTTAAAAAAAATCAATTTAAATTTTACTATGTTTATTTTAAATTTAATCGATGACATAAAAAGAATGTAGACAACAATTTTAAGTTAAAATACATTCAAATTTATTTTAAAATTTATAATATAAAATAAATATTTTCAATTATTTTTAATTTTTTATTAATTAATTCCTTTCTTCTTTACACACAAAAATTTACCAAAACTTTTTTAATAAACGATTTCTTGTTCTTTTCTCTTAATTTGTACATTAATTTAATTAAATCTCCTTCTTAATATTTTAAAAGCAAATAACGTGACCTTGTTTTTAGTTTTTAAAAATAATTTTGTTTTGAAGATAATTTATTTAATTATTTAAAACAAATTTCTAGTTTTTCTAAAAATATTTAATTTTATTTAGACTTTAAATGTCACGTACAAGTATATCCCCATATTCCACATCCTCTTCTTCTTCTCAATCAAAACCAACAAATAATTTATTAAATCAAAATATAATTATGGAAGAAGATTTATTGCAAGATGAAACTTTGTATTTTGAAAGGAATAGAATTAAACAATTAAAAGATGAAAGGAGGGATATACAAAAGAAGACTTTTACAAAATGGTGTAATACTTATTTAAGTAGAGTAAGTATTTAATTAATTTAAAAATATCTGTCTTAATTAAAAATTAAAATAAAAAAAAGAGAATAAATTTAAAAAATTATTTTTCAATTCTTCCTTTTAATTCCAAATAATTTTAATTAAATTTTTCTTTTTTAAAAAAGGCTCGTATGGAAGTTCAAGACCTTTTTGCAGATTTGGGGGATGGTATAATGTTATTAAAATTTTTGGAAATTATAAGTGGAGAAAGTCTTGGAAAGCCTAATCGTGGAAGAATGCGTGTACAAAAAATTGAAAATATAAATAAAAGTTTAGAATTTTTGAAACAAAAGAAAATACAAGTAAGGAGGAAAGCTTTAATTTAAAAAATAAAAGGGAGTGAGTAATCTAAAAGTTTTATGAAAAAAATGCCTAAATGAAATTTAATAAATAAAAGAAATTTTTGTAAAAAAAGGACTTTGATTTTTTTAAATTTAAAAATTGGAAATTTTTTGATTAATTGAAATAAACAAAAATTGTTTAAAATTATAAATATTTAAATTAAAATTTGAGTTGTGCCCCGACCCTACCCCGAAACAATGTGAAACCCCGTACCCCGATTTTCTTTCGGGCTCAAACCCTAATTAAAATTGGCATTACTTTGCCTAATAATAAAATCATCATTCCTTTAAGTTAGAAAATATTGGGGCAGAAGATATAGCAGATGGAAATGAACATTTAATTCTTGGACTTATTTGGACAATAATTTTACGTTTTACAATAGAAAATATAGAAATTGAAGCAAAAGAATCGGGGGAAAGGAAACACGCAAAAGAAGCTTTGCTGCTTTGGTGCCAAAGAAAAACAGCTGGATACCCAAATGTTCGAATCGATAATTTTTCTTCTTCTTGGCGTTCGGGATTGGCCTTTTGTGCTTTAATTCATTCACATCATCCTGAATTAATTAATTTTGATGGACTTAATACACAAGATCCTTTATGTAGGTTTTTGGCTTACTTTCCTTTTGTCATATTTTTTAACGATTTTCCCAAAAATTTAAAGGGAAATGAGTTAATTTTAGAAATAAATGTTTGCTTTACATGAAAATATTAAAAAATAAAATTTAACAAAAAATCCATTTTTGTTATCTTTCCATTGATTAAATTATTTTAAAATTAAAAGAATATTTTTTAAATTTAATATTTTTGTCAATATATACATATAAGATTGACATGGAAAATAAATAAATTTTAACTAAAAATGTCATTGACTCACATACATTTATTTTTTAAATATTAAAAAAATTTTTTTGACTCATTTTTAAATAAAAGCTTTGACATTAGAAAAAAATATTTTTTAAAATTAACCACCACCCTTTTTTTAATTCCAGCTAATTTAAATATGGCATTTGACGTAGCAGAACGTAAACTTGATATTGCACGTTTACTCGATGCTGAAGATGTAAATGTTTCTTGTCCAGACGAGAAAAGCATAATAACTTATGTTTCTCTTTTCTATCATTGTTTTGCTAAAGAAAAAAGTGAATTAACTGGGGCTAGAAGAGTTGCTAAAGTTGTTGGGGAATTAGTTAAATTAGATTGTTTACAAGAAGATTATGAACAATTAGCTGCTGATTTGCTTTGTTGGATACATCAAAAAATAAATGAATTGGCTGATAGACATTTCCCTAATTTATTAATTTCTTTACGAGAATTGCTTGCAACATTTAGTTGTTTTAGAAAAGAAGAAAAACCTCCAAAATATAAAGAGAAAGGAGAAGTTTGTTTTTAATTTAAATTTATCTGTTGATTAAATTCGTATCTGTATAGGAATATGTTGAAAAATATTATTATTAACATAATCCTTCTAAATAATCCAAAAAATCTCTCAAAATTTAAAGTTGGAAGCTCTTTTCTTTGCCATTCAAACAAAAAGAAATGCCGGTCGTCGGAAGTCATATATTCCACCAGAAGGACTTGGATTACATGATTTAGAAAGTGCTTGGACAGAATTAGAAAAGGCTGAACATGCACGGCAAGGTGCTTTAATAAGTGAATTACAACGACAGGAAAGGCTAGAACTTCGTGCCCAATTATTTCATAAAAAGGCAGATGTGAGGGATGCTTGGCTACGGGAAATGTATTTTTAAATTAAATTTTAAATTAATAATTTGGAGAATTTGAGAGAATAATAATTAACTACACGATTAATTCCCCTGGGGAATTAATTTTTCAACCCATTCGTGGCACGGGGAATTATTCAAGGGTGGAGAACTATTCGAGTTTTGAAATTTGAACGTGTAGTAGGGTATTCGAGGGTGGGGAATTATTTTTCAACTCATCCCTGGCATGGGGAATTATTCGAGGGTGGGGAATTAATCGAGTAAATACGGTAATTAAGAATTTAAAATAATATTTATTTTAGGGAAAAACCCACAAAAAATATTCACAAAAATATATTTTTACCAAAAAAATATTTCTTTAGGCAATCAGTACTTAACCAATTTGAATGTCAACAAAATTCACAAACAGTAGAGGCTGGACTTCGCCTTTTAAGAAATATTTCAGCAGAATATTTACCAAAAACTTCTCGTTTTGCTTTACTTTCAGAATTAAGTATTGAATTACAAAGAGAAAATTTCCATGATTTTGAAAATATTCGTTCAAGAGAGAGGGATATACTTTCACGTTGGAATACATTTTTGGCAATATTGGAACAGAAAGAACAAGAATTGGGACGTTTAGGGGAATTGAGTAATTTATTGGGTGAATTGGAGGAATTGAAGGAAGAATTGACACAAATGGGGAAAGAATTGGGTAGACAACGAACACAGGTTGTTAATTAGACATTGAGGGGTAGGGGGGGTAGTTTAAATTTAGAATTTAGTTTCTATTTATTCCAACTTTTAAAAATATCTTTAATTTAACAAAAAAAATTAATTAAAGGAAAATTGTAAGCATTTGGCAGCAGTAGATGAATTATTAAGAAGATTAGAATTAACAGAAAATAATATTCGAGCTAAAAAGGAATGGTTAATACAATTAAATAAAAAAGCTAAACAATATGTAAAAACTGTTTCTTCAAATATCGGAGGAAATGAACAACTTTTTGAATGTTTAAATGAAAGAGAACAACAATTAAATTGTTTGTTTTTTAATTAAAAATTTGAAAATATTTTTTTTTAAAAAGATTTACAATCAGAATTAAAACAACACAGAGCAGCATTACAAAGAGCTAGAGAATTCTTTCAAGTAAATATTTAAAAGAAAATAAATTTAAATATTTTTCTTAATTAGTTTATTGCCCATTGGGAAGAACAAATAAGTTGGTTAACTGACCGTTTATCTCTTTGTCAATCATTGTCAACTACTCGAGACCTTTCTAATATTGGCCAATCTCAGAGAGCACATAAAAGTTTGGAAGCAGAAATGGCTGGGCAATGGGAACGGACAAAACTTTTAATTGGGGATGGAGAACGTTTAAATCAACCAGAAGAGGTACATGGACGGTTGGAAATACTTCAAAAGTGGGTAAAAGAGTAAAATATTTTGAGTTTGTTGATTGTAAATAATAGAGAGAAATTATTTAAATTTTAACTACAGAATTATTAAATTAATTTTTAATATTTTTCAGAAAATGGGAGGAATTGCGAATTGCAAATATTGCTTTACTTTCATGGATTAGAGAGGCAGATAGATTACAACAATATTTTCAAGACGCTAATGAAACAGAAAGTTGGATAAGGGAAAGAATGCCTTTAGCTCAATCAGAAGATTTTGGGCGTGATATTGTGATATTAATTTTAAAATTTAATTTAAACTTTCTTTTTAAAAATAGAGTACAGCAGAATGTCTTTGGAGAAGACATCGTCAATTGGAAAAAGAAATATTTAGTTATGAAACAGAAATTAAAAGATTGGATATATTAAGTAATGAATTGGCACAAACAAAATTTATTTTAGACGAAAATATTGTTGAGGGGGAATTGGAAGATAACGAAGAAGAAGAAAATAATGAAGATGAGGAGGAAATTGTTGTCCCTAAAATTGTGGTAATTAATTAATTGTTTTTGAAATTAAAAAAGAATTTCTTCTTTAAAGGCTTTATATGCTTATAATGGAAATAATAAAAATAAAAATGGGGGAAATATTTTTGTTAGTCGAGGAGAGGAATTAGCATTATTAGATAATTCTAATAAAGATTGGTGGAGAGTATTGACACAAACAGGAATGGAAGGATATTTACCGTCAAATTATTGTGAATTAATTAATGATGAAAATGTAAAAAAAAGAAAAAATATTTAAAAAAATATTTCTAATTTAAAGGTAACAATAATGCAACCAAAAATAAATAAAAAAAGAAAAGAAAAAATAATTTCATTGGATGGCCCTTCAGCAATAGAAAAAAGACAAAATAAATTAAATTGTGATTATCAAAATATTATTTGTTTGTCCCAAAAAAGGGGAAAAGCTTTGGGAGAAGCAACTAATTTATTTAAATTCTTTGCTGAATGCACTGATTTTGAACAATGGACAAAAATTACAGGGCAGAATTTACAAGAACCTTTAAATCAAGAACATTTACCCGCTATTCAGAAAAAGTTTCAGGTAAATTTTTTTAATTATGTCAAGAGAGAGAGGGAGGCTATTGAGGGGGGGGGGTTTGGAGTTTTCTGTACTGGATCTTCTAATAAATGATTTGTTGTAATAAATGGGCAATCAATAAATGATTTGCCCATTTATTTAACCCAAGACCATTAAATATATTATTAATTTTCAGAAAATTCGAGATGAAATTAACAATCAAGGTCAAGCCCAATTTAGTCAACTTACCCAAATGTCTGAACAATTAATTACTCAATGCAATAATATTAATTCTTATTCACACTCTCGTGTTGGAGAAGTTTTAAAGAGAAAAGAAAAAATAATTAATCTTTGGTCACAACTTCAATCCCTTTTAAACAAAAAAATAGAAAAATTAGAATTTGCCCAAAATCTGTGGAATTTTAATGAAAAATGTGCAGATACAAAGGAATGGTTACAAGAAAAAGGAGAACAAATGCCAGCACAACCATCTTCTTCAAAGACACCAACTTCTGATTTAAAAGCTTTACAAGCTGTTCAAAGAAGATTACAAAACATTGAAAGAGTAAATTAAATAATTAATTAATTTAAAATGAATAAAATTTAAATTTAAGGATCTCCGTCCTCTCGCAGATAGAATGAATACTTTATGGACACAGGCAAACCAAATTTCTGAGGAACAACCAGAACGAGCTGAAGAAGTTCAAGCAAAAGTACAGGCACTCGAGGCAATGCATGCTGAATTGTTGGCACAAGCACGTGCCTGGATTGAACAGGCAGAGCGTTCTCAAGGGCAACAAATGTTTGAACAGGCAGCTAGGTAAAAAGAATAGCACGTCATTTATATTTTGGAATTATGTATTTACATTTTTACCGCATGATATTTTCGGTCTAGTTTATGTCACAAAATTCTGCAATAATATCAGTAAACTATAACGAGTTTAATAAGGATTACTTTAAGCAAATGAAAAGCAACTACCTATTCCCTTTTGATGTACAGGACTCAAGTGTACTCAACCGACATACAGGGTGTTTCAGCTGAAAAGCGTTATTTGAAAAATCCATAACTTTTTACACCATGGACAGATTTGAATGAAATTTGGTATTTTGCATCTATATTTTATGGCAATTTTTTTGACACAAAAATTATGTCTAAATTCGAACCCTAACCCCATATTTCAATTTCGTTTCAATTTCGTACTCTACCGTTCTCTTTTCTTTCTCTTTTCATTGCGCGCTATCTTAGTGCATTTATTTTCCTGCGTATGACGAAGAGTAGATACTGTATTGAAAATGTAGTGTCTATCGCCTAGTGTTTACTCTAGTGTCTATCGGCGCTTGTAACAAACAAAAGGCAGTAAGAATGCATGTGCGGAAAAAGGGAAAAACAGAACGATAGAGTACGAAATTATCTCGGGTTAGGGTTCGAATTTCGACATAATTTTTATGTCAAAAAAATTGCCATAAAATATAGATGCAAAATACAAAATTTCATTTAAATCTGCCCACGCATTAAAAGTTTATTAATTTTTCAAATAGCGCTTTTCAGCTGAAACACCCTGTATATCTAAAAGTCAACTGTATTGACATGAGTAGAGTAACCGGTGACACGACTTGGGCACAGTGATCCATTTGCACAGTAAGACTTTTGCACAGAGGACAATTACACAGTGGACATTTGCACAGTAAAGTCTTGTTTATTCGCAAAACGACCTACCCATTTATTCGCAAAACGCCTGTTTAGTCGCGAAACACTCCAAATAAACGCAAGGCTCATTCACCTATAGGTCATAACTTCGTTCAGAATCATCCAATCAAGATGATTTTGGTGTCAGCCGACTCAACTCAAAAAGCTCTTTCGAATGAGCTATAATTTGCATCTTCGAATTTTTTACCCCAAAAAACCGCTTGGTTTACTCTATTGTTTTTCGATTTTCGGGAGCCTATATCTCTGCGAGTTTTCGTCTCCCGCGAACAACTTTTCCAACAACGGGAAAAATTGCTTATAGAACAGGGAAAATTGTTTTTGTTTAAGAAAAACCATTTTATTATTAAAAAACTTATCAGAAAGTCTAACACAAATGCACTTAACCACAAATTACTGTGCAATTGTCCACTGTGCAGATGCCCAATGTGCAATTGTCTTACTGTGCAAATGGATCACTGTGCCCGTGTCGGAGCGCCGAGTAACCTACTCTGCGCTCTCTAACTTGACTTTTTCTGATCAAAATATAAAATTTGATTATTTTATTAATATTGCTTTCAATATTTTTAAAAATATTCTTAAGTGAACTTCTCGACTGGACACAGAAATGTTCGGAGCAAATAAATTTATCCTGTGATCTCTTTCCCTCCTCATCTTCCTCTTTGCCTTCAGCATCAGAAGAAGCAGCCGAAGAAGCATTAAGAAGGAATTCAGAATTACGTGAACAGATAGATGGAAAACAATTCGAATTTGGTTATGTTGAAGAATTAGGACAACGTTTAATTGAAAAAGGATATCCTAAAGAACAAGTGAAACAAAAATTAGAAGAATTGGAATATGCAAGGAATGAATTAGAATTTCAATGGCAAAAGAGAGAAGTATGTAAATAATTGTGAAAATATTTTTATTAGAATTAATTTTCTATTAAAATATTTAAAGGATGATTGTCGTCGATTATTGGAATTACAAGCATTTACACGGGAGGCTGACCGTATTAATTCTTTAAATAGAGGGCAATTAGCTTTTCTTGATCTTTCTACTTCTCAAGCTGATTCTGTAGAGAAAGTGCAAAATTTGTTGAAAGGACAAGCTGAATTTGAAGCTAAACTTTCAGCACAAGAAGTAAAAATACTATAATTTTAATTATATTATCTTTCTAAAAAATAGGAGAGAGTTCTACTTTTTGTTGCATCTGCTGACCGTTTGATACGCACCGGACATTCACAATCCGGGCAAATTGAAAATCAAAAACGAGAAGTAATTTATGGACATCAAGGAGTTATTGAGAGAACACAGATGAGAAGAGCACAGTTAGAGAGAGGATTAGCCCTTGTAAATTAAATAATTAAATTGACAATTATATAACTAATTTTTTAGGAAGGATTGCGAAGAGATGCCAGTGAATTGGGTCTTTGGATTAATGAGAAAAGACATCAAATGGAACAACAAAATGAAGTTGGAGGGGTTGGGGGCCTTAACTGGGCGCAAACAAGACATCAAGCTTTTATGTTAGAATTGCCAGCTAATCGAGCTGAACTTAGCAGACTTGCAAAAGTTTGTGGATTGCCACTTAAAATTGTCTATTTAACCACTTAAAACCTCCCAAAACTTTCAGTCAGGTGCAGCACTAATCCGCGATGGTGTTGCTGAAAGAGAAGCAGTTGCTAATGTCTTAGAGCCTCTAGAAGTTGAATGGACTAAACTTGAAACGCTTGCACGACAGAGAGGTGATCTACTAGGCCAAGAAGAACAAAAAGTTGCTCTTCTTGAAGAAATAAATGAAATTAATGGAAAAATTGAAGAAATTGAGAATCGTTTGTCAGATAAAACGAAAGGGAAAGATTTGCGTGGTGTAAAGCAATTAATTAATAAAAATGTACAAACTGGACAGGAAATTCAGGCAAAAAAAAGAAAAAAGAATAAATTAATTTTTGAATTTTTTCAGTTATTAGAAGATCGTTTAAATGAAATTTCTAAAAAAGTAAATAAAATGAATGAAAAGAAACATTTTGCTGTGCCTGAACTTATTGAGAAAGTAGAGGAACTTGTTGTTCGCTTTAACTCGTTACATGAACCATTGGAAAGAATGAGGGCAGAATTAGATGAATCAATGGGGTGGCATCAATTAGCTTTTGATGTTGATGTTGAGTTACAGTGGATTGGGGTAAATATAGAGATAAAAATAATTATTTTAAAAAATATTTAAAATTATAATTGGTAGGGGTGATTAATTACAATTTACTAAATAATTTATATTTTCTTAAGGAAAAAAGATTAATTGTGGAATGTCCGCAACTTGGCCATTCATTAACAGAAGTTCAACAATTAGTAAAACGCCACGAACAATTAACTGCTGAACTAGATTGTCATCAACCTTTAGTTACCGAATTATTAAATAAAGGAAGAAAATTGGCAAATACTGATGGAATAAATAAACATTCTTGTCATCAGGAGATTGAGGCAAAATGTCTGGAATTATCTAACTCTTGGAAAAAATTAATGGAATTATCAGCAAAACGCCGAAACTTGTTGAATAGGGCTTTTTCAAGGTGAATTAAATATTCTTTCAAATAAAGTAAAAAATATTCTCTCAATTTACTTTAAGAGAGCAATTATTATTTGAATTGTCTGAGGCTGAGAATTGGCTGTCTGAGAAAAATAAACAGCTTGAAACACGCGAAGAAGGGGCTATCTCAGAAGGTCATGGGGGTGCTCAAACATTACTTGCTTGGCTCAAGACTTTACAAAATGAATTAGGGCCATTTCATTCAAGCCTTGTTGAATTAAAAAATAAATGTGTTAATCTAAAAGATTTTGGAATTTTTGAGGAAGAAATTGCTGAAAGAGAAGTAAAAAAAATAATAATTTTAAATTAAAAAATATTCATTCTTTTAAAGTTAAGAATAGAAGAACAAGCAAATGTTTTAGAAGAACGTGCCCGTTTATCAGCTGAAAATGCTAATGCTCTTGTTAATCTTCATAATTTGGAAGAAGAACAACAAGAATTAGAGCAATGGTTAGAACAAAAATCAAAAATTTTATCTCAAGATGATTGTGGTGCTAATTTGGAACAATGGGAAAAATTAAAAACAAAATTTAATGATGAACGTCAACAAATACGGACTTTAGGTCATGAGAGATTAGAAAAATGGGAGAATGGGGCAAATATTCTTTCGAAAAAGGTGCCGGAACATGCGAGGTATGAATAAAATTTAGTATTAATTAAGATGAGTTCAATTCCTTTCCTCAATGAAAGAAATTTCCGCAATCTCTTCTAAATTATCATTTAATCGAAATAACTCATTTCCTGGCCTAAATATACTCGAGCAGATAAGGTTCGTGGCCAAAATTTCCTTTCCGCCATGTCGGTTGATTTCGGGTCTTTTCTCCTGTTATTTCCAAGTATCAATCACCCAACCTTTAATTATTTAATTAAAATAATCATCTAAATTTTACTTTTATCTCCATTTTTAAAACAGAGAAGTATTGCAAGGACAAAATCGTCTCCATACACTTTGGGAACTAATTAATGAATATATAGAACAACGTGAGGCATCTTTAGCACAAGCAGGATTATTATACCGATTTTTGCGAGATTCTGTTTGTTTCCTTTTATTTAAAAAAATAATTTTTTTATTTAAAAATTTTAAAGGAGGAATTAGAGGAAAGAGTGAGAGAAAAAGAACTGACTTTACCTAAAGATTTAGGTCGGGATGCAAAACAATCTTATGGGCTTATTTTAAAACACGAAGTTTTTGAGAATGAATTGGCACAATTAAAAGAGGAAATTGAGGTAAAAAATACTCGTGGATGATTGAAACTTTTATGAGAATTTTTGTTAAAATAGTTTTTACCTTTTTTCACTAACATTATTAGGCATTGGTTGCATCTGGAGCACAATTTGAACAGTTAGACGAAAATATTCAATTACGCCCTCTTATCGATAGTTGGACTCGACTACAAGAAGCAAGTCTACTTCGAGGAGAACAATTGATGGCTACATATGAAACACATAAATTTACCTCGCAAGTACGAGATCTTCTACAATGGACACAGTCTGCACTTGTGGAAATGGGTGGAGAACAAACGGTAAATGAAAATCGTACTGGATAGGGAATAACGTTTTAGATATTTTTATTTTAGAATTTTTTAAATATTAACAAAATAAAATATTAGATCAGAGACTTGCAAACAGCTGAATGGCTAGCGGAAGAACATCGTCGCTTGCGGGCAGAATTGGAAGGTCGAGAGCAAGAACGTTCTTTGCTTGTTAATATTGGACGTGATCTAGAACGTCTTGGTCATTGTCCTGCTGAAGTTGTGCATCAACGATTATTGGGGTTGGATCAAGCATTTGCTGCTGTGAGGAAGGAATGGGCATTGAAGGCAGACTGGCTAGAACAGGCAATTAATACATAAAAATAAATTACTTTTGCTTACAAATTTAAAGGCTGTTCAATGGCATGCCTTTCAACGTGAAGCCCTTCAAATTCTTGCACAAATCCAAGCGCGTGATAGGTCCTTAGATGCGCTTGAGCAACAAAGAGAATTCGATAATAAACATTTAAAAGAAGATAAACAAGAAAAATCTCCTGCACATCGCAAGAAAGAATTAAATACACTTATTTGTGTTTTGGCTACTTTGGAGGAAAGAATTTCTAGATTGGGGGAAATGGCAGAAACTTTAGAAGAACAAGGACATGCTGAAACTGAACAAATTCAAGCATTGACACGACGTGTGACAAATGCACTTAATGAGTTGGGAGAACACACTAATTATGTTAAAAGGTGCTTCTAAATGGAATATTTAATTTTTTTGGCCATAATGAAATGAGTGTACCTTTGATTTCGGCATTTTAAATATCTAAGATATAATTTTATATGCCGTTAAAAAATTTTTCTTAGATCTTTGGATGCAGCCGAAGAATTGGCCCAATTTGAGGCAGAATTGGCTGATCTTACTGACTGGCTGATAGAAAAAGAAGAAAGTTTTAGAGCTCAACAAGTTGCTTCATTTAATTCTTCTAATGATAGCGGCCAATTAACAAACAAATTGGAACGTTTAAAAAGGCAACAAGCTCTTCAAAGTGAGTTGACCGCAAATACGCCTCGACTAGAAAGGTTACTTGCACACAAAGAGAAGATATATGTTCGGCAACGAGGTGCTGATGTGAAACAAGCTGTGAGTTTAAGCTAATAATTAGAATGAAAAAGATTTTACTTTTTAGATTACCATTTTTTCTTTTCTCAGATAACTCGCTGTGAAGAGTTTTTCCAACGTTGGAATCAGCTTTTGGCCCAGTCTAAAGCATTGGACGCGGCATTAGAAGAAGCACGTGATTTACTCGAATTGGAGCAATTAGCTGACCGTTTTGGGGCATATCTCCGAGACAAAGAAGCTTTAGTGCAAGCTGAGGAATTGGGAGGTGATCTTGAACATTGTCAAACTTTGTATGTTTTCTTTGAATAGAAATTTGTTTAAATAAAAAATTTTTAGAATAAATAGACTAAAAGAAGCTCATAAAGGAGTAGATGAGAAAACATTAATTGATGCAAACACACTTGCAAAAAATAGATTAATTAATTCAAAAGGAGGAAATACAGAAGCATCTCATATTATAGATAGATTAAATGATATTAATAAGGGGTAAGGAAAGGATTATATTATATCTGTGAAGCAATCTCTTTAAAATTAAACTACCTATCCCCGTTTATAAGGGATGTTCTTGATCTCCAAATTTCTGTATATGGAGTTACTCAATATTTTTGCAAATTTTATTTGCTCGTCAAATTATATGTAGTTTATTTAATTTTTAGCTGGGAACATCTTTCTGGACGTATTCACAATTATCAGGCTTTACTTGAAGCTGCTTTAGAAGTTCATCGTTTTAATAGAGATGTGGATGAGACTAACCAACGTATTGGAGAGAAAACTTCTCTTCTTTCTGCTGAACAACAGGCTAAGGATTTGGCTGGAGTTGAACGTTTATTAAGAGCACAGGATCAGGCTGAAAGGTGAAAATCGACTTTTAATTTTTTATAAAAATTTTAATTTGAAGAGATATGTCTGCCATTCACCGAAAATTGAATGAACATGATGAACAGGCAAAATTGCTTTTGGCACAGGATCCACCTTTACGTGAAACGGTTGTAATAATTTTTGTATAAATTTTTATAATTTTAATTATTAAAGGTGTTAGACTCTCTACGAAAGTTAGAACTTAGTTGGCAACGTTTGGCAGAATTAGCACATGCTAGACGTCAAGCTCTTCAACAGACTTATTCTCTACATCATTTTCTTGATTTGGTTAGGCGTACTGATCAATGGGCACAATCAATTAGGACAAAAATGAGTGGACAAGCACCTTCAAGAAATGTAGCTGAGGCTGAAAGAGCACTTCAAAGACATGCTGAAAGACTCGCAGAAATTGGGGCTAGAGATGAGGAATTTCGAGTTTGGGAATAAATTATTAATCAAAATCTCTTTGATTTTAAGTCTCTACGAGAGTTTTGTCAACGTTTATTACAAGAACAACCGGAACATCGTAGTGATCTTCAACGAGCTCAACGTCGACTTCAAACACTTGAACATCAAACACGCCAATACTGGGAAAGAGAACAACAAACATTGGAACGGTCACTTCTTTTCCAAAAAATTCTTGCACAAATTGGTCAAATTGATTGTTGGTTAGCTGGGAAACAAGCACAATTGGATGGTTTAACAGCTGGAGAAAGTCCAGAATCTGCTGAGGCTGCTATTAGAGAACTTGGTTAGAAAAAAGTTTTTTAAGAGTTAGAATGTCTGAGTGAATTTAAGTAAATCAAAAATTGGAGATATTATTTTGAATCGAAATTTTTTTGAAACAATATTTAATCTTTAGGTCATTTTATTGTTGCTTTGGAATCTCAACTTGCCGAACGTTTTTCATGGATTGATTCAACTAATGAAACTTTGGATTCGATAGCGAATGATCACCCAGAAGGGAGTAGAGTAAAAGAAAGAGTTGAGGAAATTAAAGAAAAATGTAATGAACTACAGAAACAAACAGAAACAAAACAACGGTAAAATTTTAAATTAAAAAATAATTTTTTAATCTTTAAAGATCTTCAAAATAAAATTTTAATTATTAATAATTTAAGTAATTTAAATGCTAATAAACATTTGGCACAATTTTTGCGTGAATGTGCTGAATTAATAACTTGGATGAATGCAAAACTACAACTTGCTATGGATGATGGTTATTTGGATGCTACGGCTTTACGGCTTAAATTAAAGAAGCATTTGGCATTTGATGCTGAATTAAGAGCTAGTGAAGAAAGAATTGGACGTTTACAAAAACGTGGGCAATGTCTGTTGAATGAAGAATTTGGTAAAGATTCTAATATTGGGGATAAAGAAGAGAGTGAAGAGAGAGTACGTGCTCAACTTGAAGAATTAAATAATGGATGGACTGAACTTTTGGAAAAATCTGCGGAGAAGGTAGAGAAGGAAATTTAATTTATTAATATAATTATTAGTAACATTATCAAGACAATAAAAGTTGGTAATATTCAATTTCGTTCCCCCTCCTTTTTTGCATCCTCAAAGTATTAAAAAATGGTCAGTCTGATTTAAGTTATAGAACTCGTCGAGCTGAGTCGAATGACACCAAAATCAAAAAAATCCGACTTGATTGGACCGAAATACAGACCCCTGAAAATTGAACAACCATAGGGGTGATTTTTTAGAATAAAAATTTTTTATGTAAATGATAGCTCATTCGAAAGAGCTCGTCGAGCTGAGTCGAATGACACCGAAATCAACGTAATCGGACGAGTTTTGACAAAGTTATGGCATTATTTAGACCTACCGGAGTCGGCAACCTTATGTCATAACTTTGTCAAATCAAGTCGGATCACGTCGATTTCGGTGTCATTCGACTCAGCTCGACGAGCTCTTTCGAATGAGCTATCATTTTTATACTTTTTCGTCTTTTTAGTATTTCGCTCCCGTGGTTGTTCAATTTTCAGGGGTCTTTATTTCGGTCCAATCAAGTCGGATTTTTTTTGATTTTGGTGTCATTCGACTCAGCTCGACGAGTTCTATAACTTAAGTCAGACTGACCATTTTTTAATACTTTGAGGATGCAAAAAAGGAGGGGGGAACGAAATTGAATATTACCTAAAAGTTTTCCTTATACTGACAACTGAGTTAATTAATTTAAAAAAATATTTACAGTCAGACCGATTGAGAAGTGCCTATGAGGCTTATCAATTAGGACGTCGCATTTCTGAATCGGAATGTTGGTTGGAACGAGTTGAGGCCATAATTAGCTCAGAGGATCACGGGATAGACTGCAGCAGTGCTGAACAATTATTAGAGCAATTTGAAAATCTTCGAACGGAAATTTGTGCAAAAGGGTTATTAATAGAAGAATTATTCCAAGAAGCATATAAATTAATGGAAAAATCTGGTGAAGATTTGGGGACAAACAGACAGATTTTATATGAGAGAGCGGAAGCACTTCGAGGCCGTTGGAATGCTGTAGATGAACCATGTCAAATTAGATCTCAGAATTTGGTAATTCCTTGAATGTTTTTACATTTATTTAATCGTTCCTTTTAGTCAGAAGCAGTAAGTTTTTATCAATGGGCTGATCAAACAGATGAACAAATTGAGTGGCTTGAATCTCGCGTTAGATTATTAGAAAGTTCTGATTATGGCCGTTCTCTCCATTCGGCACAATCTCTTCTACAAAAACATCAGATTCTTGAAAAAGAATTTTCTGTTCGTCAACCAACCTTTGGTCAATTAATAACAACTGGTGAAAAAATGCTTTTGGTAGAAATGAAGAATAATAATTTAAATGAAGAAAATAAAAAAGAGAAAAAGCAAAAAGGTCTAAAATCTGGGGAATTAACTGAAAGATTGGACAAATTACATGATTTGATTACACTCTTCCGTGCTTTAGCTTCTGTGAGAGAACAACGTTTAAACGAATCTCTTCTTTCTCAAGAATTTTATGCAGAGGCTGCAGAAGCTGAACATTGGATGAAGGAAAGGTGGGGATTGAATGGAATAGATAAATCATTTAAATATAATCTTCCCGGGCATTTAATTATTAGGTATTTTTGTGAGTACTCGAACATAAGAGGACCGATCTCGAAATCTCCTAATAGTTTTCCGTTTGAGATTTCGACTCGAAAATTCACGACACTATGAATATTTATTAAAACATTTCAGGTTAATTCCTCCAACAAATAGTCAATTACCTTCTCATCAGCAAGAATCTGGAAGACAAGCAGAGGCACAATTACGTCGTTGTTTGGCACTTGAAAAAGAAATACTAACATTCGAAGACCAACTTAAAAAACTTGGAGAAAAATGTGAAAGAATGGTTTCTGCTGATCATTTTGATTTAACTGGTTTACAAACAAGATATGGGCAATTACAAGAATTATTTTCTCAACTTTCGTTGCAATGTCAACAGAGGAAGACACAAACAAGTATGGAAAGTTTTTCCTTTAAATTTTCGAATAAAATTAATTTTTAGCGAATGCAATTCGTTATTTTGGCTTTGTTCGTAGAGCTGATGAACTTCTTCAATGGTTACGCGAAAGATTATCACTTGCTGAACGTGAAGATTATGGGCAAGATTTGGAAGAATGTGAATTACTTGCACAACAATTTCATGAGGTTGTGAGGGAATTGGCTTCTGCTGGAGAGAGAGTGGCACAAGTATTGACATTAAAAGGTAAGGAAGTAAAAAAATTAAACTATCTTTGAAAAAAAAATAAATTTTCAGAAGAATTACTCCGCGAAAAACATCCAAATGCAGGTTCAATTCGTGCAAAGGGTCAAGATGTTCAACAACTTTGGCACGAAGTTAATGAAGCTGCTAATGAACGACAGGTGATTTTTTAAAAGAAAATCATTTTAAATATTTAACAAAAGATTTATTTGGATAATTTTTTTATTTTTTTCTAAAGCAAGCATTAATTGATGGAAAAAATATTCATTTATTCGACCAAAAAGCAGATGAATTATTAGAAAGATTAGCTGAAAAAGAGGCTTATTTGCTTGCCCAAAGTGAAGAACAATTTGGAGGAATTGATTTAGATCAAGTGTTTGGACAAAGAGAAAGACATAATAATGAATTTATGCATTCTTTGGATGTTTTGAGTCGTCAAGTAATTTTTTTTAATTTTGTTTTAACATCAAAAATACCCAAAAATTAATTTCACTCCTTTAAGGTTTTGGAACTCTGCGCCGAAGCTGATCGAATTATAGAAATATTTCCCCGCACTTCCGAGCATTTAGAAGTTCGTCGTGGAGAACTTATTGAACAATTAAAGGATGTAAGAGAGGGAGCTGATCGACAAGCAGAAAGATTAGCACAATCACAAGCTAATCATCAATACTTTCAGGCAAAAAATAATTAAAGTTTAATGAAGAAAATTATAATTTTTCTTAGGAATTTCGTGAATTAATGGTTTGGGCTCGTCAAATGCATGCTTCAATAACTGGGGAACTTTTACCTAAAGAAGTAGCTGGATGTGAGGTAAAAAAGTTGCTTTTGTATGTTTAAATCAACAAATTATTTTTCAGGCTCTCGCCGCTAGACATGCCGAATTTCGGCGTGAAATTTCTTCAAAAGAATCAGAAAAACTTCATTTTATACAAAAAGGAGAACAATTATTATCACAAGGGCAGAATGCTTTGGTGAATGAGATTCGTTCTCGTATAACTACTTTAGAGGAAGTTTTCTCTGATTTGTTAAAAACTTGGCATCGGAGACAACAAGTGAGAGTTATTGAATATATATTCTCATTGTGATTTTTATTAGATCTATGAGGATAATGCTGATCTTCAACGTTGGTTGTCCTCTGCATCTGAATTGGAACGTTGGTTAACAGAGAGAGAACAATTGCTTGCTAAAGATTGGACTGGATTAGTTCAGGATGGACTAGAAGCTGTTGAAAATCAAATTAGAGTTTGAGAAAGAATTAAAATTTGTAATTATTTTTACTCACAATTTCAGCAATTTGATGACTTTCTTGCCACTCTCGATGCCCAAAGTCCTCAATTTGAAGCTTTGAAACGCCTTACTCGACTTGAACAAAATTGGGAACGTCTTAAAGGTCAGGAGGATCGTGAAAGAATTGTTTCTGTAAATGCCCAACTTCAACAACAGCAACAACAAAACCGAAGGGAAACACAACCAATTAGAACATTAGAAAAGAAGAAAATGCTACAGGAGAAAAGACAAGAAAGAGAACGCCGTAAAACACAGGTAGTTTTAGTAAAATTTAATTTTAATAATTTGTTTCTAGGAAATTTCATTAATGGGAAACTCTAATGGAGGAATTGGGCGTCATTCAACTACCGGACAGTCAATTCGTTCTTCAACTTCTGCACATTCTGGGGCTCAAATGTTGGGACAATTACAACAATTAGAGCCTGTCCAGTCTTTGGCAACTACTGCATTTAATTCCTCTCAAACACTCCCAAGAGCTAGGCAAAGAGCTGCTGTAGGTGCTACTTCCTCAGCATCTTCTTCTACATCAGTAGTTGTAGTTGAAGGACAGCAGAATATTGTGGTGAATTTAACTTTAACACTTTAATTTCCTTCCATTTATTTAGCCACCAGTTGCTTCTTCTCGCCTTTCTATCGAAATTTCGCAGCCATCATCTACACAACAACAACAAAATTTAACACCTTCCGCTCCTTTCCCTGTAGGTATGCGAGTACCTTCCACAGGTCGAACACCTGGATTTACAACACGTAGAACACAAAGTATTCGAAGAAGTCGTCAATGGGATGATTTAAGAACCGTTGATATTCACGGGTAAAAAAAAGGATATATTTTTCATTTGTTTTATTTTTTTCAGTTATTTGGATAGAAAACAAGAATTACAAGCAGGTGGAAAACGTGCAACTTTCCGTTCTTGGAAGAGCTATTATTCAATTTTGTGTGGACAACTTCTTTGCTTTTTTAAGGACGAACAACATTTTATGGAAAATATGGCAGCTGCAGCGCCTTTGGCATTACATGGATCGAATTCTGCACTTAATCCTGAATATATTAAAAAACGTTTTGTTTTCAAGTAAAATATTTTTTTAAATATTTTTGGGTTAATATTTCCCTTTTGTTCGACAGAAACATGATAAGTCCCTCGCAAGTACCCAACCTTGTAATCTAGATTCATTTCATGTCCACAAGTCCATTTACTTATTTTAATCTTTTTCTAAGGAACATTTTATCAATTTATTAGATTAAATACTGCTGATGGAGCTGAATTCCTTTTTGCTGCACCTGACCAGCTTAAAGCTCTTGAATGGGTTGATAAAATTAATTTTAGAGCAAAGTTAGATCCAGCTGATCAATTGCTTGCTTTTAGACCGGTTTGAAAAAACAATTATTTCTTTGTTTATTCATTTCATAATTTTTAGAGTACAAGTGAACCACTTGGAAATTCCCAATCAAAGCGACTTCCTTACTCCTCTACAACTGCAGATGTAATGTCTAGTTCGAGAAGTATGACATTAGAATCAAGGCCAAAGCCTAAAGAATTTAGTGGAAATGTTGCTAATACTTTCAAAGTGCCAAATGAAAATCAAAAAATGATTAAAAGTAAAAAATTAGAATTAAATTTAGTCAGAAATTCAGGGAATTTACTCTCTCTGGCCTTCTCTTACATATCAATTAATTTTATTTTTAAAGGCGCAACATTAGATCCACGTAAAATTAATGATGACAATAAACATACAAATTATTATTATTCTTCTAATAATAAACAAAAAAATGAAGAGAATGGACAAAATATAGTAGAACAACAACAATTTGCAAGTCGAATAAAAATTGGGGAGGAGGGTGATGAAGAAGAAAAAATTATTGTTGAAGAGGAAGATTTAGAAAATAGTCCAAATAATAATTGCCGAAATAATCAAAATGGGAATTCAAATATTTTTGAAGATAATATTTCTGTACGCAGTGGTGGAATCGGAGGAACATTTAGTGAGTAGAGAGTAAATAATAATTAAAAAATTTTTCAATAAATTTTAGAGAGAAGTTTAAATTTTAAAACAAATTTTTTATTGAAAAAAAATATTTTTATTTTTCTTAGAAAATAATTTTCTTCTAATAATAAACAAAACTCATAATCTTTCATAATATTTATTTTTCTTAGAAAATAAAAAAATTACAAGCGGTGCCTTTGCTTTTCTCCGACGTTCTTCAGCAGTTATTGGAGGAAAAAAATCTGGATGCGAAAATTCACTTGATTAATTATAAAAAAATACTCATAATCTTTCATAATATTTATTTGTATTATTTAGAATAATGAATATATTTACATTTATGTTTTTTATTTTTAAATTATTCTTAATATTTAAATTATTTTTTGTTTTTTTTTTTTGAAAAAATAAAATATTAATCAAATCTTTATTCAATTTGAGGTTCTATTAGGATATTTACAGTATTTTAAAGTCAAAAGAAAGTTTAAAAAATTTACATATATTAAAAAATTCTTTAATATTTTTAGTTGATTTACATCAAAATTCAAAATTAATTAATCAACATAAATTCTAAATAACGTAAATATTCAATAGCAGAATGTAATGTTTCAATTTTTGACATTTTTCTTTGTTGTTTTGTTTGAACATTTTTTCCATTATTATAAACAGTTTTTATCGGTAAAAGCTCTCTAACTTGTTGGAATGCTTTGTTAAATGCCTCAACACGTATACGCTCTCGACTTGCATGCAAACTACGATATTTTGGTGTTGATCTATTTAAATATTTTTTTTAATTAAATAAATTATAAAATAATTTATTTAAATTCCAAATTATTTAGAATAGTGAATGGTTAGTGAAGTTAATATAGGGTTTTTAAATATTTTTCTCTTAATGGATTTGACACTCGAAATTTTAATTATTCTAATTACCCTTTACTTTTTCTAAAATTAAAGTTCTTGATGAAACAATTTACCTTCGTAATCGTCTTCTTTCAGCTCTAGTTAAAGCTTTTATTTTTTGTTGTTCTGTTAAAGGTTTTTTCAAATCTGTTGGCATTTTAGAGGAAAATAATTTGGAAAAGAAATAAATTTAAATAAAAAGAATTTATTTTTATTTTATACCAATTTCCCAAAATTAATTTAATTTTCTTTTTTTCTCAACATTTTACAATATTTAAATAATAAAACCGAAGCTTTTCAGAAAATTTAATTATACCCAATAGAGCTATTTTATTGAAATATTGGGTAATTTAATTATTTTAATTTTTAAATAAAAATAATATTATTTTGAATAAGAATAAAATAAATATTAATTTAAATTTTAAACTTTAGAGAGACTACTTTTAATTAAATATATTTTTACAATTTTTATCCAAATATTTTCTAGCCAAATTCTTCAAAAAATAGTTAAGCAAAAACAATTAGTAAATAAATTTTTATAGTAACTGTTAAAATTGACAAATTTTAATATAAAAATTGTAAATAAATAAATATATTTTTTAAATAATTTTTAACGTTGAATAAATTCTTCTTTTCTTTCTTCATTTCTTAATTTATTTATTTTAAATGCAGGTTTTTGACAAATAAAAGGGGCTGCAACACGGCAACAACTAAATAAAATTAATTTAAAAAATTATTTTTTTAACAACCTTTGAATCCACTCTCCACTCAGACTATTCATTTTAATGCATTTCTTTCCAGGATTAAACAAAGGTTGAATACCTAAAATAAATAAATATTTATTTAAATAATTATTCTTTTTCCAACCATTTTGCCAGAAAGTAAAATAAAATGGAGTTCCGTCTGTCCACATATAATTATTTCCAAATTGTGCTGCACCTAGCCATATCAATCCACCAACTCTTCTCGCAATATCTTTTTTAATTTATTTAATTTTAGATAAAAAGTTGAAAATAAATATTCGTTTTTAGACTTTTTTAGACTAAAATTTTAATTCAAAATTCAATAAGTCTCCCTCCATCCCTCTTCTCCTCATCCCCTCCTTTTTTAATTAAAAATTTTTAAATTATTTACAAACTTTCCAAATATTTATTTTCTTTTATATTTTTAACAGATATTTGATGTCCTTGATTATATAAACAATTAATTTCTGCAATATTCCACCCAATTTTTTCATTAAATATTTTAATACATAAATGTCTTTCTGGCCAATATTCCCAATTATTTTCACAAAAATTATTTTCTTTTTCAGAAATTAAATATTCTTGGTTGTTATATTTTGAATTTTTAACAAAATTAAAAAATAAAAATAAAAATATTTTGTTTAAAAAATATTTTATTTGAATTGACATTTTGGAATTAAATATTATTAAAAATTAAATATATTTAGAATGATGATACTTTTCATTTTGAAAGTCCTTCTCTCGTCTCAATAAAAATTTGTGTAATTAATTAATTAATATTATTTTCTAGAAATTTTTTTCTTATTTTTTGCTGATTCGTTTAAATTAGACGTTTAACCGTTCTATGACCTTCCTTGCCTTTTAATTACTTTAATATTAAATATAAACTTCCGGCACATTTATTAAATTATTTTTAAAGAAGAAAAGATAAAAAGATTTTATTTTTATTATTTTTAAAATAAAAATAGCTTCTGCTTTAATTTTAAATATAACATAATAGGGATGTCGCCGAAAGATTTCATTTTGGTTTATCGGTAATTCTGTTAAAACGATAACTACTATATATCATAAAATTTTATAGGATACCAAAATATTTGTAGAGATCAGACTACACCTTACTAGAGTTTTACGGAATACGGACGAAAAAATTTTTCGTACCGGAATACTAAATATACCGCTGAGATTTATTTTAATTAATGCTGTCTCGTTTTCTAAATAAAAATTTTCTTTAATCGTGTTTGCAAATACAGCTGTTGTTTTATTTGAATAAACAAAGTTAAAAATTAAATTTTAATTTTATAAAAAAGTTTTTTTTTATAAAATTTTAATATGAAATTGATCTTCGTTTTTAAAAATATAATTTAGTAAAATTATTAAAGAATTTTTTCTTAATTTTTAAATAAGCCTTTTGTGCTAATATATAATTTTAAAATAAATTTATAAAAATTATTAAAACATAATTTAAGAATATTAAAAAAATTTTTTTTAACCGTAGAAGAAAATGTTTAAATAAATTAATTAATAAGTAGACTAATTAAAGGAGTTAATTTTTAAATTTAAATGAAAATGTATATGATTAAATATTTTATTTAAATTTAATAATTAAAATTAATTTTTAAAATTTATTTAAAATTTAAAATGAAATTATTTAAATTATTTTATATTTTTATATTTTTTTCTTTAATTTTTCAATTAAATGAAAGTAAAATATTTAATTTTGAAATTATTAAAGGAAGATATAAACGAAACTGTGGTAAGATATATATTTTATTAAATCCTTCCAGAAAATGAAAATTCTGTTTCTAGGCTCCTTTGATATAACTTTTGATATCGAGAGAATCATTTTAAATTAATTTTATTCTAAATTTGTTTAAAGAAATTTTTAAAATTAAAGATGATTTTTAAAGGATATATCTCAAATGATGCTATGAAAAAGGACGGAATACCTGGATATCTCAGCCATAGCATGGAACAAGCTAATCCCTATACTCCTCCAAAGAAGAATGATCAAGGAAAGTAATTTAAAGAAAAATATAAAAAAAATATTTTTAAATAAACAAATGAGAAAGAAGAATAATATATAAATTTTACTAAAAAATATTAAATAAAAATTAATTTAAATTTAAATTCCATCAATTTCGTCAAAACATTTCTCAAAAATTTGTAAAATCTTTATTTTAATTTTTCTTTCTTTTCAAATTCTTTATTATTTTTCTTCTCAAATTTAATTTTTAACTCTTCATAATTATTAACATATTTAAATATTTTTTCACAATTTTTTTCTTCATTTCCTTCTCCTTCTTTACATTTTTTTTTCTAAATTTCCCAAATTAATTATTTCCCCATTTTTCTCTTCAAAATAAATTTCATAATTATCATCAATTAATTCAATTTCATAAAAACATTCGTAATAATTTCCACTTTTAATCTTTATATTTCTACATTCTTTTGCTTTCATAATTTTCGGTAATTGGTTATCCAAATTTGGATTCATATTAATTTGATAAACTAAAAATATAAATAATTATTAAAATAAGTATAAATTAATTCTTTAAATTAAAAAAAAATATTTTTTTGGATTAAAATAAATTAATTTAAAAATTAAAAATAAATCCAAATTCCCCCTTTTTTAGATACTAAATTTTCAAGTTTCAATACAAAAAACGTCAGATTTTACAACATATTAAAAGCTTTTAATTATTACCAAAATAATTTGTCCAAAAATTAAAAAAAAACATTTTAAAAGTTCTATAAAAGTTGGCTTCTCGTGTTTAGTTAAATTATTATATTTTGGTTTTAAATAAATTGTTTCAACAGGACAGGGAGCAGTAATAATTAAAATACAAAACATTGCCCCTTTTAAATATTTAATTGGTAAAAGTTTCTTTTCCAAAATATTTTGACATTTTATTTTAATTTTTTCTTTAAAATTTCCAGCAAATCCACAAACAGATTTTGAAATTGAATTTATATTAAACAAATTATTTGATGAAGAAGAAGATTCTTTTCCATTTCAATCCCTTCATTCATTGTTGATTCAGAAACATTTTTACTTGGGGTTTCTTCTTTTTTTCCTTGTCCATCCTCTTTTGTTTTTGTAGAATTTATTCCTCTAACTAATAATTTTTATTTATTTTTTTAAATTAATTAATTACCTAACAAAAATCCAAAAATTAAAATAATTAATAATAAATTATTTCGAAAGAACATTTTTCTTATCAAAATAATTCTGTTAAAATACTAAATATATTTAATTGAGAGTTTTAATTATGCCTATAGATATTTTATTGAAAATTATATTTTTCAAAATTAATTAATTTCATAAATTAATTAAATAAGATGTCAAAATATATTTTTTTTAATTATTTTAAAATTTAAAAACTAAAAATAAAAAATATTTTTCAGAAATATTTTTAAATTATTTTTCAAATTTAAAGAAATCTTTTTCGATATACACGTTATATGTAAAAATTAAAAGTGCATTTTAAAATTAATTAACGCCGCCTTTTTAAAAGTAAAAAGGGCAACTTTAGCTTAAAGATTAATTTTTATATATTGCGAAAGAAAAATAATAAAAATAAATTTTTAAATAAATTATATTAATTAATTATTAATTTTTGAAGAGGTAGGCATAACATTTGCACATCAAATCGCGTGATAATTTTTGGCAATTTTCTATTTTTCTAAATTTAAAAATACGCCATCCATTCTTAAAACATACTAAAAAATTTTAAATACGTAAAATCTCTTGTATTTTTTTTATAAAAAAATACAAGTTTATGACTCTCAGCCTTAAGAAATTTCCAGAATTCTGAATTTGAGGCTTTATGCTTAAAAAAATTTTTTTTGCAATTATTTTGGCCAATTTTTGGTATTTTTTGTCGGTACACCTCAATTGAGTCCGCACGATTGAGTCCCCACGATTGAGTCCGCACGATTGAGTCCCCACGATTGAGTCCCGGCACGATTGAGTCCCCACGATTGAGTCCGCACGATTGAGTCCCCGTTGTATATACCTCAATTGAGTCCCCTGGATTTAATTATATTAAAAAAGATTAAGAGGGATATTTGTGGATTTGGAGGGATTAATGTTAATATCAGGGGACTTGTATGCAACATCGAGGTATCAAGATGGATATTGGTGAATATCAAGGGATATAAGTAAATTTAAGCGGGGATATCGGTTGAATTAAGGTAGATATCAACAAATTTGGAGAGATTAGGATGGATATTGTGGGTTTGGGGATTAGGAGGGATATCGAGAGATTTTTTGAATGACAGCTCATTCGAAAGTAGTGAGTCGAATGACTCGAAAATCAACATGGTTGAACAAGTTCTCGCCGAGATATGGGGCTCGAAATGGTCATCCATGGGGAATTTTTGTTGCTAAACATTCGAATAAACAAAAAATAGCTCATTCGAAAGGACTCGACGAGCTGAGTTGAGTGATACCAAAATCAGCTCGATTGGATGATATTGAACATAATTATTCAACTGAATCTTCGATGGAAACTTTTTTTTTGTGCTGCTACGCAGGGTATTTGGGGTCTCTCTCAATCCCGTTACGGGATCCCGGGAATTTTTTTCAAATTTACGGGATTTATAATTACTCCATTAAATTGCCTGCGGCGTTGAAAAAGGAAGAAATCTGGCTTCCTGGCCTTCCAAAATTCTCAAAATTTTCGCCTGCGGCGCTAAAATATGAAAAATTACCCACATATTCAAATCTAGTTGAGCCATCTAAATCCGCTATTTTGACCTTAACCCACCGTTCTTCAAATCACCCTTTATCTCTCCAAATATTTACCGATATCCTCCTAAATCCACCTATAAGCATTAAAATGCTCTTAATCTCTCTTAATCCACTGATATCCCTCTTAATCCTCTGTTATCTATTAATTCCTCCTTTAATCTGTCGAAATCCACCGATATTATTTCCAAATCCGACGATATTCAACATATTTATAATTAAAAAATTTTTTAAATTAAAATCCCGGAATCCCGCGGGATCCCGGTAAATTTGAGAACGGGATTACCGGCTCCGGGATTAACGGGATTAATCCCGCGGGATCCCTCCCGTTCGATATTTTCAAACTCAATCCCGTTACGGGATCCCGGAAATGCGATTTTGCCGATCTCTAATGCAGGATATGGAATTTTTAAAATTAAATCCACGGGGACTCAATTGAGGTATATACAACGGGGACTCAATCGTGCGGACTCAATCGTGGGGACTCAATTGTGCCGGGACTCAATCGTGGGGACTCAATCGTGCGGACTCAATCGTGGGGACTCAATCGTGCGGACTCAGTTGAACTGCTCCGTTTTTTGTTTGGCGTTTTCTAAATAATGGTGCACAGCCTTATTGGGCGTCGAAATGGGGCGTCGAAAAGGGCGTCGAAATGTGTTCACCCCTTAAAGTAACTCTGCGCACCCCTTAAAGTAATGACAAATTATTTTCACTGATTAAAAAGTTAATTTATTTCCACAACAAATTAAAAATAAATTCATTTTTTAATTAATGTTAGCGCAAATATACATATTAGTTTTCATTGTAGGTAATTTTAATTTTTCTTTATTATCGGTGCCAACGCTATCATTGAATGGGATTTTAGTTTAAATTCCTTCTAAATTTTTTAAAAATTTATAATTATTTTAATTAATTTTTTGATATGTTTTATAAGCACCCTTTACACTTTGCTTATCTTTTTTATTATTTTTTTTCTCAAATTTAAATTCATATTTATAAGCACCATCATTCTCAACATATTTATAGGTTTTTTCACAATTTTCCTCATTTTCCTTACATTCAAAATCTTTTTTTAAATTTCCTAGATTTATTACTTCCCCTTTACTATTTTCAACCTCAATCTTATATTTATCATGAGTTAATTCAAATTCATATTTACATTCTTTATAAATCAATCCATCTATCTCTATTTCTTTACAACCTAATTTATCAAATTCTTGTTTATGCCCCTGATATAGTTCTGGAAATTCTATAAAAAGATCTCTTTCATAACCAAATTCATCTAAAAAAAGAATTAAAAGATTTTAAAAGTTCATGTAAATTTTTGAGATTTAGGGATAAACATCTGACCCTTCTATCAAAAAATAAATTCTAAATACTTCTTCTAGCTACTGTAATTTTTAAATAGTATATTCCTCCCCTATGGTAACTTTATTACATAATTATTAGTTACAAACTTTGTAACATTCCATATTGTGTCATGTTCTTTTGTATTGGTTTTAAATAAATTGTTTCAACAGGACAGGGAGCAGTAATAATTAAAATACAAAACATTGCCCCTTTTAAATATTTAATTGGTAAAAGTTTCTTTTCCAAAATATTTTGACATTTTATTTTAATTTTTTCTTTAAAATTTCCAACAAATCCACAAACAGATTTTGAAATTGAATTTATATTAAACAAATTATTTGATGACGAAGATGTAAAATTCTAAAAAGAATTTTAATAAATGGGAGGGAAAATACATTGAACTCAAAAATAACTTTAATCTTCAATGATTTAACAAAGCTTTAACAATTTTATTTCCAAACCAATAAGTAAAGTTAACAAAATAATCTCTTTAAAATCCAAACAAAAGAAGGGGACAAACAAATTTAAAGTAACAGAATATTATCTTTTCTTTTAACAAAATATGGGGCCAAATCTTTTAGAGAACAAACTTATATCAAGAAAATAAAAAGGGGCAAATCTTCAAATCTAACTGAACGGGGAACAACTCTTTTCTGGGGGAAGGAATGAGTAAGAAGTTCAAAAAACTGAGCCAAACTGCTCACTTTTCCATTTTTATATTCGGGCTTTAATGTGCAAAAAGAGGGAGGTGTTTGCACATTTTAATTCAAAATTAGTTGGCCAAAACAACCAGTGCAAAGGGTTGCAAAGATAGACGAAAGGGAAGAGATAGGACATATTTAAGGCCGAATCAAAATACACAAAAATACAATAGGGCTTTTCCTAGTTAAATTGAGCGGGCCTGAGATTTAAAAGAATGGGGAGAAAAAGAGCAGGGATGCAAGGTTCAAAAAAGGCCTTTTGGCCCGCCATAATTAACATTTTTTTGAGCGGGCTTAAAAATAAAGACAAAAATATATGGACAAAATTTCGGCCAAAGGTTAATAAATAAAAAATATATTTTCAAATCTGAAGGATTTGACATTCGGGAGAAACCCAAAAAATTTAGATGAAGGCGTAAGGGAGATGGTGGAATATGAGTTTAGGTGCAGAGACGGGTGGAGGGGGTCCGGGTAAGTATAACAAATTTCAACAGAATTGGTCATCTATTTTCCTTTCAATTCTTCCAAATTTCTGTCACAGGTTGGCTGATCAGCCCTTCTCGTCCTTTTCTATTTTCATTTATCGGCATGTTCTAAGATTAGAGGGGTCATATTCATATTCTTCGTATAAGCATTGTTGGTCCATTAAGAAAAGGGTAAAATTTTGGGGGAATTATTTCATATTTAAATTTAATTTTACCAATTTTTGTTGACGGTAAGTTTATTCTCGGTCATGTTCCTCATCCATGTCGTGGCCTAATAAATAATATGCATCAACGTATCGTGTTGTTTAATTTTCGAAAGAATCTCCTTCCAATTAATCACAGAATGATGAACACATTTTATTTCAAACAAATCAAGATTAGACAAAGTAGAAAACAGGGTTTTAGGGGTAAGAATATCATTTCCTTTTATTCGGGGCATTTTTAATGAAGGTAGGGAAAAGCAAGGATTCTCTTCATGGATTTGTTTAAAATCATTTAAAGGAACATTAAAATTAGAGGGGATGACAAAGTATTTACGGTTATTCGGAGGGGTTATTTTCAATGTCTTAGGATGTATTTGACAGGCAGTAACATCGGATTGGGAATTGTTTATAATTGTTGATTTTCGGTTTAATTGTTTGGGCAATTTTTTTCTTTGTCTTTTACGAGACATTGGGCTTTCTTTTCTTTTTTCTAGGCAAAAAATTTCCAGATAATTAAGAGTGGGGGGTAATGGTTTATTTTCTTCCAATATCTCTTCTGATGTAGGAATATAATCATTTTCTGATGAATTAATATTCGTAGTTCCAATTGAAGAATTAAAAGTAACATATAAGATAGACTGTTGTAAATTTTCAAGAGATATAAGGGGACGTTCTGAGGATAAATCGGGAATTAAGTTGTCAGTTAAAACAAGGGGCATTTCTTTAGAATAATTATAAGCTCTAACTTCATTATCTTCATTTATAATCTCTTGTAAGGGGGTAGATTCTTCACAAATATTTTTAGTAATACAAACTTCATCAATAGGAGTAAAGCCGGGAGGGGGACTAATGGGACTTTTATTAATAATTTCATTTGTAAATCTTCTATTCAATACAACATCTTCACTTATCTGATTGTTTAACTCGTTAGGATTCTTTTCAACATTTATTTCTTTTATAGGGGAAAAGCCAGGAGGGATAGCAAGAGGGTTAAATCTTTCCATTTTATTATTTGGACAATTGATTTTATTAAAATGGCACTCGGGGAATAATGGTTGTTGAGGAGAATGGACTTGTTCATTAATAGACGGATAATCTCGAAAAACTGGAGAAATATAAGGTCGGGTGTGAGTAGGAGGTGAATAAAATATGTTTGGCTTGGGTTTAGCCGAATATGCCAGAGTCGGCGCCTCTTCTTGCGTAACGGGTGAAAGAGAAAATTGTCCTTTAGCTGGGGGATTTAAAAACAAATTAGATTGAATAGGTGGCCGGTTTCGATAAGAATTATCCATAGAATTTGCATAAACTGATTTTAATGAGGTTTGAGTATTTTCATTGAATTGCTTATTCTGGGAAGGGTTTAAAAGAGGAAGTTCAGGAAGGAGATGAGAATGGTCCAATGGGGGTTCAATTTTCGGTAAGTTACTTTCTAATTCATGTCGGGAATTCCGAAGCTTTCGTAGATACCGTTTAAGGTCGTACATAACTTTTATGTAATTTGTTTCTTGAAGGAATTTCTCTAGGATTTGGCTATCGGCTGCCCTTTCAGTTTCTGACATTGAAATTCTTAAATCTTGCCATGAATTATGGGCCATTTTAAAGTCATTTAGGATTTTGGTAATCTCTTGGGAGGTAAGGTCTATTTCATTAATTAAAGCCTGAGTAGATTCGAGAGATTGGGTTTTCAAATTATCATAATCTTCTATTAGAAAAGAGAAGGGGCTAGGAAGAAGTATTTCTTTAGTGAGGGAACAAAGCTGGGACAATTGATTTCTATAAGCTAGTGACATTTCATTTAAAACAAATAAATAACTCGGAATTTTAAAATCAAACAAAATATAACCTTTTAAATACTAACGGACAATAAAAATATCAAGGGAAAAAATACATATATTCTAAAAAGTGTGAATTAGAAATAGGTCTCGGGTGGTCACCGGCTGAGCTGTAAAATTCTAAAAAGAATTTTAATAAATGGGAGGGAAAATACATTGAACTCAAAAATAACTTTAATCTTCAATGATTTAACAAAGCTTTAACAATTTTATTTCCAAACCAATAAGTAAAGTTAACAAAATAATCTCTTTAAAATCCAAACAAAAGAAGGGGACAAACAAATTTAAAGTAACAGAATATTATCTTTTCTTTTAACAAAATATGGGGCCAAATCTTTTAGAGAACAAACTTATATCAAGAAAATAAAAAGGGGCAAATCTTCAAATCTAACTGAACGGGGAACAACTCTTTTCTGGGGGAAGGAATGAGTAAGAAGTTCAAAAAACTGAGCCAAACTGCTCACTTTTCCATTTTTATATTCGGGCTTTAATGTGCAAAAAGAGGGAGGTGTTTGCACATTTTAATTCAAAATTAGTTGGCCAAAACAACCAGTGCAAAGGGTTGCAAAGATAGACGAAAGGGAAGAGATAGGACATATTTAAGGCCGAATCAAAATACACAAAAATACAATAGGGCTTTTCCTAGTTAAATTGAGCGGGCCTGAGATTTAAAAGAATGGGGAGAAAAAGAGCAGGGATGCAAGGTTCAAAAAAGGCCTTTTGGCCCGCCATAATTAACATTTTTTTGAGCGGGCTTAAAAATAAAGACAAAAATATATGGACAAAATTTCGGCCAAAGGTTAATAAATAAAAAATATATTTTCAAATCTGAAGGATTTGACAAAGAAGAAGAAGATTCTTCCATTTCAATCCCTTCATTCATTGTTGATATTGGTAATTCTTCAGAAACATTTTTATTTGTTTCTTCTTTCCCTTTCAAAATATTCTTTGGCTTTCCAGAATATATTTCTAAATATATATTTTTAATTTACAATTTATTAATCACCCGAACATATCTTTATCTACATGGAAATAGACATTCGGAGTAGGATTCTAATATTCTAATATAAAAACATACCTGCTAAAACACAAAAAAATAAAATGACCAACAAATTATATTTTAATATCATTATTCAAAATTCAATGATGGATACTTTTCCTTGAGTTTTTGCTTATTTGTCTATTTTCATTTAAAAAATTTTAAATGATTAATATTTTGTTTTTACTCAAGTATTTAAGTTTATTTTGTGTTTTATAGTTTATTAAAAAATGAAAGTTTATAATTAAATCAAAAAGAGTTGCCGCTTAATATTTTTAATTTCCTAATTGGCAGACTTTAAAGCGGGTATTTCATAAAAAAAATTTGCACTTTATTTGCCCTTTATATTTATGTAAATATAAAGTAAATATAATATATTTACATATGTAAATATATTAATTAAATTAAGAGGATTTGCCGCCTAATATTTTTAATTTCATAATTGACAGCTTTAAAGGCGGCTATTTCATAAGAATTTGCCCTTTATTTGCCCTTTATATTTATGTAAATACATTTTTGTTTTTTTATTTAAATGCCCTTTACCTAAGTAAAATTCCCAATTAATAATAAAATTTTCTGTAGTTTTGCTTTGTAAGATTTTAAGAAAAATTTCATTTGGAATTCATTGGGAGTTTTTTTTCTCTGTAAAAATTTCTAAAATATTAGATTTCTTAATTTATAGATAAGAAGTTTTGTTCCTCCGAAATTACCAAAATTTCGTCTCCGGCTTTTAAACAATTTTCATTTCGATTTTTGATCTCCGAGGAACAATTTCCATAAACCGACAACTATGACAAAACAAACAAAATTAGATATACAAATAATTAAGCAAAAGTTATTTTTATATTTTAAACAACTTTAATTTTATTGAAAGGATGATTCACTTAGAAACATTTAAATCGTTTATGCTTCGTAGTCAGTGATGGGCAAAGTTCCAGTTCCAGTTCCGGAACTAGTTCCAGAGAAATTTTGGAACTTTCCCATCACTGAGTGTGACTAACAGAATATTTAACTCATAAGTGTCAGTTAGCAAGAATAACGGTCGGTTGACCAGGACCTTTTAAAGTAATGACAAATTATTTTACTGATTAAAATTTAATTTATTTTCTCAATAAAATAAAAATAAATTTATACAATTACATTAAACAAAAGATTTTATAAATATTAAAATAATTAATATTTAACTCATGTTGACACAAATAGTTTTCATAGTAGGTAATTTAAATTTTTTTTTATTTTTGGATTTTAATTTAAATTTCTTTTAAATTATTTAAAAATCATTTTTTTTCTTTAATTATTTTATTTAGATTTTTCGATATGTTTTATAAGCACCCTTTACACGCTGCTTATCTTTTTTGTTATTTTTCTTCTCAAATTTAACCTCATATTTATCAACACCATCACTCTCAACATATTTATATGTTTTTTCACAATTTTCCTCATTTTCTTTACATACAAAATCTTTTTTCAAATTCCCTAAATTAATTATTTCTCCTTTATTATTTTTAAAATCAATCTCAGTTTCATCATCAGTTAATTCAAATTCATATTTACATTCATTATAAATCACTCCATCTACCTCTATTTCTTCACAGCCTATTTTATCAAGTTTTTGTTCACGTCCCAGATATAATTCTGGAAATTCTATAAAAAGATCTCTTTCATAACCAAATTCATCTAAATTAAAAGATTTTAAAAGTTTATGTAAATTTTTGAGATTTAGAGATAAACATCTGATTCCATCAGACGATAAATTCTAAATAAGTACCTCCCCTATGGTAACTTTATTACATAATTATTATGTAGTTACAAACTTTGTAACATTCCATATTGTGTCATGTTCTTTTGTAATGGTTTTAAATAAACAGTTTCAACAGGACAGGGAGCAGTAATAATTAAAATACAAAACATTGCTCCTTTTAAATATTTAATTGGTAAAAGTTTCTTTTCCAAAATATTTTGACATTTTATTTTAATTTTTTCTTTAAAATTTCCAACAAATCCACAAACAGATTTTGAAATTGAATTTAAATTAAACAAATTATTTGATGATGAAGAAGAAGATTCTCCCATTTCAACCCCTTCATTCATTGTTGATTCAGAAACATTTTTATTTGTTTCTTCTTTCCCTTTCAAAATATTTTTTGGCTTTCCAGAATATATTTCTAAATATTTATTTTTAATTTACAATTTATTATGATTATTTACATGTCAAAGATGTGCTAGTTACTTTCGGGGCCCTATTTTGGTGTTTTGTATTCCTTTTTCACTTATTAAATTAACTTTCCTTATTTCGCCTATCGTCTTTCGGCGAAATGCAAAGTTAATTTAAAAAGCGCAACACTAAAGGCAAAACACCATAAATTCGAAAAATCCGTGAAGGCCTTAAAAATTCAAAACAATTAATTCGGCCGAAAAAACTTTAGCTCTGCATTTCGAACAGGGGTGGTCCTCAAATTTCCTTTATTAAATCGCTTTATATCTTATCCCTCTATCAGTCCTCAATTTTAATCTTTAAATTCCCTATTAATTCTATAAATTCTTTGATATCCCGTCTAATCAACCAAATCCCACAATATCTCTTTTAATCCCTACGAATTTGACTTTTGAGTTGCAAAAAGAACTTTTACTCTCTCTAATTACACTCAAGGAGGCCCGTAATTTGCCACCTTACAATTTTAAATATTATTTCAGTTATGAATATAAAAATTTTATTTCCGATTTCCGCCTTCCGGCGTTTTTTTCCTTCCGATTTCCGAGTTCAGACTTTTGAGCCATTTCCGTTTCCGATTCCGATCCGACACATCTGCCATTTCCGATCCGGAACCTCTGACTGTTCCGACCCATCTCTGATTTTCACCCACACGGAAATAAACATTCGGAGTCCTTTTTTGAGTGTTTTTCCCTAATTAAAATTATAATATAAAAACATACCTGCAAAAACACAAAAAAATAAAATGACCAACAAATTATATTTTAATATCATTATTTAAAATTTTTAGAATATAAATCCACTGATGGATACTTTTCCTTGAGTTTTTGCTTATTTGTCTATTTTTATTTAAAAAATTTTAAATGATTATTATTTTGTTTTTACTATTAGTATTTAAATTTATTTTGTGTTTTATAGTTTATTAAAAAATGAAAATTTAAAATTAATTAATCAAAAAGATTTTCCGCCTAATATTTTTAATTTCATTATTGACAGAGTTTAAAGGCGGCTATTTCATAAAAATTTGCCCTTTATTTGCACTTTATATTTATGTAAATATAAAGGGTTTTTACTATATTTTATATTTTTTTCACATCTGGTTCATTTAAATACATTTTTGTTTTTTAATTTAAATGCCCTTTCCCTAATTAAAATTCCCAATTAATAATAAAATTTTATGTAGTTGGCTTTGTTAAATTTTAAGAAAAATTCCATTTGGGAATATAATGCTCTGTAAAAACTTTTAAAATGGATTTCTTAATTTATAGCTAGGAAGAATTTTTGCTCTTCTGAAATACGGAGCCTTAAAAGCCCTTAACGGAGCCCTTAAAAGGGATACATTAAATGGTAAATATAAACTAATAAAACAAGCAGCTAATCCTATACAAGAGGTTGCAACCGAATAACTCGATGTCACGGGGATCAAAAATATTTTTAAAATAAATTTTATATTTTTTAAAGCAAAAAGTGGTAATTAACATAATTTTTGAGAAAATTAAATATTTTTTTATAATTTTTGAAACTTAATTTCAGAAAGGGAACTTAGAATGATAGAAATCAGAAATTTCCTTAAATTCGACTTTGATAACTTTTTACTATAGAAAAAGTTTGCAAAAGTTTAGCCACAGGGCAGGATTCGAACCTGCGACCGGACCTCATTTTATCTAATTTCTTAAAAATTATTATTTTTAAATTTAAATAAAACTAAAAA